TTTGACAACAATGCTGAATAAACTGTGGTAATCTACATTTTATATGCTCTTAATGTGGTTATTCACAATATTTTATTCTCAAAATCTCTGAAACAACGAAAAATTTAACGATAAAAGGTAATTTTACCTCACTGAGAATGAAGAGCAGAATTCAGAACGTCTGACTTTATAATCTTGGACCTTTGATTTGCTTCCAGAAGTCATTTATTAATCATTCCAAATGCACTTGAGCGCGAAATCGAGTTGATAAACTGACCGAAAGTAATAAATAATAGCATTGCAATACTAATAACATTTAATACTTAAATACCACCATATTGATAACTTTGTGAAGAGTCACTAGAGTCCCAGTCTTCCTATTAAAGAAATATCTTTAGCGTATAACTACACACGAAAGTATTTTATATGGAGTAAAATTTGAAATTTATGGCACGTTTTTCCAAAAAGAATTAATATATAAAATGTTTCTCAATATTATTTGAAATTCAATTTATTAGCTGCAATATTTCAAGCATTCGTTAGGATATGCAATTAATGAATACGATAAATGGTGGAAAATTCAATCTTGTGAAAGCGCCGCACTACCTCCGATTGGGTGGGTTTTGCATGGGCCTTTTCATATTTTATTGCTTATCATTTAATATGCAGTCCAAAATGGATGTGACTTCGATGCATTAGATATGAGGCAAATGAAGCAATATGAAATAGATTTAGGTCAAACTCATGGGGGATGACAAAGGACGGAAGAAAGGCAAACAAGTAGCGAGAAATTATTACAGAAACTTATAAAAGGAGAAAATTGGTTATGCAAATCTGGGTGCTTTTTTGCAATCCAAGCGAACATTGCCTGGCAAAGCCAACATGAAAGGTGATGAGCTGAAGCACCGCAATAATTAAGATAGGAATCTTTCACTGCTATGTGAGAATTTTCGGTTAAAATAAAATTTGGGAGAGACACTTTTGCCAACCCGGTTTTATCAGTGAAATGGACATTCTTCTCACGCAGAGGAACGAAAGGCAAAAACAACAACCATAATATTACAACTTGCACGAAAGTTTTATTAGAATTGTGAGAAACTACATTTCTTCCAGATCATTTGTCTGAAATGTTGTTTGATCAGGCATCTTCAAATTAGAACACCACAATTTATCGATATACAGGGAAAAGTTCTTTCCTTGTACTTTCGTACTCTAAAAATTGTATAAGACTTTCCAAAGTTGAAACTTCCTCCACACTTTTCTCTCAGTTTGCCCAGTTTTGGCAATTGATTATTGATTTTTCCGGTCACACAATCTTGCCGAAGTAAGGAAAATATTTCTCAATGCAAACATGACAATTGGCAGCCAGTGAAGTGTGCGGCTTATCATTATTATTTAAATTTCGATTATATTCTTCACATATTGCCGTCAGAGGGCGGCAGCTTCAAGGGATGTGGAAGTTCCGATTGTATTTCCCAAACCAATCTATACCACAATTTTAACAGAGCAAATATGGCGGTTTAAACGCCCGTATTTTCTGAACTTCTACACGCCTTCAAAATTTAAACTGCTGCCCTCTGGCGGCCACATGAGAGGAAAATAATCAAGTATTTAAATATATTTAAACTGTATTCTTGCTTTTGAGTTTGATTTTCAAGAAAGAGTAGCGAAATAAGAAGTGGAACATAGATATTAAAGTGATATTCGAACACTTCGATATGTTCATAACATGCCTATTTAAAGTGTATAAAGAGAAGGCAATTTATGCACTATCACGACCATTAATCAGAATTTAAAGTAAAATTAAATAACTGCAATACTTACAGGCATTACACATGAGAAGAACATGCGTAGATTAGTCATCGAAGGACCTTTTTTCCACTTTAGCAATTTCAAATTCACGCCTATAATTTCCATACCATGAACACAAGGTGAAAAATGATGTTATACTTATTACACTGCGAAGGAAACATTACAAAAGAAATTCTAAAAAATTAATATTGTAATTCAAGTAAATAATTTATATACACAATTTTTGTAAAAAGGCAAATTAAAGGACATAAAATAAAGAGAGAAGAAAAAATTTAATTTAGAAAGAAAAACATATGGAATTATCATAAATATTATCCAGTTGTATACAAAAAAAAATTACCAAACAAATTTAATAAAAGCGCTTTATTAGATATAAAATAAAACATGAAAAATACTAACTTTTTCAGCATTTAAGCAATTCTCTCCTCGTTTCAATACTTTATTATTACGTCTAGAGTATCTAATAACTATGCTTGTTTCATTAACACTTTACATTTTATGCCTATACAAATAATATTGTTCAGATCATAAGGATAACATAGTTAATGTATAACACATAATATTAGGTGCAAATTCTGATGGAAAATGTTATTTATTCAACTTAGCGTGATAACCACAATTTTTAAAAGTGTAGTTAAGAGATTCTTCTCAAATTGCTTTCCCAGAAAGGCTCTATCAGATTTCTTTGAGGAAAAAAAACCAACAAAAAAAACATATTTTCACGGTTAATGTAAAAAAAAATTTGATGATGAAGTTTAAAATAAAGTCACATAACGTAAACGATATGCGCAATGAGACTTTTCCTGGGCGCTGCGGATGCGATTCGTGGGTAAGTGGAAGCTGTTTAATATATGTTAAATAAGTCCTTTTGTTATTCGAAATTTGCATTGATTTCATATTACTCCAGGCATGTGATAATATATTCGGTAAATAACACAACTCCACCCCAAAATTTCCATGAACAATGGAAATTCTTCTGCCAGTTTCAATTTTGGGCGTGAAAATTCCACTGCAGTGAACTTTTCGCACAAGGAACTGAGGAAGAGATAAACTAGCAAATTTTATGTGCCAAAGGGATTTCGAATGTAATTCTGGCTTTTTATACTAATAAAGCACCCAATCTCGACCACTGCTTTGGGTCATATTGATTATTTTTCTGTGCGGGACGAGAGAGGGAGAGAGAGGGTGGGAAAAAGACGGAAGAGCTTCCATTGTTCAGACAGTGCATGACTTTTTATCGGTCCAGGTAACGGCAGAACAACACCGCATAAAGGATATTAAGCAAATCCGGGAGAAATAACATATTCCCCGAAGCAATGTGACTCTGAAGATTACAAGATAAAATATACATTCGGAGCATAGGTAAACCTCTGGAGGTTTTTTTAAACCCACCCCCCAAAAAGCGTCCACCTCAGCTCGTGTCCGCCCTAAAAGCCCCGCAATAGTTTCAGTGTGACAGCGTTCTAGGACGCCATGCCATCAATTAGGCAGGACACAATGGCACCAGTCAGGGAATTCCTAAATAAACCCTAATCTAATCGATACAAAGTATTCCTCTTCGAAGCTCACATATCAAATATTCCCAGAAGGGTTTGCACAAGATTCGCAAAAAGCTTTCACACAATGGCATTTGAGACTCAAGTTTCCAAGACTGTTATTTGTGATTAATATGGCTTTACGGAGGCTTACATGCACAAACCGAAATTGTCTTGGCAGTTTGTGACGAGCCAAGAGGATATGCCAAATAAATTAAATAGATGTCCTAAGATGGAAGGAGAAGTGCGTTCGGAAGCAAATGTTCCGTAGGATTACTTTCAGAAAGGGTGGGGAAGGAGAGAGAGAGAGAGGTCATAAAAATTGTGCCACGCAATTAAGAATGCCACAAGGGCTCAAGATAAGTTGATTATTGTCATTGGTTTTCCAGGAAATATTTGCCAAATTTATTCCGTCGCTGTTATTTTCATCACAAAACTCACAAACAGGGAGATGAAATAAAAACAGCAAGTTTAGTATACTTTCGCAATTTCCCTTCGCGCACTTTGCGTGGAGTTGAAATTGCCTAATGTTATATTGAAGCGAAAGTACATTTATTCAAGTTTTCAGCGAGAATTTGTGAGTTTCCAGAATTTGGAGGTTTAAAGTCAGAAAAGAGACAAGAAATGCAAAGGGAAAATGTTCAAGTAATAAATTAAATTCCTCACTTTGGCCATTCCTGACACGTTTGCCGACCCAAGAGAAGATTTCAGTGGATTGATGGTAAATGAATCCCATGAAAAATACAGGAAAACAAGCGAAAATCAATGTTTTTACAATAGTTAGCTGTTCATTGAGTAAAAGGTAGCAAAAGAATAAATCAATGTTTAAGATATTCATCTATAATTTCATTTCATACCAATAGAATGAGAATTGAAGCAAAAATTTCCCAGCTTTTCACTCCTTCCCTGAGGTTTTTTTTACTTACTGTTCAGCTGATTCTCCGCAATTTGGAAATAGAGCACAACAAGTGTTTTTAACAATTCAATTATCTCTTGCTTCTCTGTGTCATTTTTGCCAGGTGAACTAGTGCTCCTAATTGCCTTTGGCTGTGATTTATGTTGTTCCACTCTCCTGTAAGTATTTGTCATTTCAAAAGTCATTGCTCAGCAATTTCTGGAATTCCACTGATTATTACCAATTCGTTTTGATTTGTAGGCAATTTAGAAACAACTACAAATCGTGAAATTGCATTAGTTTGCGACAAATGAGAGCATCTGGAAAGATTTCCGAATTGAGGACAATACAGGAGAGGCGAAAGAAGCGTTTGTATTTTTCCCTATCAACGCAACGTCAACACGGTTAGCGCGGCGTTCTTGCGCCACAGCGCATTTATGCGCTTGCATTGAAGAGTAAAGTTGACATAATGCTCTTATCAGGCGAAGAGCATTACAATGGACTTTCGCGCTATTCGCAGCCTTGCTGAATTGATGGTGCGACACTATCGTCATCTCGTGTTGCTCAGGGACGCCGCTTGTCTGCACAGTGCTCTGCGATGCTGTGTACTTTGCGTCATGCCAAAATGTTATTCACGTGCGACACACAACATGTGTGAAAAATGTGCGAGTGCTATAATTAAATTCTTCCTGTGCAGCAATATTTCTTTTGTGTCGGAGAACGAAATCGCTGTAAAGTATCCGCATTGCGTACGCCCAATGATATGAAACAGCTTTGGGAATTCAATTCATCATGTATTTCTGTGCACTTTCACTCCGTCACGCCCGAGAGGAATCTTCTTCCAGCTGCAATTCTGCGCATCATGAACTTCGACGTTTCATTTAATTTTCAACTTGACTACAGTGTAATTAAATCTGGCGGCGGAGGAATTAAATCTCTAATGGAGTTTAAGAAGCTTGAGGTATAATTTCACTACAAGTACATGAGACCAGTGGTGGCGGCGTGCGACATCAGCGTGTTGATCGCCTGCTGCGTCTCCAGATACAGGCGGCACTCCTTCAGCCAGTCGCTGGCCACCTTGCGCGGCGCGCCCTGGAGCAGGTTCATGTACCTCAGCGTCTGGGTCAGGTTGCCGCGCTCCATCCAATAGCTGCCGAGCAACAGAGAGACAATTAGAGTTTGGCCGAAGCGCCGGCAAACGGAAACTCACCGGGCTCTGTTCAGTATGTCGTAAGTATCCAATTTGCTAAAGTCGACGATCTCATCCTTCAACTCCTCCTTGGACACGGGATTGTCGGGCGTGAGGATGAACATGGACTGCAAGTATGACAGGATGTACATGGGTAGACGCGCTCCGTCCTCGGGCACCAGCGCCAGGCGTCTGGCCAGGCGATCCACCTTGAGGAAGCGCTCTCGCAGCGCCTCCTCCGGATACACGCCACGCGTGAGCGCCTCCTTGGACAGCGAGCCCAGGATCGTCTTCACCACCTTGTCGTTCTCCGCCGACGCCTTGTCCACCGCACTCACGGCGCCCTCCAGAGGCACCAGCCCGTCGCGCCACGAGGAGTTGTTCTCCCCCTGACGCACGCACAGCCACAGCGCCTGACACGCGCTCCACAGGCCTCGAGCCTTCTGCGACTTCTCCTCGGCTTCCGCTCGCGCTGAAATCAGTCACACAAACATCGCATTAGCCTCTCAACACTCCATCTGACGCCTTTGCAGAATTCTCTGTGCTCCTGAGCTTCATCACCTCTAAAAATTCTCCACGAATTTGACCATTAATAATAATTTTTCGCCAACTACAAACTGAGAGTCGAAAATTTTTTAAATCTGAATTATGTAAATAAATCCATCTGCTAAAACCCTCACGTTTCTCAATGCACAATGAGTTCATGCAGAAATTTCGACTGAAAAGTTTCTCAAAGTTTTTCACGTTCAAACGTACAGAATGTTAATAAAAAAATACATATTGTTGTCTTTAAGTTTAAACGATTTAGACGTGTACATTTTGATATCAACAACACTACACTCAAAAGTATAACACCGTCCAGATCTCGGTTAAATTGAAACGAAGCAATGGCCATTTTATTTTCGAATTTTGGATCTCAAAATCTAGGGTTCAGAAGAATCTAGACTCTTAAGCGATAGTTCGTTGGATAGGTTTTGATGCCAGCAACAACATACTGCAATATGGACCCAATCCATACCATAGTGGCTGAGCAAATGAGTAAAATATGTTTTAAAGATGTTCAAAATGGCGGACTGTGCAGTACGAGATTCGATTTTTTGCGTATTCCCAGCTCTAGTGTTGCCAAAACGACCCCCTGGAGTGAGTCTAGTGTTAAGGTCGCATTCATTTTCACCCCTGTTGTGAAACATTCGTTATTATTTTGATCTATAGGCCAAATTAACACACGTTTTCTATTTGATTAATTATTTCACCAGGCAAGTGATACTATTTGCAGTCGGCAATACATTGTTTGCTCCTTCCGCAAAATGCCGAGGCAACTGTCATGAGTATCTGAATATTTTCCAAGTGATTTATTGTATTTGATACCACGAAACACTCCCCCTTTCACTCTCACAATTCGGTCAAATTATGTGGTTGGAAAATGAACAGCAGCAGCTCTGTTTCTATGTATCGCACGCCATTGTTACGCGCCGTAATGCAAAAGCCTGGTTGGCCAATTAAATTACATGTATCCAGAATCATAGATCTGGATGAGAGATTGTGTGGCGCAGCGAACACAAGACAGAAACACCCTGTCCATTAGCCAGACTCATCGAAGTTTAACACAACTTGAGAACTTCAATTTTCATATAAAAGTTCCCGCGCTGTTTTGCCAAACTTTATATGCACGAAATGCGAATGGAAACTCAAGAGTGGCACTTTTCTCTGCGCCAGCATAAAGAAACTTTACCTCGCACTTCGAAACTTATCTCTGAGCAGCGTGCAAGAGAGCCATTGAGTTAGTGGCGAGAATATCGCAAAAATTCTCTCAGAATTACCTTTCAGCGTGGCGTCCATTCCCTTCACTTTGCCCACCATTTCCGCCAATTGCGTGGCATAGGACGTCTTCTCCTTCAGCAGCTTCTCGTCACTCTCGCGCGTCAGCACGCGGCGAATCTCCTGCTCCTTCAGCTTCAGCGTCTCGTTCAGACTGTCCACGTGCGCCTGAGCTTGCTGCTTCAGCGCCTCGCGGATCTTCCGCTCGCCCGCCTGGCGGATCTCGAAGAGCTCCTTCTGCTTCGCCAGCGCCATATCACGACGCTCCTTCTCCAGGCGATAGTTCAGCTCGGCCTCCAGCATCTCCTCCCTATCGTTCGACTGCAGGCTGTTCAGCACGCGCTTCAGTCGCTCTTCGCCCTCAACGTGCAGCTTCTGCAGCTCCTTCTGATACGCCAGCACGTGCGAGTACGCGTAGAGCAGGAAGAGATCCAGCTGATCCTTCGGCAGATCCAGTTGCCTCTCCGTCACATTGATTCCCGGGAAGAGACTTTCCATTTCACTCACGAAGTGATTCCGCGCGTCTTCAACCTGGAAAAGTTATTTGAAAGTCAATAAGTTCATTCAAGGGTGGAACATGAGCTTTACGAGCTTTAGTGATTTAAAGTAACTGATTATAGAAGCTTAGGAAAGGCTTTAAAGTCTCTATAGTATTAAATTTGAAGACATTTCTTGCCAAGGATCTATAAACGAGAATCAGAAAAATTGTATTTTAATGGTAACATTGTTCTAAATCGTTTAAGAAACTTTAATATTTAAGTCAATTCTGGCGAAATCTTTGTTCAAAAATGGACAATCACTAATAGCAGCTCTTTTGCTACTCCAGAGTTTGAGTTCATTGATTAAATTAGCATCAAAATGGTGCTGCAATCGATACCAGATAAGATTATTTCTACATTATCATTAGTATCATCGCCTTTTGCAAGCCAGATGACGCTCTAGAGGTTCTTAAACTGCTGCAATAACTATAAATTACCTTTTTCCAGTACTTTTCACTCATGTTGGACAACTCTCTAGCCTTGAACAGTTCCGTCTTGGCGGCATTCAGCGTATTTCTCGCCTTTTCCTGGGTTTCTCTCACTTTAGAATACACTTCAGTTGAAGCCTGGGAAACATTGTTCTTCAGCGCCTTTTCCAGGGTTTCTGCAGCACAATAAAATCCTTCATTATCACAGAATTTATCTATAGCTTCTAATGACTCTCACCCAGCTTCGTTGCCGCCTCCTGGGCGAGCTCTTCAGCCTGTCTCACTGCGGAATTCCGCGCGCTCGTCCTGTTCTTCAATGACGACCACGACGCGGTGTCCGTGTGATCGACGATGCTGTCGACGACTTTGCGCACTTCCTCGTTATACTTCTTGAAGATCTCGGCCGCCTTCTGGTACTCCGCCGCCGCGGTGGCTGCGGCGGCTTCCACGGCCACTTCCAGCTCTAGCACGGTCTTCGGGATCTCGAAGGATTCGCTCTTAGGCGCCGGACGCGCCGGGGAACTGGCTCTGGGCGGGGCTGCGGATTTGGGCGGCGGTGTGGGCTCGGGCACGGGGATTGTGGCGTCACTCTGGGTGGGTTTCGGCGGTTTTCTCACCAGCGGCGGCGGCACGATGTTCTCCTTCTTCATTGGCTCCTCTTTGCCACCGAAGAGGCCAAACACGGAGGACTTTGTGTCCTCCAGCGTCTTCGAGATGCCCTTGTCGTCCAGCAGGGTGTTCAGGGTGGATTCCAGAGCCGGGAAGGTGGCCACCAGGGACTTCCGGAAGCCCTCGTCATACCTGCAAAGCACAAACACGTGAAATCCCGCCGCGAAGCTCAATTGTCAGCCACTCACTTGGCGTAGGCGAGAACTCCTCCGGCCGCGGCGAGCGGGGAGAGGATCACGAGGAACTTGCCGAATCCCGCCTCCCGTGGCGCCCCCGGAGGACTGCTCCACAGCCGCCTGGCGTGGAGGATTCGCGCGTCGTTTGTTTGGATCTGCAAAGAATCATCTGATTGTCACGGCCAAACATTATGTAATGCAGAACACAATTAGCATTTTGTCTCCACACGAACACTTTCATCCCAAATTCGGTCTCTTCTGACGTCACCCAGAACATCTTGGCTCTCTTTTGGTCAAAGTCTCTGCGATGCGGCAGAAATTGCTTGTGTGAAAACTCATCCTTCGCGAAGTGGATGACATAACTTTTCGTGGCACTTTTGCTGTGGCTTTTCTGGGCGACGCAGTGCGAATCTACGAACCTTGGTGAGCTGGGAGGATCTGCGAAGTGCAAGACGATACATCTTGGGACACTTGAAGGCGTGTCGCACCGGCTTTGGTGGAAAAATCGAAATTTGCACAACCACAACACCTGACAGACTAGTTGTCCACCATTGATGTTGTCAAATTGACCGACCCGGCGGACCGCGCTCGCGTGCACGTGCAAGAAGGTGAATAATCAGCGGTACTGATAAGGCAGATGAGACTCTGACTCTCGCTGAGATGTAAATCCCAGCTAGATAATACTCTTTTTTCGAGCCTCCGGGATTTAACAACAAAAATCTTGCTAAAGTTGTACCTTTAACACTAAAATTTGAAAACAAAGATGAGGTTTTTGAGTTTTCGGCTTAGGACAGAGTCAGAGTCAGACTCTGGCTTACCTTTTAGTCACTGAGTCAGCCGGGTTTGTTGTCCCCTCCCAGAAATGTGCTGTTGTTGCTCAGTTCGACGCCGGCGCCCAAACTGTCACTCGTGCCGAGAAAATAACCTCCAGGAGCTGCGGAAGGAGTTGCAGGAGATCCAGAGAATCCTCAGAGATGTTGCGATTGGCAACAAACTTGGGTAAGTCAGGAGATTAATCTCTCTCCGCTGTGCCTAATCGTCTTGCATTTCAGCCTGCCGGCTGAGCAGTACGCTCGTGCGAGCGAACCAGCAATGCCTTCAGCGCCAGGAAGTGATTCCCAGAGCCTTCTCCTCGCTGCCAGGCTTAAGTCTAAGCTGTAATCCTGGCATTCTGGCCATCGGCCAGGCCATCACCGCGCCTCAGACGCGGAGCTTAACAAAATTCTCGATGCAGAGCGGCAAGAGGAAGTCCGTGAAGGCGGTGCTCAAGAGATTCTACCGTCTGGACTGGGGCGAATGGATCCGCACGCGGACGGGCAGACACAAGCATCTGTGGCGGAAGAGCGCCAAGGCGAAGCGGCGCTTGCGGCAGCACGTCTTCGTCAACTCCACCCAGGCTTATTTGCTGGACAAGATGGTGACCAAGTTCTGGAGGATGCCCAAGTTCTACGTCAACGATCCTTATCGACCCTACCACTCGCGCGAGGAGTTCTACCAGACGAAGAAGAGGACCGACCAGTGCTAATCACCGATTTATTATTTCTCCCGAGGGATTTTGTAGAAAAATAGAAGTAACTAATCGTCCTTGATAACAGTGTTGGTCAGTTTGCCGAGACCCTCGATTTCGCTCTCGATGACATCGCCCGGTTTCAGGTACTCCGGCGGATCGCGGAACATGCCAACGCCACCGGGCGTGCCGGTGAGGATAACGTCGCCGGGACGCAGCGTGATGGACTGCGTGAGGCGGCTGATGATGTCGTCGATGCGGAAGATGAGCTCGTCGGTATTCCCGGACTGCTTCTGCACGCCGTTGATGCTGCAGCGGATCTTGAGGCTGTGCGGATCCGGCACGAGGCTCTTGTGCACAATCGCCGGGCCGAGAGGACAGAAAGTGTCCATGGACTTGCCGATGAGGAACTGCTTGTTGTTCAGCACCTTTTGCCAATCCCGCGCGGAGATGTCCTGCGCCACGCAGTAGCCGAACACGTAGTCGTAGGCCTTCTCGCGCGGCACCTTCTTAGCCGTCTTACCGATCACCACGGCCAGTTCCACTTCCCAGTCGATTTGCTGCAGCAAACATAAGATAATTGTAAGTACCATCGGGTTTATCAACATTATATTGCCTACCGAGCTTATCTCGTGCGCTATGACGGATCCCGTGGGGCCCACGAGAGTGCTGGCGAATTTGCTGAAGAACATCGGACGCTCCGGAGGCTTGAGGTTCTGCTCCTCGCAGTGGCCGCGATAGTTCAGCCCGATGCACACGATCTTCTCCGGATGCGAGACAGGAGACTCCAGCGTCACGTCCGCCGTGACATCCTCAGCGGGCAGAGAGCTGAGCTTCTTCTCCAAATCCGCCAGGTTCACGTCCTTCTCCAGAAACCCAATCATGTCATTCCCATACGCAGACAGCGATGAAATCTTCTTCCCGTCCGGCGACAAGACACCCAAACGGGTGCTCTTGTCGCCACCCTTCCTGTACTGAACGAATCTCATGGCAGCTGGAGAGGAAGAACTGGAAAAGCAGCCCGAAATGCACTCTCTTCGTCACTTGCCGGCCAAAACAAATAAATTACCTCAAATTCCGGATAAAAGTCGCCCTTTTTAGCGCTCCTTCGAGTCTATTGATCTGTCGCCACGTCTGGAAACGACCAGAAATTGTACGCACCGAAGAGAATGACATTCTCTAGCCTTCTGATAATGATATTTTCCCAAGGATGGAAATGTGTGCGTTAGAATTTTTTGTGATCACTGAACACATATCAAAATCATATGATTTTTTAAAAGGCACTTACGATGGCCTCTCAAGTTAAGAGACGAAGAAGTGTTATCGATTGATTAGAAGAAAACGGTCTGTTGGTTATCAAAACTGACTGGAATTTTAAATGATTCGCTAAGTTTACAAGGAATATTTTCTCTTCAAGTTTGCTAACGTGAATATACTTGTTTGTAATTAAAAGGCGAATGAAAGTTGGTTTTAAATCCGACTTTTTCCCATCTTTGAGCTGTTTAATCATCTCCTGAAAGTATCTCATTATGATTTAAGACCACCTTTTTTCGTGGTGAACATTAGAATTAAACATGAAATATCTGCCCATCTTTCTTACAAACAGACCAGAAAATGCATAAGAAATTGTGTTTTTTATCTCTTCTAATGAGATTAAAATTCATCTGGAATTCCTCAGCATAACTTTTCGGTCTCTGCAACTGAGACGCACACCTTCGACTCACCTGTAAATATTCGTGACGTAATGTTACAACTACATAACTGTACCTATAAATTACCTGTTCTATAGATGTATTTCTTCGCCTCTCTGTCTCTCGCGATCGCTGTGTTGGCGATCGCCTTCAATTCCAATACCCGAGCGCAGTGTCTGTGGAGATTTCGGGGAGTGAATTCCAAACGGGAGCACTTCAGTCGGGCGTCTGGCCAAGAATCTCATTCTTTCACCACTTTTCCTCAAAAGGTGCTAAATTCTGGACGCAATTACACCATTTTTGGATGGATAATTGCAGTGTTCGTGACATAAAGAGGATCGCGAGTGGCTAAAAGTGAAAGCAAAATGGTGGTATAATCTTGATTTAAAGTTGACGAAGAGAACACATAAAGTCGCGGATAATCACATTAAGAGTGGCATTGTTACTTTGTGATCTCTTAACGCGGATATAATTGTGAGTCTGTGAATGAAATATTGGGGAATAATTAGTGTGTTGAATTCGATAGAAATTCCATGAAATTTTGAAGAGATCTCAAACAAGGTAAACTACTTCCTCCACACACATTGAAATCTCCTCTCGCGTATTATTGTTTAAAGTTCGTGGGTGCAAATAAGTTTGCCCATTGCATAATTTTATCACTTATGCCTGAATAGAGCTCTTCTCTGCTTTTGCTGCTAGGAAAATGCCACGAAAACTACTTAAATTCCTCATACTCTTCGACAACACGTCGCTTCTCTACTTTCCCGGGCAGTTTCTGTCCGGGAGGGTTTTACTGCAGCTTCAACACGAGACGCCAGTGCTGAGTCTGCACTTTAATGTAATGGGCGAAGGTGTGGTCCAGGTGAGATCAGCCAGGCAAGAGAGGACGTACGATAAGGAGAACTACATCGACTTCCGGATGCGTTTGCTTGGCGATTCTGATCACGAGCCGTCCATCTTGTCACCCGGAATCCATAGCTTTCCCTTCAAGCTGGGCCTTCCGCTTGGACTTCCATCGACGTTCTTGGGCAGATACGGATGGATTCAGTACTTCTGCAAGGCCGCCCTCAGGGAACCGTCCGGACTCATCCACAAGAATCATCAAGTGTTCATCGTAATGAATCCAATCGACTTGAACATGGAGCCATCAATATTATCAGTACGTTGATCGCTTTCTTTCTCTTTAGAATGGTGTTAATTTGACAGTATTTCAGCAACCCTTCAAGTGTGACATTGAACACAAACTGGGAGTGGCTTGTGTTGGGGGCGGAGCCGTGAAGTGCCGTGTGATCCTGGATCGAGGAGGATATGTTCCGGGAGAGAGTATCTCAGTGTCTGCACTCGTGTCTAATGGAAGCAACGTGACGATCAAGAGTACAAAGGCTTCCCTGACCGAGACGATTGAGTACATGGCGCGCGGAAAGGTAGTTCAGACGGAGAAGAGGGATCTCGTGACCATTACCAGAGGTAAAATCCGGGCTGGCGGCGTGGATGAGTGGCAGAATGAGACTCTCTACGTGCCACCTTTGCCGCCGACGAACCTCAAAGGGTGCCATATCATTAGGATCCAGTATGACGTATTTGTGAGTATTTTCCACTAGCGACCATTTGACTATCTGACTCACATGTGGAACTTTTCAGTTCATCGTCGAGCCCAAATCGTTGGAGAAGCAGATAAAACTCCAGCTCCCGATCACGCTGGCCACTTATCCATTCCGCAATTCCTCCGGGGACATTTCGAACACTTGGCCAGAATCGATCTTGAAGCCAGAAACTCACTATCCATCAACTCTACCCATCTTCCGACCGTGGTTGCACGAGAAGAACGAGAATAACTAGTGATAAAAGGATGGATTCAACATTACTGTGCCTTAAACTAACTTTAACTGATTACCATTTTTTTGTTGGGACGTCTGCAAATTTTCTTTATTTCAAAATTCCAAATTTTGCATTTATTTGCCGACGTTCCAGTTTTGAGACACAAAATGTGCTCTCTCTCGCTCTCGAAAACGAATATAAAATGTGCGCGATTCCATATTAATTTGTGAATAATAGAAATTAATGACAACAATAAATTTTAGGTGCCATTTATTAATGTGCTTGTCATTTAAGTTTCTCATAATCTGGTTGTTTTCTTGATGAAATTTGTAGAGCCGTTGCAGAAATGTTAATTATTAGATATTCTGATGTTCACCCAGTTTACAAAAGCTCTGAATGGAATCTGATTTTCCTATACTGGTTCATAACTGATAATTCCATCCGACTAATTTCCAATATTGAGAAATTTTTACAAAATATTTATAGAGTCGCTTGAGATGGTTTTGTTTTAATTTTGCGAATCAAACGTTCGAATAAGATTGATTTATTGAATTCTGTTTACTTAGAATAATCCTAAAATCACGTCTGGGAATAATATTTTCAACGTGATTTTAGAAGTATTGTAGTTTACCGATTCTGTGTGAAATCTCTTAAGATAAGAGACGTTAAGTGTTTTAGCCAGAATGCAGCTCTGCTCTTACTCACACTTTCACGTGCTTTTGGACTGTCAGAAAGAAAATTCTCGCGATTTCTTTGCTCCGCTAAATTTATTTATTTCTCCGCGAAATCAGTGTGAATTGCCCTGAAAATGGCATTCGTGAACAGATTAATGCTTCGTCCTCTCTATCAGGTAAGGATTTGTGTGGATGTCAATCCAATTTGCCTGTGAAAAGGTAAATAGGTTTATGTAAGACATTAGGTTATATTGCAAGGTTGTTCTCACACAGATTTTTCTGTGCTTATTTTGCAGGCCTCGAGAGCTCTTCACACAACTTCTGCGGTGAATAATGTGAGTGCATTTGGTGAATATTATCGTGCCAATTGCACGGCACTAATTGCGATGCCTTTGTGCTTTCCAGGCGGCTCCAGTGGCGAAGCCGGAGGGCAGGATAAAGTGCACGATGATTCCCGGCGACGGCGTCGGACCGGAGCTGATGTACTCCGTCCAGGAGGTGTTCAAGGCTGCCGACGTGCCGGTGGACTTCGAGACGTACTTCCTGTCCGAGGTCAATCCGCTGCTCAGTGCGCCGCTTGAGAACGTCACGGCGAGCATCAATAAGAACAAGATCTGCCTGAAGGGAATCCTGGGCACGCCCGACTACAGCCGCACCGGCGAGCTGCAGACGCTGAACATGAAGCTGCGCAACGACCTGGACCTGTACGCTAACGTGGTGCACGTGCGGAGTCTGCCGGGCGTCCGCAGTCGCCACCAGAACATCGACTGCACGATCATCCGCGAGCAGACTGAGGGCGAATACTCGGCGCTGGAGCACGAGTCCGTGTCCGGTGTCGTGGAGTGCCTGAAGATTGTCACGGCGAAGAAGTCGCTGCGCATCGCCAAGTTCGCATTCGATTACGCCACGAAGAACAACCGCAAGAAGGTGACTTGCGTGCACAAGGCGAACATCATGAAGCTGGGCGACGGGCTGTTCCTCAAGAGCTGCGAGGAGATGTCCAAGCTCTATCCGCGCATCCAGTTCGAGAAGATGATCGTGGACAACACCACCATGCAGATGGTCTCCAATCCTAACCAGTTCGACGTGATGGTGACGCCGAATCTCTACGGAAACATCCTGGACAACATCGCATCGGGCCTGGTTGGCGGCGCAGGAGTCGTCGCCGGCGCCTCCTACTCCTCCGATCACGTCGTCTTCGAGCCCGTGAGTCCGCGCACTTGTTGCGCCTGTACTTCCGCTCACGCTTCCTCTCTTTGCAGGGCGCGCGCCACACTTTCTCCGAGGCGGTGGGCAAGAACGTGGCCAATCCCACGGCGATGCTGCTGTGCGCCGCGAAGATGCTGCGCCACGTGAACCTGCAGCCGTACAGCGACCTCATCCTCAACGCCGTGTCGTCGGTGCTGACGGCGGGAAAGGTGCGCACCAAAGACCTGGGCGGCCAGTCCACCACCAATGAGTTCACCTTTGCCGTGATCGCCAACCTACATTAGAGGTCACACTTTCGGTCGGGGAATTGCCAGAAGAGAAAGCTAATTTATCTCCATTTGTTGATCAATGGTCGAATAATATTTATTTAATTGTTGACGAATCACACCAAGAGTATTGAGTTGTACTTACTGTTGCCACAAAATCTCTCACGTCGATCCCACGGAGTCGTGATAGCCAATAAATGACTCGATGTGATGTTCAGAAGATTTGGCGGTTTTATTGAAGAAAGACAGAGGCGTAGTTGGATTATCGACTAGGAGATGACTTGCATCAAGGGGAAAGCAACAGTCGTTTTTTAAGGAATTTTAATTTTTTTCTACATATGGCCACCAGAGGGCAGCAAAGTTGGCGTGGGAACCGCGTCTCATATCGTATTTTTCGCAAAATTTTTTCTCTCTTCTCACGCATTCTCTCTTCTCGGAGTTCCTGATGTAATCCTGGCCGGGAGAGAAGGAAATTTGTTGGATTCTAACACTTAAAAGTAGGAATAAGAGGCCAGTGCTCTAATCACATAGCCAAACTTGCTTTTGGGAAATACATAATCACAGTTAATGGTATGAAATTGCGAGTGACTTTCTCCTTGATTTTCACAATGTAAGTAATTAATAGAGACTCAAAAGGGTGATAAGTGAGCGAGGCGGGAAGCATTTAAAGGGAAAACAGTTACAATTCTTAAGGTAAAATCGGTTAAGTTGTTTTGAAAAATTATTTACGGCACAGAAATTCTCTGACCTTTTCAATAAGCGTGAAAATCGACTTTCTCATATCATTTTTCGATGGTGAATTGTAAATTGGAAGACTCTTTGGGAGGGGAAAGAGTAATTGCAAGTTTGGAAACACTAAACGGAATCATAAGGTATTTATAAATAAATTTATGATTTAACAACCTTGGCATTATTGTGATGATCTTGTGCTGTCTTCGATAATCTTCACGAAGCCAATGAGGAGATATCAAAGTGTGGAGGCCAATAAGAGAAATGCGCGTGTTTTTGAGAGTACAAAACCACTATTTAATACATTTAATATCAAGATTAGGCATAGTGTAATCAGATCTTGGGGTCGTTCGCTGTGAGTTTGACGATTTTCGCTGATTCCTCCCACAGTTTTCCCGCCTTTTCCATGTCTTGCGCCGCCCTGTTGAGCGTGGCCTCCTTGCAGTCCATGAAGTACTTGCCGGACACACCGTTCAGCTCCTCGGCGACGGCGAGGTGAATGGTGGTCTGCGCGCCCTGCTCGGTGGTCTTGAAGAAGCCGCGCGTGATCAGCTTCATGGGGTAGTTGAGCGGGAAAGGCACGTTGCGCCAGATGCCGCTGTCGATCATGCCGGGATGCAGGAAGTTGGCCGTGACGCCCGTGCCTTCGAGTCTGCGCGCCAGTTCGCGCGCGAAGTAGATGTTGGCGTACTTGGACACGTAATAGAGATACGCGGCCGGCTTCGTGTTCACGGGATTGAGGTTGTTCAGGTTCACGCACGCCAGCTTGTACAGCTCCGACGCCACGATGACTATTCGGCTGGGCGCGGTCTTCTTCAGCAGATCGACGAGCAGGTGTGTGAGCAAGAAGGGTCCGTAGTGGTTTGTCGCCATGGTCAGTTCGATGCCGTCGACGCTCTTTGCGCCGCGAATGGCCAGCGCCATGCCGGCGTTGTGCACGAGCACGTGCAGCTTCGGTTCCGTCTTCACAATGTCGGCAGCAAACTCGCGCACGGACTGTTGAGAGCTGAGATCCAGCTTCTTCAGGATCACATTGCTATTTCCACTGGCCTTGATGATCTCCTCCTGCGCCGCCTTGGCTGTGTCCAGATTTCTGCACGCCATGATGACGCGGGCGCCACGACTCGCGAGATCCTTGGCGGTCTCCTTGCCGATGCCGCTGTTCGCGCCCGTGATGATCACTGTCTTGCCTTCCATTTTGGCCTTCGATGAGCACCGGCCGCACGTAAGATAGCAGTAGAGATTGAGCAGGAAGATCACAGTAACGGCCGCGGAAACGCCAAAAAGAGCGATAGTTTGAACCAAAGGGCAGCTCAGGTCGATTCCAAGCAGGATCATAGTAAGATTCTGGAAGAAGACAGACGATTTCGCATGCTCAATCAACCTCTAGATCACCTTTGATGACGAGAAAAACGAAAGAAAGAGCTTAAAAATGGGGAATTTTGCCCATTATTTTGCTCGTTTCACTCAAAATTGGAAGATTTAGGCGCAATTGCAACACATGCTGCCCAAATTAACCAGGGCAAAAAGTTTAACGAACTTTTTCACCAAAACATATTAATGAAAAAGTCTCAAAAGAGCTCAAGGCATAAACTTTCACTACACAAAGTGTGTCTTCCCCAAAAATCATTGCCGCAATGCTGTCGAAACTAACTGTTCGTCTCTTTATTTATCATTGAAATTGATGGAATGCTTATTTCCATCGCATCCGCTTAGAGAAAAATTCCAACATCTCGAATTTAAGCATATTTTGACCTCTGGTTTTGTGAAAACCTTGCAACACATTGAAATTTTGGTGGTTCTTGCGCAAGAGATTACATAATATGTGATTTTGGCCATCTTGGCGTTGTCTCACAATGAAAGTCCAAAATATGCTGAGCGAGTTTTTCCACAGGGAGAAACGAAAATAATGCATACGTGTTACTTTTCAAAAGAATATTCTGCACAAAGTAATAAATCAAATCCCTCGTTGAGAGCAATAGAGTGGGAAATTCCATTAAGAAAATGCGGTAATCTTAAGCTGCAATCTTTCCCGGATATTTATGCAAAATCCTCAGTAATTATTAACTTACACAGAAGATGTTGCAGAATAAATTGTCTGAGACTTTTCGATCACTTCACGAATTTATCACTGAACTCTCGGCGTTCTTCGCCAGCAATGTTCTTCAAGTGCGACTCTCCGATGGCGACTGATTCAGGTGAAGCGCTGCCGAGTGATTTGAAGGTGCGGAACGAGCGCCGCGTGAATTGTTAGTCTCATCCACCTCTTCTCTCCCAATTTCTTGCCTCAGTGTGCGTCTGCTGATGATACTTATTTTCCTCGCGATTTGTACATTTGTGTCCCGAGAAACACCCAACAATTGTATAATGGTAATGAACTTTGCGGCAGTCCGTTAAGGAATTCCTTTGTTACTGCTGAGCACTTTGTTATTATTTATTACTTGTTGGCTGCTGTTTCATTTGCAAACATTCTTCTTGTGCTTGGAAACAATTAATACGTTTAAGAACATGATAGAATGTGTGTAGGAGCAAATTTGTGGTCAGGTTTTTTTTGTTCAGAGGAGATCTGTAGACACGAATACAGCGTCACTTTCACGTGTTTCACGTACAATATCCGCTCATGAAGACATCTATGGGTGTTTTTTGAGTCCGTTTCCAACGTGAAGTGAAAAAATATGTAGTTGTGCTGATTTAAGTGTCCTCTTAACCCTTTGAGGACATCAAGAATAAGTGCATTTGATTTTTTCCAGGCTGCAATTGTCGACACGAATTGCGTGCAATTTTCGTTTCTTAACCCAAATTTAGAAGAAAATAATTAAAATGGACAGTCCAAGGACTAATTAGTCCATATCAGTAGTCCAATTTTACCCTAAAATAGTCTTAAAAAGAAAATCGCACGCTATTCGTATCGATCAGTGTCGATATTGGGACCGACACTCCAACGTAGAATAATAATTTCCTAACTTCGTCTCATGAAAAATTCTTTTTCGCTGTTAGTTTTTTTCATTCTACTCAATTAGTATTGAGTCGACATTTCCAACGTCTACAAAAATTTTCCTTTCCAGGGAAGACTAAGAGTTTACACGCCAACTGCCAAGCGGTTTTTAAGACTCAATAGAAGAGAGAATATTTTGCCATTATTAGCATTTTTAATATATTTATCTAATTTCCCAGGTAAAATTCACAAATTTGGACTACAATTTTCTGGTCGCCGCTGCCCCACTTCACCCTACATTATTACGATTGAGAATATTTATCTCATATAGTCGTATTTCACACTTAATAATTAAATATCTTTTGTCGTTCGCTTCTTATTAACAAGAATTTTTGAAATTCACACACTTTTGTGCCATAAACGAGTAGCGAGATGATTTTCCCACTACCTTGTTTAAATGATAGAAATTCGTTCCAATAAAATCCATGATGTGTTCTTCTGTATGAATAAATGAATGAAAAGGACGTCCATAAATAACTAATGAATGCGATTCAGTGAATCAAACAGTGTGAAACGTGGAAAACAAAGGGTTTCCAAATATAACTAACAGCGTCATTTCAGTATAGTTTCTGGCTGATATGAGAAGGATAATAATTCGTCACGTGAATTGTGTAATTTGTGCACCCCTCGAATAAATTGCCTAATAATATTGTGCAATCAAATAATTTGTATTTACGCTCATGTACATATGCGCTTGTGTGTCTGCTGTGCACTTCCATGGTGATTAAATAGCGCGGCATTTAATTGAATTTGGGAGCGCGCACAATGAAAAAAACCGCCACAGTTTGGAGTGTGGGGTTCGACCGGATATTTCACCCCGTTTCAATTATTGATTGCCGCGCGCTGATTGCAAAGGGGATGCAGAGACGAAGAGTCTGAGCTGGCGATGTGAGAAACCCCGCGGAGAATTCCGCTTACTTCGCGCGAAGGCTGCGACAGTCGACGGAGAAGCAGAGCCGCGATACAAAGAAGGTGGAGCCATACTTATAAAATATATATCACAAATCTGGCGCGTGTGGAAGTCTTCAATTCGCTCATTTGTACTAGGCGAGCAGAAGCGCCAGGCGGCGCCGCCGCACAGTAATGGCCAGTCGCTGGCTGACCCGCACACATGGCAAGTGCGCGACAGTGCTCAGCTGCACTGCACTGTGTGCGTCTCCCCCACTTTTATTGGAAAACGCCTCAGTACATAAATGAGGGAATGATCTTCAACCGGTTCACACGTATTAGGCGCCCAGAAGCGCGCGGCGGCGCTTTTATGGCCTCTCATTGACATCACCATTGAAATCACCTCATTACAATCACTATTGACTATTGGGCGTGCAATTGCACCTCCGCGGTGACTTATTGGCCGCTGCCACTTGTGGCGAATCCAGCATTAGACTGGCGAGTGTGTAGGAAAAGTGCGACGCACAAACGCGCGAGAGGAAGTCGCGGAGGAGATTTGAGGGCGCGTGCAGGCTTTTCTGGTGCCCTATTCGGCCAACAGTTTTAAATACAATAGTAAAGAACATAAATTTTCCGTCCGCACACTGGGCCGAGTGATTCTGCACACACCATCACGTGTGAGAACATCCCCGGAGTGCGCCACGTGACAATCTCTCCAGCAGGTGGGCCGCGAAGCCACCATCTAACCGAGAGCAATCACAGGCTTTCCTCGGCGCCGCACAGCGCGGGGTGAAAAGCGCCGGGAAGGTTCTCACAGGAAATTTTTCCACACATGCATGTTGTCAAATTCAAATTTCACATATGTGGGCTTAGAAATTGAACATGTGGATATTTCAACAGGATTGCAGAAGCGAGGAGTCTATGGCGGGACATAGGAATGGATGGGAACTGGAGCGGCAGGAGCTTTCCCGCGCAAGAGCTTAGAAATTTCGGACGCGCCGCACACACGTGAAAAGCCATTTCACATTCTCAGTCGCGCCACCGAACATGTGTGACTCCTTTCGCCCCATATGACGGAATGCGAGCAGCTTCACCCTTTGCCGCTCGTGCGCCGAACAGAGACAGCGAGATGTGCTCTAATTACTCCTGAGAATCGCAGGACATCAATCACAGAAGTGCTGCGGCAAGTTTAATGACCATCGCTAAGGAGATGGCTAAATTATGGTCTTATGAATAGATCTCATCAATAATAACATTGCAATTTCCGTAACTCCCCAAATGAGACGCGATTTACGACAACTCATTAGAGAGCGGAAAATGGAAAACGCTTTCCCGCGGAAGGGCGATGCAGAGCAGACGTTCTGAGGTCCTAGTTGCGTCACAATGTCCTTACTCCAAATACGCTACACACATTACAATTCTTGTTCTCACACATCAATCTTCAGTGACGCAACGGCCACCAAAGGCAGTGGCGTAGCGATTATTTCTGCACTTTTTCCGTGGTGAAGTTTCTGCTCTCCTGGTTACAATTCATTCTCGTCTCCGATGCTTTTCCATCGCAATTCCACCGTGAGCCGCAAGGCAAACTCGAATGGGAATCCTATAGGATCTGCCATGGAGGTTTTTAGCCTAAGTGGTGTTCTGAACCTGATTTAGCGTCCCCACTTGCTTCTTTTGCTTTAAAGGCTTTAAAGTTAACGCTAATTAAGTTATCGACTATGTATTTTAACCAAATGTTCACACAATTTTGGAGAAAAAAAATAGTTGAAAACGACATTCTACGGACTGATTAGACCGTATCAATCCTATTTCACCCTAAAATGGTGATAAAAAAGAAATTGCACGAAATTTGTGTAGACAAATGTCGGTAAGTTTAATACTTTACAGACATTTCAACGTATAGTGTGTCATAACTCCCTTAGACTTTGTTCGCATTTCTGATCGCCTAGCAATTGCTGATTCTCACTTCCATCCATTTCCATACAAAATTCCATACTCAGAAACTTAAGAGTTTCATTTAAAAATCTTTTCGACTTTTCAAAAGTGCCCCAAAACTTAATCGACAAATAAAATCGAAAGCAGATTTTCTAAAAAAAATGATGTTAAAAATTACAAAATAATTGTTTAAAATTTCAGAAAATATACTGAGACTTTCTTGAGGTTATGAAGAATTAGAATTAGTTGATCAACACTGATTCCCACAAGAATTCTCAGCTGATTTTTCCTGAAAAATTCTTAACCGAGAAGTGCAAATTCTAATAAAATTCGAACGATTGAGAATATTTATATCGTAAGGCAGAAATGTTAATCCATCCATAGTGATTTTAACCCGACATGGTTTATAAATTTGGACTAAACAACACATAAGTCCATAACTTTGAAGCGCAGACACACACCAATGCCGTTGTTCGCCTTCGGCAAATTATGGATTAGCCAAGGCTCCTTTGCCCGTCATCAACACCATGATAATAAGTCAGAATGTTAATAAATCTCAAATTAAACGCCTACAATGAGCCTTTCCCTTCACGTCCCTCGTTCATTTCTTGGGACATGTCGCAGTGTTAGTCCCCTGGGACATTGGGGATTCGTCTCTAGATACAGATGATTCAGTTGACGGACGCCAATTCACCCAGTTGCGGTTCCACACGCTACGTATAGGTTTCAAGAAACTGTTTCCGACCCATAACGCTTATGGGGAATTTACATTGGATGCGTTTCACTTTTACCTCGACGAAACGATTTCCTGAAATATCTCGGTAGGTAATCATCCCTTTTTTTTATTGCCCCTACGCTCGGGCGCGGAGGGCAATAAACCTCGAACAAAAAAAAGGGATAATTGCCCTCCGAGACATTTCAAGAAATCGATTCGTTACTAGTGCAAGAAATAATTTCATACTTACTACAGGAAACAATTTCGTAATTCAATCAAGAAATATTTTCATTCCTATTGCAAGAAATAATTTCGTAGTTATTTCTGGAAGCAATTTCGTATTTATTTCTTGTATGGAATCCAATACAATTAAAATATATATTTTTGTCCAAACGGCAGTGTTGATTATGCTGAATCTGGCCACCTTTAGCACTCTCCGGCGTCATCTTATCCCGGATTCCGTGAAATTTCCCGCGGCTTCATTGTCCATCTGAAAAACGATAAAATTATTAAATTTTACTGTTTATACGCGCAGAATTTAGATCAAATTTTCTCTCAATTTATTTTACAACAGCATAATCAATGCACATTTTGAAAATTCACCAAAATGTACTTAAATAAATGCAATTTTTCTCACCTTATTATCCGATGAAGAACTGCACTCTGCTCGTTCTGCATTCAACCACGACCAGAACTCAACTAAATCGACAACTCAGATGAGTTTTAGTGAAGGAATTTCCCAACATTGCTTCATCCCGACACCCGAGCCTTGTTTTATGACCCTTTTTTCATACTTTGCATTTTCTCTGCCTATTTTCTGTAAAACAGATGTTTTATTGCACTACTTTTCTCCCTCGAGCGCATCATGGAATTTTGAACCGGTTTCAGGTATTACGAGAAACTCTTCCGTAAACCATACGGAGGCATTTCTTGACCACATTCGGAAATAGTAAGAATACTTGGTCTTACTCGTTTCTCCTCTGAGGGCAATCAGGTAGAGTGCCGAAAATTGGGTAAATTTTATGAGGGTCTGAGAGGTCTGAAATTTCTGTGGGCCATAAAATTTAGGGACACCATATGGCTTATTCTATACATGTTTAATCTGTGAAACAAGAACGAAAGCATTTCTTGTTGGGAATCAGAAACTGAAACCTTTCTCATTTGTATCATGTTCATAGTCGGAGGGCAATAAGGTATTATTGCTCTCCGATTGCCCTCAGAGACAGAACAGGAAACAAATCCGCAACGGTTTCACATCCACTACCGATGAGTATCCGTTTCTTGAAACCCTTACGTAGCGTGTGGAACCGCAACTGGGCATGGAGGGGGGAAACGTCACGCCCCGATAAGTGCACTTTCTGCCAACCTGCGATCGCGGTGAGAAAGACATTAGACAGTTGCCACAAGTCTTCATTAATTACCCTAATCGCAGGAATTTTTAATTTCCTAAATGGTTTTACTTACAACACTTTTACATATTTGTGCAGTGTTAATTGCGTGACAATTTCATGATGTAATTGTGAGGATACAATTTTTCTTCCATTGACTTTCTGCAAGACTTTCTGTGTGTTCGTCAGACTTGTCTGAGGAGTTGTCCGCAGTGCGGACACTCTGACGTCGGCTTTGGCTCTTCTCGACATGTGTTGAGACTGAAAATGTCGGACGGCAGTGTGATTAGTGCTCTCCCGAATAAATTGCTTAGCAAGCAGTTAAAAAGGAAAGCGAGTGATTTTCTGTGCTCTCGAAAGAACGCCAATAATCTAGTGGATATTATACAATGTCTAAAGGTACGGCCGGACGAGCGGAAGGAGTGTTTTTCGTGGTGATTGTGGAGAAGGCAAATTTTCTCTTCCTCTGCATTTCAGAAGTCAATTGGCGACCAAAATGCCTCTCCAATCATCCCGAGCATCCTGGCCCTGGAGACAATATTCACGGAGCTGCTGAGGAGTCGGTCGATGATGATCGAAGTGCAGCCGCTGAAGCCAAAAGGTGGGCGTGAAAAAATCTGCAACGCAATTCTTTCTAGCAGCCATTTTTGACGTGAGAAGCAACTCTCGAATTTACTTTTCCTCTCGCCTTTCTCAAGCAGAAAACACACCGGAGATTCAGTATCGGACGTGGCTGCAGGATTGCTACGCCGAAACATATGAATTCATCCTCAAGTGCTTGTGCGTGGACAGAGAGTCGGATGCTATCCAGGCTCTCGCCACGGCGATGAATCTCTTGTCTCTCGAGGGCAAGTTTCCGATAGACTACGTCACGGACGTGGCGTCTTACTTTCCCTGCTCGAAGCTCCAGAGCATTCTGCAGTGCCTCCTGTCCAGCGAGAGGGCGAACGCGCACCTCATCAGCCGCTTTCAGGAGTTCACGGCCTATCACGACGTCCTGCAGAACGCGTGGAAGGTTCTGCCCAGACTCACGCCACGCGGGCAGGCGCCTAATGAGACGTTCATGATCAACTACTTGGACCTCGCCAACGTGATGGCCATCCAGAGCGCCGACCAGGAGCAAATTAGTCTTTTCTGTGATAATTCAGGCGAGAGTGGCAAGGCAACATTCGATTACCAGGCAATCCGGAAGAATGTCAACAAATCCTGGGCCTGCGTCATGCACTGGCAGCACACAGCGGCCACGCACCAGAAGGTGCTGACGGTGCTGCTGGAGAGGATCTTGCCGCACCTGGACAAGCCTCTCGCTCTCACTGACTTTCTCATGGACTCGCTCGACGTCGGTACGCATTGCCGCATGTGCTTAATCCCCCGCAATCTTATCAACCCGCGCATTTCTCCCCCTCTCTCTCTCTCTCCGCAGGAGGTGCCATCAGCTTACTCGCGTTCCAGGGCGTGTTCACGCTCATCCAAGAGCACAATCTCACGTATCCCTTCATTTACGAGAAGCTCTACTCCATGTTCGAGCCGGAGATCTTCCACACCAAATTCAAGGCGCGCCTCTTCTACTTGGCCGACCTGTTCCTCAGCTCAACGCACCTGCCCGAGGCGCTCGTGGCGGCCTTCGTGAAGCGCCTGGCACGCCTGACTCTAGTCGCTCCGCCGCAGGACATCGTCATCTGCCTGTACTTCATAGGGAACCTGATTGTTCGCCATCCGGGCCTCAAGCGCCTCATCTGCCACCCGAACGGCGGTCAGGTGCTGCGCGATCCCTTCATCATGGACGAGTGCGACCCAACCAAATCCAACGCCATCGAGAGTTCGCTGTGGGAAGTGGCGACACTGCAGAGCCACGGCATTCCCTCGATTGCCACAGCGGCCAAATTCATATCGAATCCACTGCCGACCATCGAATGGGACTTGACACAAGTGCTCGGCGTCACGGAGGATGATGTGAGTAGACTTGCTAATCAGCCGTCGAACGGCCATTAATGACTGCCTTTCGCTTCACAGCTCTTCGATCAGGCTATAAAGAAGAGCTCCAAAGCTGCTTTCCTCACATTCGACAGGCCAACAGCAATGTTCGTACCAAGAGGCGACAAGACGCAGGAGTTTTGGAAGTTATTTTAACTAGGAATCTATTGTAATTTGTTACCCAACATTTTTTCTGAAATAATTATGTCTGATCAACGTATCGATCGAATAGTGCGTATTTTTTCTGGAGATACGACAACTGAGCAAAGAAAGCGATGATTCTGGGAAACCCCTGAAAGATCGTTTTAATATTGATTAAGCAAATACATTTTTTTTCCTCATATTTATTTACTTAATCTGGATATGAAAGAACATTTTCCTTTGAATGGTTGATCAATTTTCATCATTTCAAGAGGCTTTTTGGAAAAGAGCGGAATTGACTCCTAACGCGTAGTTGTTTTCTGGCTGAGAGGAATGTTGGATTCGGTCTTCTGGGTTGTTTTCATGCCATCTGGCAACCCGAGCAGCTGATGTGACAGTTCAAATGATAAACACGCAAAAACATGAGAGTTCAGTGATAATTCCAGTGCGAAAATGGCGAGTTCCTCCACAGTTTCCATCCGGATATGCCAAGAGGGCCACGCCAATGCCCTGGCGCTCAACAAGGACTGCACTCAGATCGCCGTGGCGGGGCGGAGTCTCCTGAAAGTGTTCAGCATCGAGAGCGATGGCTTCACGGAGGTGTGCAACATGCGCGGGGGCAAGAACCAGAACCTCAGCTATTCCTCGAACGATGTGGCCTGGAGTTACTTGGAGCAGAACATCCTGGCCACAGCGGCGACGAATGGCGTAGTTTCTGTGTGGGATCTGTCGCGCTTCGGGCGACACAAGCAACTCCTGGTGTACAATGAGCACGAGAGAACGGCGCACTCGGTGACTTTCCATCCCACTGAGGCGAACTTGCTGATCTCGGGCTCGCAGGACGGGACGATTAAGTGCTTCGACACGAGGACAGACAAGGGCGCCATCATGACGTACTTCAGCAACTCCGAGAGCGTGCGAGACGTGAAGTTCAGCCCGCACAGTCCCAACACGTTCGCGGCTGTGTCGGAGAACGGAACTGTGCAGATCTGGGACATCCGGCGGTCTGAGAAGTGCACCACGCAGTTCACGGCGCACAGCGGGCCGATTTACACGTGCGACTGGCATCCGACGCAGCAGTGGCTGGCGACGGGCAGCAGAGACAAGCAGATCAAGATCTGGAACATGGGCTCCAAGGCCGCCCTGGAGCACACAATCCACACGATCGCCGTGGTGGGACGCGTGAAGTGGCGCCCGGACAAGATGTTCCACATCGCCAGCTGCGCCCTGGTGGTGGACTACAGCATCTACATCTGGGACGTGAGGCGGCCCTACATCCCGTACGCCTCCTTCAACGAGCACACGAACGTGACGACGGGCATCGGGTGGAAGGGCAGCGATCCGTACGTGTTGCTCTCCACCAGCAAAGACTCGACGATCTACAAGCACGCCTTCAAGGACGCCCAGCGTCCCTCCATGAAGTCCAATCCTCAGGGTGCGACGGTGAATCACAGAGGAGACTTCCTGTTCGCCTACAAGACCAAAGTCACGCCGCCGATCACTGCCAGCAGCTCGAAGGCCAGCCTGTTGAGCTCGAGGCCCAAGCAACCCACGAAGACTGATCACTTCCACCTGGCCAAGTCGAATCTGCAGAACTTCCTCGCGAAGCCCGACCAGGGATGCTTCTCGAAGGACGTGGCGCATCCTTCGCCGCTACGCGAGTTCCACTGCTTCAAGGGCTGCGCCAGGGAGTACAAATTGGTGGGGAAGAGTCTGGCTGAACTCTGTGATCACAACATGAATGTGGCCAAGAAGTACGGCAAAGTGCACGTGGCGATGCTGTGGATGTGGGTGAAGAATCTGTACGCCTTCTCGCTGAACAACAACGTGAAATCCGAGCCAAGAACATCCACGAGTGGCTCAAATCTCCTGGGCAGTCGTCTCATGTCGCAGACCTCCAATCAGTCCAACAATGTGTGGGAGGAAAACGTCGGCAGGAGCGACAATGACGAGAGCACTGGGTAAACCTTCCCGCAAAGCAGCAAATTCTCAAGTTATAACAGAAATGTTTCTCTCTAGATTGAAAGCGGACGATCAAAACTTCCTGGAGCAGAAGAATGGAGAGCTTCTGAGCAGTAATCAAACTAGAATCGCCTATCCTCCGATCAATGATGTGGAATCGGACATTTCCTTCAATGATTTCATCTTTGGCGACCAAGAACTGACTATTGAGCACATGGATTGCGTGAAGAACTTGAGGAATGGCTTCCTCTACGTGGGTCCGCACTTCTGCAAAGAGTGGTCATTGCCGAATTCGCCTCTGATTGGGAGCGATTTGCACGCTGCCAAGCATGAAACACCGCCAGAAAGCTCCCAAGAAACCACACCAGTGAGAATTTGTGCACATTTCTTGCCCAAAGACACATTATGCTCAATATTTGGTGGTTTCATTGCAGCCTCCGCATCCGCCAAGTCTGATAAAGATGAATTCCACACCTTATGTGCCATTCTGGGAGCCTCACGATGTTCTGGCTGACTGTCTGACACTGCAGGCGGACATTGGAGATGTGCAGACATCGATATCCATTCTGATCGCTCTGGGGGAAAAGCGGAATGAACTTCCAATTGACAAGAGTGTCCATGTGAGTGCTTATAAGCCAAGAGAAGCTCTCAAGTGCTGACAATCTCTGTTTTCCAGGAACACTGGCTTCTGGTGTACATCGATCTCTTGCATCGGTATCAAATGTGGAATGAAGCAACAACGATCATGAACCTCTCATGGATGCCCAACATTTGCATGATAAACGAGCAATCAACGGCTGTCTATACAAATTGCGGCATCTGCGGAAGGCATTTGGCCAGCAGAGCGGGATGGTATTGCTCCAAGTGCCGCTCTTCAGATGCTTCCAAGTGCAGCGTGTGCAATACAATCGTCCGGGGACTCTATGCATGGCAAGTCTTTTCTGCATCACTCTTCCTTCCCCCACTAACTGTGAATCCTTCCAGGTGCCAGGGATGCTCTCACGGAGGACACTTGGATCACTTGAAGCAGTGGTTCACCATCCACTCTAAATGTCCAATTTGCGGGCACTTGTGTGAATATGAGTGAAAGCGGCCAAAGTGTGTAAATAAAGGATGAATTCTATGCTCAAGTTCAAGGGCATTTTTGTTTACAAACAGCTGATTCGCCGGCCGGCGTTCAAAATCAGCTGAGAAGAACTTTTACTTCGCAGCTCGCTCACGCGCCGCGCCACCGCCGTGCGATGTCAGAGAAATGTCAGTGGGACAGTCGTGAAATCAAAGATGGCGGCTCACAGTGGAGGTATGGGAGGTATTGATTGGGGAATAAAACCCTTTTTATCGTCCAACTACACGTCGCTTAGCCAAAGTGATATCACAAATCTGGTGAAGGCTATCATTAAATAGTGAGTATGGTGAAAATTCCGAGGAATTTGCATGATTTCTGGGTGAAAAGTGGGAATCTTTCTAAGGCTCAGCAATGGCGGCCGCAAATTTTCAGACAGACAAAGAAAATTTACGAAAAGTGCTTGTTAATCGTAATTTCTCTTGCAGTGAGTACGATATCATCGAGCACGATGAGGTGTACGATCAGTTCTTCACGTCCATGGTGGCCCTGGCAGCAGATGGAATCAGCGCTCAGTGCAATTCGAGTGAGTCTCGGGCGCCCCAATTGCGCTCTATTGCGTATCAATTCCTGCCGAGTCATCAAGTTTGTGTCCGATCTTTTCTCTCGCTCTTGCAGTTTGCCACTCCCAGATGGATCAGGTCACCGAGGCGACGAGCATTCTCATCCGGTTCCTGCTGCACCGCCTGGAGAACTCGTCCACCACAGAGTGCAAGATTCTGCTGGGTCCGCTGAAGAGTCTGTGCGAGGGCAAGAGCACTCTCAACACGCTCGACGTCACTGTGCTCATTGCGATGCTGAAGAACGCCAAGCAGCCGGAGACGACTAAGAGTCCTCCGCCCAACAGTGACAAAGACAGTCCCAAGTCGGAGATGAAGAGATCCCGCTCGGATCTCTCGTGTGTGATAATGCAGCAATTGACGACTCCCCTCACGAGTGGCACCTACACTTGGACGCCGCTCAACGAGGAGCAGAAGGATTGCTCGGTGAGTGTCATCAGCTCGATCGAGGGCCAAATGGGATTCTTATCGTCTTCTTATTTGCAGCAAATGTTCATCAAGTCCAACATCACTTGCCTCCAGGCTCTGAATGCTGGCAGTGTGATCCTGAATGTGTGTACGTCACTCCCAATTTTGTCTCGCTACCGCATCAAGTACGAGGAGAGCGCTCTGCAAGGGAAGAACCTCTACTTGCCTCTCACGCACTCTGAGGCCACGATCATCAAAAACACCTTACCTCAGATGTCAGCAGACATTCTGATTCTCTACACAGCTCTGTCTGTGCCCGTTATTGAGCCCTTGACGCCTAACAAGATCATCCAATTGTCACAGTGTGCAATGTCAGCGCTCTATTGTGCCGTTCTCTCATCGATCTATGGCTCTGTGCTGAGTTTGCCCACCACGGGCTTCGGGAAGTCAGCGCCACAGCAGCAGCAACAACCGCCGACGCCCAGTTCAACTGGTCAGACGCAGAAAGAGGGCACAGATGGTGAATCTCCGGACTATCACGCCACGCTGGTGGTGAACAAGGCGTTGGAGATTTTCGTGAAGATCGGCACGATATTCAAGAACTTGACACGCAGTCATATTTACCACAATCACTTCTGCATGGGCGCTTGGCTGCTCATCACGGGCATTCAGGGTGCAATGGGTGCCTCGGGATCTGGCGTGGCGAAGCAGCAGTATCACCAGCAATCGTCAGATCATGGACAGAAGCAGAAGTACCAGAAATATCCAACACAGCGACAGACTCAGCAGCATCAAGATGAGGATTTGCAGCAGATCGATGTGGAGCCAATGGAAATGTTGCAAGAAGAACTGGTTCACACTGAAGACGATCAGCTTGAAACGCCTGGAAGTGCAGTGGATGAGAAGGGAAGAAGTCCCTCGAAGGGCACAGTGGAACAGACGCCGGCTCAAATCCCGTCGCCACGTGTGAATTTGTTCAAAGTGCAGCAAGGATTTGGTGTTCTCAACGATGCTATTGCCACACTGTGTCTTGTGTTGCTGACTGAGTTGATTGACGACCTGAAGGTTGAGTCTCGATCGGGAGATGATGAGTTCTATGACGGTGAACCGCCTGAAGCGGCTGGCTTCGACATCCTGGGCCAGTACACGTCTCTGCAGCGTGTCATCCGTGTGCTAACCAGTGCAACACTGCAGCAAATGTTGACTTTTCTGGCCACAGTGTCGTACAGAAAGGCGTGCGCTTTGCGTCGGGCAAACACCAAAAATCCCAACGATGAGGAACCCATCAGCTTCAGTGACTCCACCACGTACTTCAATGAGACGTTCGTGTGCTCTCAGGACTCGGAAACCGAGGAGGAAGACAGTGAGAGCTATTTAGGTAAGATGAAAAGAGTTTATTTTGTAAGGATTGTCTTGCTGATGGCTGTATTTTTGCAGGACTGTGGTTCAAGGAAACCCTCTCGCCGGAAGGAAATGAGGAGCAAGCTGAGCAGCCTGCTCAGGATGCACAGAATGAGAATGGTGGCGGTGTGGTGACAGCGAAGGATGAACCACATGAGTATCTGGATCTTGCTGCGCAGATCTTCACCTTCTTGGACTCCTCCTTGGGTGCCAATCATCACTATTTGTGCAGGTATGTGAAGAGCGGCCTGAGTGAGCAGCAGATTGTGCTCCTGGCGAACATCCTGAAGGACTTGGACAGAGATGCGTCGCGCAGTGAAGGGGAGAATGGAGGCTGTGCTCGATGGCAGGGCGCCATGGTGAGATTCGCCGGATCTCTAGGACGCTATCTGCACAATTTGATATCTTCAGGCGTGCTGAATGAGTCTCTCCAGTCATCTCTGCTGCTGCACTTGGGCGTGTCGCCGTGGACAAATGACACCAACTGGCCACTTCAAGTGTATCCTCGCACGCTGGCGGTGCTCGTGCAGATTCTCCTGCTGAAGCCGTGTCAGGAGAAGGAGGCCGCGTGCCTATCAGTGTGGCATCGACTGGTGAACACTCTGGTGCAGGGCGTTTGCTCTGAACAGGCGCAGCAGGGATCGGATTCTGACAATGACGATTTGAATGTGGAACACACGCAACTCCTGCTCTTTCTTTTCCACACTCTAAATCTCATGCAAAAGAAGTCGATTCTGCTGCTCACCGCGGGCGGAGTGATTCGATGTGCCGAAGTGTGTCGATGCATTACACCGGATAAGCCGCTGAGGGACAACCAGATCATGCTCCTGTCGCGCTTGCTACTCTTCCTGGAGTATCTTATGAAGCACTTGTACAATCCGCCGGCGAATGTGCTGGAGCAAGTGAGGTGGAACTTGTTCAGCGTGGTGACACTGGAATCACCACAGAAGGTGGATGTGTTGAACAATCGTGTGAAATTGATCTCGTACAGGAAGGATATTGAGGACAAGTACAAGAAATTGGCCTCAGAAGTGAGTGCATCGAGTGGAGTGAGACCCAAATTCTACACAATCACGCCGTGGGAGTTGAAGCTGCAGCAGGAGTTCAAGATGGATGGATTGGCGTGGAATTTCATCCTGTGCACGCCGGATAAGTTGAAATATCATCTGCTGATTGATGCTTTAATTGATATCCTGTCCGTGACTGACATTTGCACGGGAAATGTGCCCTTCCAGACATTCTGTGCTGTTCAGTATTGTTTCAATTTGTCCTGGAAGCTGATTCTGGGCATGGCGCCGTCAACGCCACACGTTGAGGATCTGATCACGGACAAACCGCCCAATTTGCACTCCCTAATTTGGTCGATTCGGTGCAGTCAGCCCGTTTCGCATTCGCACTACCTGATCGTGAATAGCCTGGTAAAGCAGGGCATGTATACGCAATTTGCAGAGATTCTGTGGAACAAAGTGACTGAGCATTCAGCTGATGTGAGGAGTCGCATCAACCAGACCATCATTGGACTAGACATCTTTGCAAAGTCCTTCCAGACTTCATCGCCTAGACTCTCCAAGATTATCCTGATTGATGCACTGCTTTCGCATCTGTACGCTGTTTTCTGGACGGAGACCAACTCGAAGGTGAAGGTGGAGAATAATGCGTCCAGTGCGGCTTCCACGCCAACAAACACCGCCGTGACAACAGTCGTGAGTTCCTCTGCGGAATCCCTGAGCGGCGCTGTTGGTGGCGTGACTGAGAGTGATGCGGGAAAGCATGTGTCGTGTCTGGGAAATGTGACACGTGAAGATTTGACAACAACACTGAGATCGAAGTTACTGGATGTGATTGATATTTTGCTGGATTTCCTCCACAAGACCACTGTGAAGAGTCTCTGTGGTCAGATTCCGATACAATTGATGGAATCTCTGATTGCCATTACGAGTTCCAAGACGAACTACTGTGTGGATATAACCAATCACTTTTTGAGCGTGCTCAGTGGACAGGACAAGGATGTGGTGAATATCATCTGGACGATGGAATTGACGCCAAGCAGTGAGGGAAATTTGTCGCAGAACATCAATCAGCCGGTGGAAATGCACACACTCGCTGTAATTGATGCACATCTGTCGGAAGTGTCCAAGTATTCGATTTACTCGATCTTAATGTCACTGAAGCATACGTTGAAATCCGCTCTTAAGGTGTTTTCACACCTCTTGCCACTCAGTAAGAATGAGCAGGCGCTCCAGAAGCGCCTCCAGAACATGCTAATCCCACTGATATTTGACATAAGAACTTCATATCTCTACGACACGGCCAATGAGTGCTTGGAGATCCTCTTGGGTGGAAATTACACGTCGCAATCCTACCAATTCTTGGCGTACTGCAATATTCTGAAGCACACTTATAAGCTAGTCATTGACTACTGCGAGATGTCAGCCACTGTGTCGGAAATCAATCTGGATGAGGCCATTCTTCATCATGTCTTCAAGTTCTGGGAGTCGATGTTGGACAAACAGATGGGCCTCAAGGCGATGCATGAGTTCTTCTTTGAGTCAAAGCGCGGAAGTCTCGTGAACATTCTCCTGTCCTTCTCCAATACCAACATGTCTCAGGCGTATTCGACCAAAGTGCTGCAGTTCTTCGAGAAGCTCTTCCAGGCGTCTGAGAAGCCAGACTCGCAGTTCAATCTGAGTCAGTTGTGTCAGTGCATCTCGGAGTTGGGTGCGGTGGAACCGGGCAAGCTTAAGACGTGGCTGAGTCACATTCTTCTTGGGCCAGGAGGAGCAAATGCTGCCACATCGAGCAACAACTCCAGCAATGTTCAGACGCCAACGAATGTGGCCACTGTGTCAGCTGTGGCGAATATCTCTGACCAGATTGTGCAGACGTCCAGTGGTGACAATGTGGAGGCGGTTGAGATGGAGATTGAGGATGAGTGTGTGGTTGGCGCATCCGGTGGTGGTGTGACTGGATGGCAGCAAGGCACGAGTATCACCACCAATCGATCAGAGACGCCCAATGAGGAGTGCTTGGAGAAGAATGGGAAGCTGTTGCAGACTCTGACCAAGTACATTGTCAGCGAGAATCGCATTTCACCCAATGTGTCCACCGTTCTGTTCAATGCGCTCATCCAGATTGCGCAGAATCTGCTCTGTCCAGCGCAGGATGCCCTGGAGTTCACTGAATTGCTGCAAGTGATGGTGACTCTGGCGGATGCGGGCCAGGGAAAGGGACACGCAGTGCTCTTCAGTGCTGCCATTGAGTGGCTGGAGGTGTCGAAGTATCATGTGTTGGAGAAGTCGTTGAACAAGCTGAATGCCAAGTCGGGCGTTGCGCTGGAGAATGTCTCGTCATTGCTGCAATACATGAGTGACTTACTGCAGGGGCTGGGATCGACGGGCAGTCGGGCCTTCAGTCCACCATGGGAGGAAGACAATCCGCCTGACATGGATGATTTCGTTGATGACGTGGGAGCTGATGATGAAGACAGCGCCGTCGAGGACTCAGATGAGGACAGCCTTGGAAATAAACTCTGCACCTTCTCCATAACACAGAAGGAGTTTATGAATCAGCATTGGTGAGTGTTGTCTTAGCGCGACTGTGTATTGGAAATGTGAAACTAATGAGTGTGTTTTCTTTGCAGGTATCATTGTCACACGTGCAAAATGGTAGATGGTGCTGGAGTTTGTTCAGTCTGTGCTCGTGTTTGTCACAAGAATCACGATATCAGTTATGCCAAGTATGGTAATTTCTTCTGTGACTGCGGAGCGAAGAATGACGGAAGTTGCCTGGCAATGAGTCCAAGAACCAATGTTCAGGAGAGTTCAGCTCTCGCCTCAGTGATGGGACAAAATGTGACTGATGCTGATCATGTCATTCAGAGTTCACTGAGACGTCGCGTGTCGAGTCCACAGCCGCAGACATCCAGCAAGGATGCCTTCAGTGGTGAACGAGATTATCACATGGCGAAGGTGATTGATGCCTGCAAGGAGGCGTTAAACAATCATGATCAGTGGACGTCAGTGGTGAAGTTCGTGTTGGACTTCTTTGAGATGATTATGCCGGCAATCAATGAGAATTGCGCCAAGTATTCCACTGTTGGATGTCACTTGAGGGCGAAGAATGCCATTGAGCGACTCCATCATCCGGAGAAGACATTCACGATCAGTGATCAAATTATGGTGTCCACGATGGGTTCGCAAGAGGGGGCTTTTGAGAATGTGAGGATGAGTTACTCTGGAGAGCAAGGGCAGACAATTCGGCAGCTGCTGTCGACAAATCTCGTGAGACGCGTGGCGCTTTGCTGTCTGTCGTCGCCGCATGGGAAACGCCAGCACTTGGCGGTGTCGCATGAGAAGGGAAAAGTGACGATTCTGCAGCTGTCGGCGCTGCTGAAGCAACCCGACGTGGCTAAGAGGAAGTTGACACTCAATCGACTGTCTTCAGCACCAATTCCGTGCACGGTACTATCGCTGGCATCCAATCCGGCCAATGAGGACTTCCTGGCGGTGTGTGGCTTGAAGGAGTGTCACATTCTCACGTTCACAGGCAGTGGATCACTCAGTGAGCACATTGTCTTGACACCACAATTGGAGACTGGAAATTTCATCAAGAGGGCCATTTGGTTGCCGGCATCACAGACAAAATTGGCTCTCGTCACGGCGGACTTTGTGAAGATCTACGAATTGGCGGAAGACACGTACAGTCCGCAGTACTATTTTCTCGTGCCGAGCGGAAAGATTCGCGACTGCACGTTCGTCTATCAGGAGGATCAGTACTACATGCTGCTGATGGCGTCTTCTGGGTACATCTATACACAACCTCTGGCCAATGAGAGTCTGGCGAAGCACGGACCGTTCTACGTGACAAACACACTGGAGCTGGATCATCCGCACATCAAGGATGTCAATGGACAGATTGGTAATGGTGGAGTGTCCATTTACTATTCACACGTGCTGCAGATGCTGTTCTTCAGCTACACGCAAGGGAGGAACTTTATGGCACCACTGGTGGATGTGAATGCGGGCGTGAAGTGTGTAATGCATTTGCAAACTGGACCCAATACGAAGAACTCATCGAAAGGACCTCTTCAGCCGCTCTGTCAGTGGACAGAAATTCCCGGGCATCCAGGCTTAGTCTGTGCCATGATGCAAACGTCCAACAATCCAGTGATTTTCATGTTGAAGCCTGAATGTGTGGTGATGCAAGAGATCAAGGCGACGTCATCCAAGGCGAAGATTATGGATATGGTGGCGATTCGTCACTCTGTGTCTGGTGTGGAAAAGACAACACTGATTTTGCTGTGTGAAGATGGAAGCTTGAGAATCTTCTCTGCCCATCCCGAAGGCACTGGTTATTGGATGTCGCCTGAAGTGCAGCCGGTGGGAAATCAATTCTACTCGTCATTTTTGCCCAAGTCCACGAGGCGCAGCAAGAGGAGCACCAACAAGAGTGCTGTGAGCACAGTGGCTGCTTCCAACAAGACGACACTGGGTCTGTCTCAACCCTCCTTCCCGATTGACTTCTTCGAGCACTGCACGCTGATGACAGAGGTGGAGTACGGAGGCAATGATCTGCTGCAGATCTACAACACGGCACTTCTGAAGCATCGGCTCAATTCCACGGGACTCTACGTGATGTCTAGCAAAGCGAATGGCTTCACGCTGGAGGTGTACAACAATGATCCCAATGTCGTGATGACGGGCGTGAGGATTCTCATTGGTAGTCAGGATCCACAGAGAGCGCCCACGGCGGTGACAATTCACGGGCGCACAGTGACGACAATTGTCACGCGACCGCGATGGTTTGACTTACCGCTGACGCGTGATGAGAGTTTGCTGAGTGACAAGAAGCTGTGCATCTCCTTCGGGGCGTCACAGGATCCAGAGAATGTGTGCATGTTGGACAGCATTAAGATCTATGGCAAGACGAAGGATGTCTTTGGGTGGCCTGAGGAGCAAGATGAAGTGGCTGCTGTGGCCACAACGGGCACATCCGGAGGACAGTTGTCTACCCAAGCGGCGACATCATCGACTGTTCAACCCGCTGCCGATGCTGAAACCAGCTCAGTTCAAACTGTGACGACACTCGATCGAATGGTGTCGACGATGCTGGAAGTGCTGGACAGTGGCATTAGCTTGATTGGCGGTGTGAATGTGGATGAGCAAATCAAGGCGAAGGCTATTGAAGTCTCCACAGCTCTTCTCATCTATCCAACGCCGACAATTGTGCAGAATCACGCAAAATGCGTCCTGGCGTCACTGCACAGCAATCGTCTGATGTATCATGCGTACAAGGACAAGGAGATCCTCACGGAGATCAACAGGGAATTGAACAAGATGTCAGATGTGCAGGATCCCAGGAATATCGACCCAGAGGCATTCTACAGGCTCGTGCTGATGGCACGTGGAATAGCAGTGACTCGTCCTCAGGCACTGTGGAAGATCTGTGTAGACAACAACTTCCAGATTCTCTCCAAGTTGATGAAAATGATGAAGACACTTCATCAAATCACACCGACTGACGAGCAGCCGACACCGATTGTGAAGCGTGGCCTCAGTCACACTGAAGCCATTGTGCACTCGATTGTTGAGATCATCTTTGCCTTCGCACTCACTGATCCCGAATATGTGGGCCTCATGACGAAGTTCTTCGTGGAACTTCTGCTGGACAGCAGTGTGATTATCAGTCATAGTGCCAAGCAAGCTCTGATTAAGTTGCTTCGTCCGCGTGTTAAGAGACGCAGAGTGCTTATTGGAAGCCCACCGGGATGCTCAACACCCACACCGTCATCTGCTCCGCCAATCGCACCAATTGCGTCCACGTCCACGGCTTCTGGTGCCGCCGGAGTGGCAGGAAATGATGATCTGTACGCGGCTGTGATGCAGGAAGTTGATGCTATTGAATCGTTGGGACTGGAAGGCGCTGGTGCGGCGGCATCCGTGAATCCTCAGGCTCTGGCATCGCTGGAGGCACTTTTGGGAGGGATTCCCCAGATGATGGACCTTCAGCAAGACGCCGATGATGATGCTATCATGGAGATAGCAATTGCGCTAAGTCTGCAGGATCACGATGGCGATCTGAGTGGACTTCAGCAGGGATTGGCCAATATTCAGGGTCTCCGCGGCAGAACACTGCAGAGTCTGCAGGCTCTTGCGGCTGCTGGCGGCGTTGGTGGCTACAGCAACGATCCGTCAGCCTCTGTGGGTGGTTCTGACGATGAGGGCTCAAATGCCGCCACCGATGGCTCAACACTGCGCACATCACCGGCCGAACACGCGGGCAGCGGTGGATCTGAGAGTGGTGGCAGTGGCGTTGAGAGCATAGGCGGGACATCTGGGCGAAGTAGCACGTATGGAGATCAGCCGAATCAATCGCCGCCGCGCGAAGGGAATCTCCCACCGCCGCCGCCACAGCCGACAACGAGTGTGCAGGAGAGTGTGATTCAAGAGGATCCCGAGGACACAGCAGAGACGGAGAATGCAGCAAAATTGCACGTTCTGCGCTACTCAATTCTGGAGAAGATGATTGATAACTTCTGGGGACTGGATTGGGTGACGGGAACTCAGGCGGTGTCATTCATGCAAGTCATCTTGATGCTCACATCTGACTTGGACGGAACCCAAGAGGCCGATCAGAATGTCATGCAAAAGCTGCTGGATGCTCTGATTGAGAGACTGGAGATGGTGCCATCAACACAAGGTGTTCAAATGACGACAAGGACGTCCAAGACGGAAGTTCAGTGGCTAATCTTGCGCATGTTGAGTGTATTCATGGGGAAGGTGAAATCCACGACAAAATCCTCTTCTGCGCCTTCTTCCTCGATGGCCAGCGGATCGAGTACAGCAGCTGTTCAGAGTGATAATGTGACATTTGTGGCTTCGGCCACGGCGAATGCTCTGATGAAGGCCGGGACGATTCCCTACTGTCTCGTGCTGTTGGAGTCATTTTTGCCCTACTGGAAGACGGCGTGCGCTAATGAGGACATCCCATCGAGTGGAGCCACTCTCAATGCTCCGATTGTGACAGTTCCCGGCGGACCGCCGAGCAACAAGATGCTGAAGCCCACGCAATATGGACCGATTCCCGACATGCAGCCCTTCCATGCCACTCAAGGCGGCTGTTCGGATCCCTACGAGTCCTATCAGACACTGATCACGGAGATGGCAGTGAAGCTGCCCTATCAGATACTGAAATTGTCCACCGGACATCCTTCCACGTACGATTGGTACAGGAATATCTATGAGTACATGACTTTCATCCTCTGCGAGTACATGCTGTACTGGCAGACGCCAGCTCTGCGCCGACAGGTGCGAAAGCTCTTGCTGTACGTGTGTGGAAACAAGGAAAAGTATCGCCAGATGAGGGACATTCATGCCCTGGACACTCACATGAAGGCGGTGAGGAAGTGCACGGAAGCGAGTGTGCCGCAAACGAGTGGATCTCTCACCATCCCAATTCTCGACTACGACGCTCTGGTGGAGTTGACTGAACATCTGAGGGCGTGTCAGGAGATTGCGTCTGTGCGCACGGGTAATTGGCAGCACTTTTGCATCAGAATTCACAATGATATCCTGCCGTGTCTGCTGCGAATCAGCTGTCAACAATTGGATGAGGGCGTGTCGCCGATCATCTTGCAGCTCTTGCAGTCGGCAGTGTGCAATGCTGGTGCCAAGAATGCCGTTGAGAGCAAGTCAATGGTGAAGGAGAGGCGCGATCGTGAGAAATCGGAAGAGTCAGAATGCACGGGCGACTCAAAGTTCGATCCTGCTCTCTGTGCATCACTCGTGGATCAGATTTTCAATCAAGTTCCGGCTAAATTGCTTGTGAAATTCATCAGGCTGTTTCTGTTGGAGACCAATTCGACGAACTTGAGATGGCAAGCGCATAGTTTGATCTATGCTTTCTATGAGAACAGCAATACGACGCAGAAGGAACAATTGCTGAATCACCTCTGGAGTCTCTGGCCACTGCTGTCGGCGTACGGAAGGCGCACAGCTCAGTTTGTGGATCTCATTGGATTCCTCACGCTCAACACCAAATGCTCCACTGATCGTCTGCTGCAGTACACCGAGCAGGCTGTCACTGTGCTGAGGCAGCAGAATGAGCTGCTCTCGCGCCATCCAAATGCACCGATCTACACAGCTCTGGGACAAGTGCTGGAACTGGAAGGATTCTATCTGGAATCTGAGCCATGTCTTGTGTGCAACAATCCAGAACTGCCGATGGCGAACATCAAACTCTCGTCCATCAAGATTGACTCGAAATTCACAACAACGACAATTATTGTGAAACTCGTGCAGAGTCACATCATCTCCAAGATCACTCTGCGCATTGCAGATCTGAAGAGGACCAAGATGGTGAGGACAATTAATATCTACTACAACAATCGCACTGTTCAGGCGGTGGTGGAGCTGAAGAATCGCCCAGCCATGTGGCACAAGGCGCGCAAAGTCACTCTGTCTTCTGGTCAGACGGATGCAAAGATTGACTTCCCACTGCCGATCACGGCGTGCAATCTTATGATTGAGTATGCGGACTTCTACGAAACCGTGACGGGATCGAGTGAGAGTCTTCAGTGTCCGCGATGCAGTGCTGCGGTTCCGGCCAATCCTGGTGTGTGCAGCAATTGTGGCGAGAATGTCTATCAGTGCCACAAGTGTCGGGCGATCAACTATGATGAGAAGGATCCCTTCTTGTGCCACTCTTGCGGCTTCTGCAAGTACGCCAAGTTCGACTACACAATCTTCGGGCGAGCGTGCTGTGCTGTTGATCCCATTGAGTCTGCTGATGATCGCGCCAAGACTGTCCAAACTATTCATTCGTCTCTCGAGAAGGCTGATCGCGTGTACAGACAATTACAGGTAGATTTTAAACTATGGGTTTTCTTGTCTAGAATATGCTCTGAATGTCTATTTATTTGCAGGCGAATAAACAATTCTTGGAGCTTCTCGTGCAGAAGATCGCTGAACACAAGTTGGACAGGAATTTCGATGATTCTGTGGTTGTGAGTCTTGTGAGTTCTTCTCAAGTGAACAAAGTGATTCAGTTGTTGGCGCAGAAGTACTGTGGAGAGTCTAAAGCTTCCTTTGAGGATCTCAGCAAAGTTATCCAGAAAGTGCAGGCCTGTCGAAAGTGAGTTTTGCAAGGAATCTCAGTTTGAGAGTAGCTTCTGATTGTGTCTGTGTCGTTTCTAGGGAACTTGTGGCGTACGATCGGAGTCAGCAGGATGTTCACACGGCGAAGAGTGATTCTCCGCCCAATGAAAATATCGTGGCAGTCAACAGATGCTACGGATGCGCTTTGGCATCGACGGAACACTGTCTGACTCTCCTGAGAGCCATGTCGTCGAATGTTGTGTGCAGCTTTGGGCTGTGCATGCAAGGACTTGTGGAGGAATTGGCGCAGAACAACTTGCGTCGTGGTACAGTTCAGATTCAGGATGAGGTGAGATCGCTGCTCTGTCTGCTGACGCGTGACAACAAGGATGCCATCAAGAGTCTCTGCACGCTGATCCACGATCGCGTGAAGATGGCTCTGAGTGGAACTGTGCCACTGGCGAACTTGGACACGGCTGTGCGCCATGAATTGGCTCTGCTGGAGGCTCTCGTGGCGCAAGATGACACGCTGTGGGAGGAAAAACTGAAGACTGTTCTGCATTTATTCACACTGGCGTGTCAAGATCCACGCGGTCCAGCCGTTGTGGTCATTCAACCATGTCTGCGGATCATTGAGACACTAATCTGCCCTGCACCGCCAACGAGTGCCACCAACAAGGATTTGTCAATTAAGGACTTGTGCACACTTGCCTGCACTGAGGGTGTGACTGTGAGCTTCCAGGAGTGGCTGGCGGGGAATGCTGATCACTCCTACGAGGTGTGGAAGAAGAGAATGCCGCCAGTGTGTGGTGAAATGCCACCAGGATCACCGCCACCCACAGCTGCAAGTCAGCAACAGCAGGGCAATGGGAAGACTGTTCAGCGGATGTTCAGGATGATCATGGAGCAGAAGAGATCGCAGTTCAGGAGGAGGTATCTCTATGAGAAGTACGGCAAGAGGTGGAGGAGCAAGGTACTCTGCAAGGGTGTTCAGCAGCCACCGTTGGAGTTGCTGCCTTCGTGGCTGCAGAAGATCCTCTTCAATCCCAACAGCAGGATTGTGAGGAAGATGGCATGTGCACTGGTGACATCGCTGTGTCGCTCTGGAGAGACGAAGAGGGAGATACTGAATCTGCTGACGGGATTCCTGAAGTACATTGGTGATGCTGGTGAGGCGTGCGCAGAATTCATCTCGCTATACATTTCTCTGGCCGAGGAAACGCCGTGGCGACAATATCTCGCCCTCAAGGGCGTGCTAGTGACCATTGCTGATCTACTGGGGGCGGAGATAGAGAAGATCCATCACCTCGAGGAGACGACACTATCATCCGACTTGGCGCAGGGATACGCTCTGCATCAGCTGGTGGAGTTGATGTCAATGTTCCTGGAGAATCCGTTGATTCGACAGTCATACAAGGGAAAACTTCTAGGTCCAGTTCTCCAGGGATATCTGTCGCTGAGGAAGTTGGTGGTTCAGCGAACGCGTCTCGTGGATGATGCCCAGGAGAAGTTGCTGGAGATGCTGGAGGAGATGACAACGGGAACAGAGGATGAGACTCGTGCCTTTATGGCTGTTCTCATTGAGACTGTGGATAAGACACCCATGAATGACATCAAAACACCTGTGTTCATCTTCGAGCGTCTCTGCTCAATTATTCACCCTGAGGAGAATGATGTGAGTGAGTTCTTCCTCACGCTGGAGAAGGATCCGCAGCAGGAGGACTTCCTGCAGGGACGCATGCTGGGAAATCCCTATCCCTCGTCGGCTGCTGGCTTGGGACCGTTGATGCGCGATGTGAAAAATAAGATTTGCAGTGATTGCGAACTGGTGGCGCTGCTTGAGGATGACAACGGAATGGAGTTGCTGGTGCACAACAAAATCATCAGTCTGGATTTGCCGGTGAAGGATGTGTACAAGAAGATCTGGCTGGCTGAGGGTGGTGAGCGCGATGGCATGCGGATTGTGTACAGAATGAGAGGACTTCTGGGCGATGCTACGGAAGAGTTTGTGGAGACGCTGAACAACAAGAGTCAGGAGGAGGTGGACAATGAGCAATTGTATAGGATGGCGAATGTCCTGGCGGATTGTGGTGGTCTGAGAGTGATGCTGGACAGGATTGTGAGTTTGCAGAACATTTCACGGTCGCGATCGCTGCTTCAGGTGTTGCTGAAGCTCTTCCTGCTCAGTGTGAAGGTGCGTCGGTGTCAAGAAGTGCTGTGTCAACCAGAATTGGGGGCGATTAATTCGCTGCTGAAGGTGCTGCAGGTGTGTCTGCAGAGTGAGAATGATAGTCAACAGTCGGCTGTGACGGAGCAACTGCTGGAGATCATGGAGACAATCCTGTCGAAGGCGGCAAGTGACACTCTGGACTCCTTCCTGCAATTCTCCCTCACATTTGGTGGGCCTGAGTACGTCCAGGCGCTGATTTCCTGCACAAATTGCACAAATGTGCGCAACAATCCGTCAGTTCTGCGTCATCTCATTCGCGTCCTGGCCGCTCTGGTGTATGGGAATGACATTAAAATGGCCATTCTCTGTGAACACTTCAAGATGACGCTCAACTTTGGGAAGTTCGATGCCGAGCGCACGTCTGAGGACGAATTCAAGATGGAATTGTTCTGCGTGCTGACAAATCAGATTGAGCACAACTCAATTGGCGGAACGCTGAAGGACTACATCATCAGTCTGGGCATTGTGGAGAGATCTCTGAATTACATCACAAAGCATGCGCCGTGCGTGAAGCCGACGCTCCTGCGAACGGATTCGGATGAGCTGAAGGAGTTCATCTCGCGACCATCGCTGAAGTACATCTTGAGATTCCTCACGGGTCTGGCCACGAAGCACGAGGCGACGCAGTTGGCGGTGTCGAAGGACATCATCCCGATTGTGCACCGACTGGAGCAGGTGTCGAGTGATGAGCATGTGGGGAGTCTGGCGGAGAATCTCCTGGAGGCGCTGTGCACTGATCCGGCGACGGCGAAGCGTGTTCAGGAGGAGAGGGACTTCACGCGTGCGGAGAAAAAGCGTCTGGCGATGGCGACGCGGGAGAAGCAGCTGGACGCGCTGGGGATGAGGACGAATGAGAAGGGCCAGGTGACGGCGAAGGGTTCGATTCTGCAGAAGATCGAGAAGCTGCGCGATGAGACTGGGCTGTCGTGCTTCATCTGTCGCGAGGGATATGCGTGCCAGCCGACGAAGGTGCTGGGAATCTACACGTTCACGAAGCGCGTGCCGGTGGAGCAGTTCGAGGTGAAGCGCAAGACGCCGGGATACACGACGGTGACGCACTTCAATGTGGTGCACATCGATTGTCACATGTCCGCCATTCGGCTGGCGCGCAGCCGGGATGAGTGGGAGAGCGCGAGTCTGCAGAATGCCAACACGCGCTGCAATGGACTGCTGCCACTGTGGGGCCCTGAGGTCACGGAGAGCGCCTTCTCGTCCAGCATGTCGCGCCACAATGCGTACATGCAGGAGAGCACGCAGCGCTGCGAGATAAACTTCCCGAATGCCATCCACGATCTCAAGCTGCTGCTGATGCGCTTCGCCTTCGAGAAGAGCTTCCACGAGGATGCTGGAGGCGGCGGGCCGGAATCCAATATGCACCTGGTGCCGTATTTGGTGTTCTATGCCCTGTACATCCTCCTGTCGTCGCGGTCGTTCTCGCGTGAGGAGAAAACCCTCACGGCCTACCTGGGCCAGGGGGCGTCGGACAAGTGGCTGGAGTGCGCCTACGAGGTGGAGAGTCCTCTGTACCAGATCACGCTGTCGCTGGCGCTGCACACGCCGAATCTGTGGCAGCAGCACAAGGTGTACCATCTGAAGAGGCTGCTGGCCATCGCCCAGGCGCGCCACGTGAGTCCCAGCAGTGTGGTGAAGAGTCTGGCGGCGACGGACTGTGAGGAGAAGGACTACTCGGTGTACAAGCCGTATCTGATGTTCTGGGCGCTGGCGGATCTCATCTACAAGCACTTCTTCAAGACCGTGTCCACGCCCAAGGAGGAGGACTGGCCCATTTCGCTCTTCGACTACCTGCGACGCAACGACGAGGCGATGCTCAAGTCGGCGGACACAGTTCTGGCCACCTTCACCGAAGAGTATCTCCCGTGCACTTCCCTGATGGAGTTCTGCGACGTGGCCGGTGAGTTTATCTTTGTGTTTCTGTTCTGCTTCCTTTGCTAACTGTTGTGCTCTCTGTTTCGCAGGACTCTTGAACGACATTGAGAACCCGAAGGTGTTTCTGGAGGAGATTCTGGCATCTCTAGCGTGAGATTTTCACACATAATCGCAAATTATTCACGTGTATTGAAAATTAATGGATATGGATTATAAAATATCAATTATCACACATGCAGTTCAATAAATTATATCGCTTTCATATTCGTTTTTCCAAATAAAATCTGCTATTTGAAATGAGGGCGTTTGTACTAAAATTGTTGTTTTTCGCAGTGTTGAGTACTAAAAGTTCTCCAAAAAAAAAGTCTTTGCAGTGTAGTTTTTCTCAGTGTTCCAACTGTCAGTTTGGTCGGGGGAAAAGTCACAACCACGGGGTCGCGAAAATTATCAAAATACTGCGGAGTGTGTATTTATAACTGCGGGAGAAAATTGTGAAAGCGCCCATTCCAATGATGGTGATAGTGATGAGACACCTGCTGACGGGAAGATCCAGCCACCTGCATCTCGCCCTGCGATGCTTCTCCACACAGTCCGTGCGATTTTCCCGGTAAGCCAAGCAGAACACTTCCCTGCCTTGGCGGGCTTACATAAGAATCTCTCTCACTGGGCGAAACGCAATTGCAGATTGGCGGAGGTGGGCAAGCTGGAGGCGCCGAAGGTGCAGGGCAAGTACGATACAGGGCAGCTCTTCCTGCACCGCGTCTTCGGCTACCGTGGCGTGGTGCTGTTTCCGTGGCTGGCGCGCGTGTACGATCGCGACATACCAAACACACAGACTCCGCCGATCAAGACGGAAACCGAGGCGGAGACGCCGTCCGGAAATGTGGGGAAGGAGGTGAAGGGCACCACTCACACCTTCTACCAAGTCCTCATCGACTCACGAGACTGTCCATTCATTGTGAGTCCGTCTATCTTCCCGTCTTGCTAGCTGTCTTATTGGAGTGTGTCTTTGCAGAGAGCCCAGACCGAGGCTGTGACATTCTTGGGCAATCAGGACAGCAGCAGGAGCCTCTACGCCATCCCAGGGCTGGACTATGTCGCCCACGAGGACATCTTGCCTTACAGCTCTGGCGAGAAGGCGCCGCTCCATCATGAACTGTTCGACAAGTTCCTCACGTACCAGCCAGAGAGGGATCCTCCCTTCGAGGCGCAGGACACTCTGCGCGCCTGGCAGAAGAAGAACCACCCCTGGCTGGAGTTGTCGGACGTTCACAAGGAGACCACCGAGAGCGTGCGCGTGACGGTGATCCCCTTCTACATGGGGTGCCGCGAGACTCCGGCAGCGTCCGTCTACTGGGTAAGCAAGGCTCTTCACCACATCTTCCCAGCAATAATTCCACTTGGACATTTCAGTGGCGCTACTGCATTCGACTGGAGAATCTCGGGGAGTTGAGCGTGCAGCTTCGGGAGCGACACTGGAGGATATTCTCCCTCTCAGGCACCCTCGAAACTGTCCGTGGCCGAGGTGTTGTTGGCCAGGAACCCGTGCTCAGCCCTCGTCTTCCGGCCTTCCAGTACAGCAGCCACGTGAGCCTCCAAGCGCCCAGCGGTCACATGTGGTGAGTCCCAGTCGCTCTGCCCACGTCCCGCGAATGCCAAATCACTGTCCTCTCTTTCGCAGGGGAACCTTTCGTCTGGAGCGCGAGGATGGACACACCTTCGACTGTCGCATCCCGCCATTCTCGCTCGAGAGCAAACCAGACGACGGAGGAAACACTCCCGCGGACGAAAATGCGTGATTTCACCTGACTATTTATTCGACAAAATCTCCAAGAGCAAATAAATCAGAGGCATAGTGGCCAATCTTCACTCTTCCTCAGCATCCGGATCTTCCCCTTCGAAGTCCCTCGTTTTCACATCAAAATCCTCTCCGAACTGAATCACATTGTCCACAATCATTAGCACTTCGTTCACGCTCTCCTCGTCGCTGATGTCCAGCGGCATGAATCTCACGAGACTGAAGGAATCAATCAGACTCCCAATGGCTTCTGACAGCTTCTCGTGCTTCCGTCCCCAGGCAGATTCGCTGTTCACCTCGCTGAGGAGTGTCATTGGGTCGGGTTCCAAGTATCTGTCCAGCTGCTTCCGGGCGCTCTTGCTGAGCAGATCCATCTTACTCAGGATATTCACGTGCGGCACCTCAATGTTCACCATCACGCTGAGAGCTGCCATCGTTCCGGAGATGTACTTCGCGCCGTCAATCATGAACTGGGAATCGAGCAGGAAAACACTGCACACCTGAAAGTTCCAGGATGTCAGCAGTCTCACGAGGTCTTTGCCCACTGACAAGTGTGTGTACAGCTCAATCTGACCGGGCATGTCGAATATGATGTAGTCATCGTCCGGCTCTCCCTCGTTGTCGTCATCCGATCCGCCGCAGAGTTGATCCTTCAGCCAATCTGGGTTCTTCACGAGGTACTCCAAGCAGAAGACAAGCCCTCCGTTCGGGCCATAGTGCAGCTCCTCATCCTCCATGGTGTCCTCGACGTTAATCAAGTCCCTAATGTCCGCCAGTGGCTGGTAATCAAAGACTTCTGCCGCAGGATCCAGATTCACAATGTTTATCACTCTCTTGGAATCTGTGGCATGTCTCTGCATTGTGGCACAGTAAGTGGACTTTCCACATCCCGCAGGACCCATCACCAGCTGTGCGTATCGCATTTTCCTCGGTATTTCCTTCGAAAACCAGGTAAAAGTGTTGAGGGCACGTTCGCTGCCTCGTTTGTAAACAATTTGACAGTGTGAAATTGCCAACAAACATTGCAGCCAACGTGAAAATGTCAAATTTTTAGATTCTGATTCAAAATCTGCAACGGTCGGATGAAGATTACAATAATTAAAGAGCGGAAAAAATATTTACTTTCAAGAAGAGAATGAAATATTTAAGAAATTTCTACTAGTAACTGATTGTTGAATTCAAATATGAGCATTTTACGAAATTATAATCACGGAAACAATCTTTCCGCAATAACTTCTCCTCGTGTTCGTTACAGGTAATCTTCAGAGGGAAAAAGAATTCGAGAAATTACAAAATAAGAATGCTTCAAAATGTCCTTTCATTTTATTATTAAATAAATACATTCACGAGAGGAAAAACAATATAATTTAAACATTTGTTTTAAATATGTTATGATGTATATCGAATATCTATGCGGATTTTGCTCCATTAAATTGTGTGATTTCTTCAAAATCAAGCCCAATATCATTTGATTCTCATCTATAATACTTCTTGCCTCTTTCCTTTCCTTCTTCTTCTTCTTTTTAACCAAAAATCTTAGCTAACTATATAAATTCAACAAGTTCAGCCTCAAAAATAAGTGGTTAATCATTTTTTTTTAAATAGGTTTAACACGTTTTTATTTGCTATGCACTTTCATATAGGTTCTAAAATATATTTCATTATATCTTATTATGTTTTTTTCTTCTTCTATGAAATATTGAATATTTCATCGCTTACTTGAGAATAATGAATATCCGATTTCTTTTGATTTTATGACATTATTGAAAGTTATGCGGTTTTTATACTCTCTGGAAGTTAATGGGCACAATTTCTTATAATTTCTCCATCGCCAAATATATGCAACAATGATTATCTCTCATCTTCGCGTTAAATTTCAGCCAAAAATGCGAAAGTCCTAAAGATTCTCGAATAAGATACTTTTTTTTTCTTTTTAAATATTACAGTCATGAAGCTCCTCTCATTTTACAATCCATTTCTCCACACCTTCAATGAAATATATAGTGAGTATATGAAGATTATGCAGAGACTTTTCTTCCTTGGGAATGAACACATCCTTAGTGGGTAACAAAAATTTTCTACGAGCAATCATTCAAGATTATATTTAATATGCTATAATATTCTGTCGCCTATCTATGGAAAGTATATTAATTTATTGGCCATTGACTAGAAATTAACCTATTAACTATACAAATAGTCAGACGAGGAAATGCCATTCATTCCCAATTCAGTGATAGCAAATGGGAAAAATTCGATATACCTTTAATAGCTAGATCCTTTTAAGATGCAATATGTTGAGTTGCCTTTTGTAAAGTAGGTCGCGTCAGGTTTAAATGTTACTTTTGTAGCCTATCGTTAGAGAGAGTTTTAGATTTAGAGACCACTTCAGTTGGGCATCCCCGTGGAAAGTGGCGCAATTGGGCGTCACTCCCGGCCGGGGGCGCTTCTGAGGGGCAGCTGAGGGTGGGAAGCGAGGGAGAGGCTTCGCGTGGTTCACTTGGCGAGCGCCGAGATGTAGTCCAGGTGCTCCAGGCTCACGTTGACGACCTGCACGTGGCTGCCGGCGTCGGAGTTTGGCATCTTGAGCTGGTCCGGGTCGCCGCCGTGCGGCATGATGATGCAGACGAAGGTGCGTCCCGTGGCGGAGTCCTTGGGGTGCAGCGTGACGGGCAGGAAGCGCTCCGCCGAGCCGTCCGCGAAGCTGCTGAGGCGCTGGAAGACGTCTGGGTAGTTCTTGCGCAGGTTCACGCCGCGCTGCTTGAGGATGGCCTGGATATTGTGCAGCACCACTTCGCGGCCGCGGCGGCTGAACGTGAGGATGAGGATATCCATGTCCTCCTCGGGCCGGTGCGCGGGCGCCTTGAGGTTGGCCAGGTCGCTGAGGACAGTCTTGCAGATCTTGAGCTTGGCGCAACGCGACACGAGCTGCCGCTCCCACTTGACGGGCGCCGCGGCGGCCGGGCCTGGCGCCTCGGACACCACGCAGATGGCCACGTAGACGAGCATCTTGGTCTCTGGCTTGTACTCCGTGCTGAGGCGCAGCAGCTCCGAGTACAGCTCCGGCCCCATCTCGGCCGGCATGAGGTCCGGCCAGCGCACGTAGGACGTCTCGCCGAGGCTCTGGAAGCCCTGCTTGATGAACGTCTCGGCCGCCTCGGGGCTGCGGAAGAGAATCCGCACCACGCCGCGCCCCTGCGACAGGTGGCCGCGCTTCGCCAGCAGACTCAGATTGCGCAGCGTGTCCGGCTCATCCTTGCACGCCGACAGCACCTGCCGGCAGAGTGTCGACACCCGCAAGTGCAGGCACGCTTTCCTGTGGCGCTCCCAGTGCGCCCGCCGGCACTCGCGCGAGCAGTACAGATGCGAGCAGTTGTGGCAGCTCTTGTAGTACTTCTTCGCGTCCGCCACGGTGGCCGTGGACTCGCACTTGTGGTACCGACACTTGAGCACTTCCCCGCTCCGGCCGGCGCCGCCGCTCGCATCCGACGAGTCCAGACTCACGCGACGCGACTCGCGGCTCCGATCTGCGGCGCAGCGCTTCGCGGCGTCACCTTCGCTGTGGCGGCGCAGCGGGACGGATTCTACTGTCAGCGCATTCGCGTCCTCCTTCTTCCCATTACCTGTAACCCCTGAAACAGCACGAGGCGCAGCGTTAGGCCGTCAGTTCGCTATTCTACCCTCCGCGCCTGGGACCCTCTTCGCCGGCGGCCGTCTGGGCAAATTAACTGCCATGCTAAATCATAAACTGTGAGAATTCATTGGCCAGATCCTCCGGATAAGCTTAGCGCAACGGCTGAGGATCGTAAAACTGCACTAAATGCGAAGTGAGAGTGAATTTACAGCCAGAATCGGATGTAAATTCACGGCAATCGCTAATAAATCAATTGATATTCAATGAACGGAATGAACTTGAAAACTATGCTGATCAACGCATGAAATTTATGCGGCAAAGCAAGTCTATGCGTCTGATAACATAAATTGCTTTCAACAATTTACAAAGAATGATATTCTCTTACTAGAGTCTTGACTAAAAGAACATAGCGTAGTTGTTACAATTCAAAAACACAAAGAAAATATCCCTTAATGCCCCGCCCATTCTAAAGCCACGCCCATGTTTTAACCCAAAAGTGTCTCGAGTTCCCAAAAGTTGCAAATTGTTAGTCAAAACTCTTGTAAATGAATTTCCAAGATAAATTTAGTGCTTGTAATGCCTATTATGTAACTTGTGCCAAGCAATACTTGATAGAATTGAAAATTGACTTACTCGTAGTTCGGCTTAAGTCCGGTTTTAGCATCTTTACAAAAATTTTAACAATCCAATTAGATTAGAGAATAAAATATGATTTCGTTCCTCATCAACTAATGATTGACAGTTTCGGTCTGATTTGCTAAAATTGCTCTTTGTCTTATTGTTTCAGCTTTTCCCAAGGTGAATGTGAATAAGAAACGGAAACAGCAGTTGTGTGTATGTGAATTTCTATACTATATATTTCTTTGTAAAAATTGTAGCAAATTTGACTCGAGCTGAAGAGCTTTGCGAAGAGAGTCCCATGAAGGAAATCAAGAGTAAAAGCATTCCAAACAGTCTAATAAGAGTCAAAAGAAGAAATGATGCAGATAAGAAAGTGACGTGAAGATACAACTACCCTTTCGTCAATATCTTTATTATACACTCGATTTTGGTGGTGATTTTGAAGGCACAGGGTGATGAAATGACAAGCAATGCAGAGACAATTCAAGCGTCTCGTATTGATAACTATTGGAACAAAACTTACAGGCTCATACCTGATGAGGACCTGTTGCTGGGCTCCGTGGGCAATCCAAGCAGCGACGCCAGGACATCCTCGAGGGTCGCTGATCCTGGCGAAGGTCTCTCCATCGGGAGGGCCAGCATTGGGATTTGGGGGCCTTGAAAGAAAACACAGACGGCATTTCACCAAAATACTACTTCTCGTGTCGCGTGGCCACATTTGGAAAGAAAACAGACACGCAAAGCCGCATTCTTGGCGTGATTTTAAAAGAGAACAACCCAGAAATCTTACAACTTTAAAAGCTGTGCGACTTGATAAAGTATTTCACCCACTCTCTCGGCTGTTGTTAAAAAGTTTGCCAATAAATTAGTGATGAAACCAACGTCGTTTATATGGAGCCATATTATGAATAAGAAACTGTTCCACGGTCATAAATGTTAATTTAAAAATCAAAAGCACACGCTTGCCGCATTAAGTTTCATTAATGTGTTACGGAGATTTTCACGAGGAAAAGCAGTCAACAGAAAACAACCACCAAAAAAACATAATCTCTCTAAACGATGAACAGCCAAGATAATCAAATGATATGAAACTATTTATAAGTTTGACGGGAAAGAAACAGCTAAAAGCTTTTAACCATTGCGCATCACATGAGGCTAAAGTAAATACCATGTATATAAATGATGATCTCTAAAAGGAAGAAAATCACACAAACACAAAAGACAAAATAAAAACCAAAAATTCAAGTAATATATATCGAATTTATTGATAAATCAATACGCTTTTCGTAAGAATAACATACAAACTAAATGAAAATTTTTAAATTATAATAAGCTTTCCATGCGCACTTCTCAGCACTTTTATTATTTCGTTTCATTGCTACCTTCCTTCCTCGTTCACGTCTATTTACCTGAACTTAAATACAGCAATACGAGAAGATTAAATAAAAATCACTACAAAAAAGTAGAATAAATGCCATTTGAAGAATGTTACATTAATAGACTAATCAATAACCGCAATTTTCCACTTCACTAAATAAATCCAAATCAAAAAGATACATAGATTGCTTGCGCTTTAGCACCTTCTCAGAATCTTCCTCAAATTCAATTGACATTCAACTATATAAATTGTCTTGATTAACTATCGACTGGATAATTAAATTCGTGGCGATAATAATAATTGTAATGTACAGAATATTATGTAAAGATTCAATTGACAAAATGAATAAAATGTTTTTTAAGCTCTCTTGTAAATCTTCTGTTTCGCATGCAAAGTGTGGCAAATTTTGGAATGTTGTTCATTTTTTTTTCGATTTCCATTGCTTTTGAGTTGCACTTTTTTTCCCGTGTTTCAGACATATTTTCAATTCGATGACATTATACAAAACAAAAACTGATAAAAGATAACAAATAAAGGGGCAGATATAAATAATACAGAGATGATCTTAAGTGGTAGAATTGCAAGGAAGAACATAAGAGCAAAAATACTAACAATATAGTATGCAATATCTTAAATATTTTACAGCGATATTTTTCGTGTGTTTTATCGCGAATTGACGAACAATGAGTGGATAGTGATAAAATTAAATCATGAAATTTGATAATGTCGCGTTCGCTCAGTGCGAATTCGTGTTCTTTTGTGGCGAATATGAGAACGATTAGATAAGGAGTGTGTTTGTGTTGTTGTTTTTCTACACATTTTCTTCAGATCGTGGACTCACCAACGCCATTGACATGAGCGGAATTAGTGGCTAATCTACTGATCTGCTGCTGCTGCTGCTGCGATGAAAAGCTGCGATCGATGGTTGGCGTCTGCGGACTCTGATCCACTGGTCCGATGCCCACAAATGAGCTCTCGAGCCAGCACTTCCTGCAAAGACACAGACACGCACAGGTGAGTCACATAATTAGTCGCTTTATATGGCATTTCTGCATCTCTGACTGACATCTTCCAGTCTGGCTCGCGGTGTTTATGATTTAGGGAAAAGTTGAGCGAATTCACACACTTCGCTTCACCACAATCATCGTTTTGTTTAATCAGCAATTCAGTATTTAGAGGCTTTAAGCTTCAAGCGCCCCAATTAGTGCATTACAAAAGAATATCAACTTTTCATGACTCGGAAAATGGCTTAAACACGAAAAAAATATTTGACAACCGCCCCGCTCTCCCCTATTTCTACCTACTACTCTAGAAACGACCATTTGTTGATCTTCCGCGCACTCCAAAGTCTCCGGTGAAGATCGCGCCTATTGAGTAATTTGAGTTATTGCAATTGTTTCGTAACTCCTCTTCGTCTTCTTCCACTCTGGCCACAATTACACCTGTTCGGCGGACGCGCGTGCGCCGTGACTGGAAGAGTGTGTGATCATCCCGCCACTCTCTCGTTCAGGTATCACGCCGTCGCCCATATAAGAGCTCGTCCCAGCGATCGGAGGAAGTCAGTTGAGTGCCAGTGCGTCGAGTTGCATGCGTGCAGAGCTCATCCAGTGCGAAAGAAAGTGCAAGTTGTGACCGTAAACATAGACAATGAAGTTCTATCAGGTGTGTGCGAAGATCGAGAGTGATCGCAAGAGGGAAATTTCACACATTTTGTCTATCCAAAGGCCCTGTTCTGTCTAGTCCTCGCCATTGCGGCCGTCCTCGCCTATCCCGGCCATCACGCCGAGAGCTACGCCAATCTCAATCAGCACCACCACGATCATCACTACGTCGACGATCACCACTATGTAAGGCTCATCTGTCCCTCTAGTCCCTTTCCTCGTGATCTAAACCACTTCCTTTTTGCACTCGCCAGGGCCCAGCGCCTTACAAGTTCGAGTACGGCGTGAAGGATCACCACACGGGCGATCACAAGGAGGCCTGGGAGCACAGCGACGGACACCACGTCAAGGGATCCTACTCCCTGTACGAGCCTGACGGCACCAAGCGCGTCGTCGAATACACGGCGGATCCTCACAATGGCTTCAACGCCGTGGTGAAGAAGGTCGGACACGCCACCCATCATTATCTCCACTGATTCCCCGCCAAATCCTAGTTCTTGTTTGTTTGTTTTCTCGTTTGCTCTCAAAGATTTAAAGAAATACTCAATCATGTAATTGTTATGCAGTAAATAAACTTCCCTTTTGTGATATTGAAACAATTCTCCACGCTTTTCAATCACTCCTCTCGCTCTGTAATCACTTTGGCGGCGTGTTTTGTGATGGAAGGATATTTTCGGAACTCTCTTGTGCAGACGAAACTCGCGACGAGCGATGTCGCGAGTTGAGCAATAGTGTAATTAAATAAACCGTGACATTGCTCCCGCGCTGGCATATGGCAAATTCTCACGTCTTTTCTGTATTTTTCCTTTTCCCCTTCGCTCAGCCAGTCCAAATAATTCATGGCATGCAAAAGGTTAAGAGTCTAGACGTTCTATTGATTATTCCTGTGTGTGTATTATTCCGCTGGCCAGTGTTTATCAAAGCCACCCAAGCTCGCGTCGTGCCTTTAAGATAAATGTCTGGCGATCTCAAACATGATTCGCAATCGTTTATCATCAATAGTTCATTGGCATATGTGGCAATTATTGGCTAGCGACACGAGTGGGAGAAGAAAAGAGGAAAAACAGTTGGTGGAAAGTCAGCTATTTGCATCATTCAATGCAAAACGTGTACAAAATAATTGAAACTTGCAATTTCACCGCGAGGGATTAGATAACACGAAAAAATAATGCAGAGAATTGCATTTTTCGCAGAAAATTTTTCACTCTCTATTTGTTCCTCGCGCTTAGATTCAAACCCAATAAACGAGGAAGTCAACATGAGCAATATACAACACTGTCATCATCAGCTCAATAGAGTCAGAGGCGCTCGAGTCTTGTGCTGAGATACAAAATAGCGAATTTTCTGCCTTCACCAGCGAAGAGATACATTTCCTCTTTCACATCCACACACAGAGAGAGACGAAATGGCAACAAGAAGAACGTGATATGAGGCAGCGCAAAGCCGTATACATTTTTCTTCTTCATCGCATTTTCTTCAATGAAGAGGAAAAAACAGGAAATTAATAGCGTCGTGCGCCTGGTCCAGTTTCTATATGCGCATGAAAACGCATCACGATATTCACTCTTGTAGGAGATCGAAATATGTGCAAAAACTTTCACTATGCAGACACTTGAATCCACCAATGAGATAAACCATTGTGGCTTGTTAGCAATTTGTATACCATTGAGGCTATTTTTCCTACTTTTATCGCACAATCCACTTCCTGACCCCATTTCACATACACAATCCACCTCTTCGCTTCCATTCCCATCTCGAAATATTAGGAAAATAATGTGAAAAATTATCTCTTCACTCCCCATCGGCGCTCTTTTCCTCAAACCCAAACCGCCTCACACTCAATATTCACACATCACAGTGTCCATCGTAAAGTCTTGTGATATATTTTTATCACACAGATTATTTAATGTGGCATAATAAATCCGTTATGGAAGCACGATTCAGAAGAAAGCCCATTTCACTCGGATATCGTCTCAATAGGCCGACATATTACGCATAAATGCGTCTCTTTTTGATGTCAATTTACGTAAAAATGCAAAGCGATGCAAAGTGTTTATGGAAATCCACAAAAATGCTTAACATAATAATGGCTAAATCGATATTATGATAAGAAAACAAATACAATTTCATTGACTACATGGAGTAAAATCCTATATTTAACCAACAGAAAATTCTGCACGGCATTTATAAACCCATTTTTTCATGAATTATATCGCCAATAACTTCTAGCAAATGCGATAAACATCATTTCCACACAAAAAAGCACTTCAATTATGCTGAAAAATAGGCTGAAAAGTGCCAAACACATAAAACTCCCAATTATAATCACGATGATTCGATTCGAGGTCTCTTAAGGGAGATTTATGGAGTAGAATTGTGTGCAGAATGGAGTGAAAATTAATAGCTCTCGCTGCAGAGCTCTTCTTGAGGATTCAATAACGCCTCTTCTTCTATTCACTTGAGCTTCTCGTGTCCGGCGAAGTCAATGCAACATAATTGAATGTGGGTCATAAAGCAGTCGGATCGATAAATGGGTGATTCTCACCAAACACAATCTCACAATGCACAGAATTGTTGACTATCTCTTACCGAAGGTTCGGACTAGTTGATCGACTCCGTGAATTGCGATTATTCTGATCATTCACATAATGAACAATGGCCGAAGTCACTTCCTTTATAGACGTTTGAATCTCCGCATTTTCCGTCTCTGACTTCTGCTGCCGATTCCTGTCCTGCTGCTGTTGACTCAGCAGCGATGATGCGAGTCTGGCAAATTGGGAAAAGTCAGTAAATGCCGACACTTAAGCGCCCTTTCCACACACACACACTCACCGTTCGGCGGGAGTTCGAGGCTGGGCCAATTTCTCCTGACTTCGCCACCCCAGATAAGGTTGTCTGTACGAGCTTCTTATATTCGTTCCAACAGTTGGATTTATAAAAGAGTGGCCAGACATGTAGCTGCTGTTGGTGGTGCCGCGCGAGAACGAGCTGCGTCCGGATATGCTGGGGGACGTTTGCGTCGAATTGAGGTGAGACGTTGACCATCTGCAGCACAGAGAGACATTAATTAGTAACTGCTGCCTTCCATCGCATTAAATTCTACACTTAATTATAGGGACGCCTTCATTCCACATTCAGAAGCATTCGTCATGCTGGGATTTCTGATTCTACTCACTTTTCAAATCAGAAAAGTTTCCCCCAGTGATGATAGTGTCAAGTTGAATTGGTTATAAATCAATTAAAAATTAAATTCACTGATTTGAGCACCATTTGAAGGTAAAACCATACCAGGAGATAAATAATTCATCAATATTCTATTGAGGATATGCCTCGAAAGCTGAACCAATTGTTTACTTGTTTGTCAACACATGCATTTACGGTGGAATAATAAATTTATCAATTGATTGTATGAATTAGCACGTGAAAATTTTGAACAAAACTCCCAATTTACTTCCGATTGAGAGTCTCGGAGACTCTCCTAGAAGGCTAATTCGACCATAAGACAACCTTCTGAAGTGCTTATCAATGAGCTGCTCATTGAGTTGGAATATGTGTTGATTTACACTCCAGATTGCAGTGACAAAAGGGACGGTGAAATGGATTCGTCAAATTCATCGCTCAAATCAACACACTCAGCTCAGTGGTGCAGAAGGCAAATTATGCAGAATCCTGTCGCTGATTTATTACCTCGAGAATCCTGTATTGCCATGATGACTGTGGGAGGACGGGCTCAAGAGCAGCGACCCCTTGTCCGCCCTCTGCGACCCCAGGGAGCTCAGAGAAGTGGTCTTGGAGCTGAGCCCGGCCCATTTGCCAAATTCGCTGTTCCGCTTGCGATAGTTCGTCCCTGGCGTCCTGTCCACAGGCTTCAGCGTCGTGTTGTACTGCTTGTACCAGTCCGGGATGTTTAGTCGCTGCAGCGAGGCTTGTACTCTCAACTGGTGCTCACTCAATGGCGTCTCGTGTGTCTTCTGCAGCTCATTCTCTGGTGGCTGCATGGGAAAGAAAGCCAGATAAGAGCACAATGAGTGAATGTCATAATAAATTCTATTGAACTTCGGAATATAAAGTTGGAAGTCAGGCATTAAGTGAACTTGATGTGCGCTCCTTCGCTCATTCTCAATGGGCATTGCAGCGCCAACAAAAGAACTTGGCAATCACGCCATCGTGTCGGAGACATACACTTAGTGTGTTGTATTATTCAATTCTAATGAATTACTCAACATCAATTTGCTCACCAACACAGCCACGCATTTTTGCCTAAATGCTAATCCCTGATTAAATAACACACAGCGTGTACAAACATCTAAATTGAAGCATCCGGTGAAATTGAGGCAATTTGGCACAAAAATGCCCACTGAACCCACCTCAATTTAATCCCCATCTCGCAAGCGTTCTACATTTTCTTTTCACTCACCCGCCAAATGTGTTCTTAATTCAATTTTTGCAAATCAAGCGCTCACTCTCTCAGTATCTCTAAATAAATCACAATACAACGGCTTAACCTTGCCATTTTCTCTGTATTTTTCTTTCTCTCCCGCGAGAAAAAAGCACGCTAAACAGAACATGCGACATCTGAAAGAATGGTTAGATAATTTTCAATGTATAGAATGTGTCCTTCAGTGCTATGAAAAATTATTTGCCATATATTTTTCTCCCATTGTAACCATTATCACAACTCTCGGCGTCGATTGCAAAGTCAGCACTTTTTCTGCCCAACGACATTCAAATGGCGAAAGGCAGGCAAATTGGCCAATTTCACAAAGCAATATACACTTTCAGCATTAGCTGCAATAACAAGTGAATTGTTTGTCCGAAATGCTAACGATATGAACGTGATTCTGGATGGTTATTGTGAGGTCATCTCTCGGAATATTTTCCACTCTGATGAACCGCCATTATTTGCTAATGAAGAAGCTTCAAATTGCATTGTTGAGCTGCAAATTAAAGACGAAACTTCCCTTTGTATCCACACAGATTTAGAGATATCCTAAGTAATAAGATCCAATTAAAGAGAAAAGTCGATTATTTTAGACATTTTGTCTCAATTCAGAGAGAAAATAACTCAATTACTCATTTCACTTTGTTCCAGCTTCACTGACAGAGAAGATAAGGAGAAAACTGAACACTTTTCCCCAAGATAAAGTGCATCAGCAAAGCGGAAAAGATGCTTATTTTAAATTAATTAACACCTCTTAAGTCTTTTGGGGAAAACTAACAAACGAAGGATGTTTATTTAGAAGTGTTTTACTATTCGTCTGCGAGTGATTACCAAAGGTGTAGTCACACAACTTGTTGATTATCGACTGTGTAATATTTGTGTACGATTACCATGCATTAAGTCCATGCATTGCATTTGAATTCCCAAACGATTTTTTCAATTACATGAAGCTTTTGGCGCATAAACTCGCTTCGCATCACAATTTTTGCTCCTGTATTTGGTGCACTTATGCGATAAGTCGCGTGACAACATGTGATATGATTCTATTTAGGAATAGCAGTTTTTTATCTCCTGCCGCCCAATAAATAGTTGAAAATCTCATTGAACAACGCAGTGTTGTTGTGACATCATGTTCGGTATGTTTGAAAACATACAAGGCAAAAAATTATCAACTTCGTGTTTATGGCGGTGGCATAAAAAGCCTCTCAACTAATCAATGGAAAATGCGCCACACAAAAAGTATATATATAGTTAATTACATGGTGTGAAAAAGTGAAATGGCGGAAATAGTCAAACGAGGGGAAGAATTAAAACCATTAGCTGAAAATGCATTCATGTGGCAATGATTTTCATATTTTATGTGGTTGTTGCACTGTCGTTTTCTCCGAATGCACTCTTGCCAAAAAATCCGCACAATTTTGCCATTCTGCCAACTCATTGCCACGAGATTTTCTCTACACGTCACACATTTTTCAAGGAGAGAAAAGGTGAACCTCTTCCAACCCTCCAAAATGTAGGTTGTGCCATGTGAAGTGCTGCTCTACCCTAAAATGGTGGGCGTTCGCTCAGACACTTTCCATAATGAAAGAAAAGAAAGAAAAAAAACGTGTTTTCTGCATTGCTGAAGCTGGATGAATGTTTTATCTTTCGGCAAGTCACACTTCAGAGGAAAAAATTAATTGACGGTTAATATGCAGCAATTAAAAACATGTTAAAATGATGATCTTGAAGATGCGCGACACAGTGTGGAATTCATCTGAAATTCCACAATCGCACCAATTATTGTGTTTAATTGAATTTTATTAATTCCACAAGCCCCAGAGAGACTCTCTTTCACGACATAGCGCCAGAACGGGATGGAATTACGCGAGTTCTTGGCTGTATGTGTGTGTGTGTGGCAAAAGGGCAACAATTCAAATTAAAGAGACCAAAAGCAACACTGTTTTATTGTGGAAGGTTAAGAACCTCTTCTCGCTCTTCGCCATACATCAAGCACACTCTGCTCCACTATATACTATGTGTGTGTCATTATCTGAAATTATTCAACACATCAACGGCCTTTTTCACCAGCTGAAAAATATGGGGGAGACTTTATGTGAAGAGGAACAGATAACGATGCAACCCATATTGTGTGAAATTGGAGTATAGTTGAAATGTGGGTGGTTCAATGTTGCAGTTATGACTGGAGATAAAACGTGAAAACACTTGATATCCACACAAGAGGCCCTCCAAAGTGGTGTATTGAAGACACGGGAAAATGGGTGAAAATTGTGAGACCTTGTGCTACTTATGGCAGATAACTGTTACGTACTTCTAGCATTTTCTCCAAAAAATATTTATATAGGTCTTGGCTTTCGCTCTCTCGCTCTCCCCGCTCTGTCTGTACAGTGCCCCCAAAGAACACACACCCTGTTTCACGATAGACTGAAGTATATGTATATCACTCTCCCTATGTACTACACAATATATCCTCTGAGACCATTTTCACCCACAAGAATCCACTGAATTTGCACAATAGTGGAAAATCCAATTAGGATAGGCAACACTTGAACTTCTTTCTCAGCACAACACTTTCCTTAGGCGCCCCAAGCAGACTTTAATCACAAATTAGTACAGTTTTAATCCCTGATTATTGCTTATCCCCTTGTACAAGAGACTCGACACACGACATCGCACACACTCGCTTCCACAATTCTCCCCAACAACCCTCCAATGGTGGATCACAAATTCGGGCTCGCAACTGAGAAAGACATTAGGGAAGGTTGTTCAATTCCACCATCAGCCCAACTGGGTTGAAGTGGAAAAATTTTTTTCACTCCAGTTACACCACTCTTTGCTGCACACACTGAGACGAGGATGAGCACCACACAATTTTCCCTTGTTGGATCCCAAACACCACCGAGAAACTGACATTAAACGCGGGTGACCTCGAAACACGGCGCCTGCGAACTGGAGCCGCAACCCCCCTTTTCGTCAGTGCTGCTGATGGGGATACTCTCTGGTTACCGACTCGCACAGCAACAACGCCTAAAAAGCCCCTCCGCGGAAGGGTTGAACACTTGGGGATGATTTCATGGGAGACCGTTAAAATCGGTGAATCAAAATGCTCACCATTTTTTCTCACACACGCTGTTTTTCTTCTCTCTCCCAATCTGTCTTGACTGTGCGACAGTTTCTCACGCCTTTGAAGCCAAATGACAAGTGAAAAAAAACCCACAATTGCGAATATTTCACGACTATTTCTTTTAAAAAGAGAAAGTCTCTCACTTTAACTTAATTATTTTTCACCCAATTCACATGAAATCACTAATTTGCTCGTAATATTGTTGGACATGCAAAATCACGTTCAACAATTGGAAAAATTTCACGAGCGTGCCTTCAAGACGGTTGACATAATGATAACACGACTTTCTGGTGGTGGAAACAGTAAAATTTTGTGAGCTAATATTGTCTCAGTTCCTCAATTACCAAATGATCAGAAGTTGACAAATTCAGTAAGAGTTTTTCAGTAAAATGTCTTGTGAATATGGAGCAGAACTTTGTTGCATTTTCAGAATCGATCTTAACAAACCTTCTGCTTCATCCCAATGTAAATATAAAATTCCTTTTCCAAATATGTTACTCGTATGCTCAAGAAGAATATTGAATTGAGGCTTGCAGTCAAGTTATTTTTGGAATTTTAATTACCAATTAATTGACATCATTTCCAATACATTGCGGACATAATTTTAAAATTCAATCACCATCGTCGTATCTCATATTGATTTTGGAGAGAAGAAGAAGAATGTGAGCAGTTCACGTACAGCGATTGCTATCAATTATATTGAGGCTCAAGTACTTATTGCACAACCCCGACATTCAATATTTACACACACAGTTCGGGTGGGAGAAGCGCAAGTGAGATCGAGATATTGCAAGAAGAAATTGATTTGTCAGCTCCGCCATATCTGAATAACTTCTCACATTCAGTTTTTTTTTCTTCTGTTCTCTCGAAATGAATTCAAACTGATGACGCATCTTAACGCTCAAGCAGGAATTTTATTATTAGAAAATTACTATCAAATGCGCAAAAAGAATGAATGGGAGGAATATAAAAGATAACAACACGCTGAGAAATACATATTTCCGTTCTATTGATCGTGTAACTTCTGAAAAATTAAGTAGTGCTCAATGGGCTTCTTGTGATTTTGATTTTTTTCATGCCCGCGGAATGTTTGCCACTTGTGTGGGCTTGAGAAACTTGAAAGTTTTTCATAATCTCATGCCGCGGGGATGCGCAGACGTCGAGAGATTGTCAAAAGTAACAATAAACAGTGAATATTTTATTAACAGATTGATGACTAATTAATTTGGAGGAGAGTCAAAGCAAGAGGCCACACTTGAGGCCACAAGAGAATCCAAGATATTTCACATTATGTACAATATCTCACTGTAAATAGAGATAAAGTCTGCTCGATATCACTGAGCCCGCATTCTACAGCCTGATTAATTACTATCGAATATCGTTACTTGGGGAGCTGTTAAACAGACACTTTGATAAAGAGACACAGCCATCATGAGCCAATGGATCAAAGCGACGAGGAATTCGTAAAAATACTTCTCTGGGCGGCAATGAAGCAGCTGGTGATCCCAGACCAGTTGAGAGAGTAACAAAAATATGCAATGCGCCATGGCCAGACAGCCAGATGGAGCTTTCTTTGAAATTCCTCCACTCAAATCTCTGTAAAGTGTGACTGTGGGCACAAGAGCACCACATCCTATTAATAATAGATGACTGTTATTAGTATCACATCCTTCTTATTACTTTTTTCCATCTCTTCAGTTCATGTCTGCACAGAGTCTCTTTTGAATAAAACTCACTTTTGCGCTCTCGCTTCCGGAAATACGATTTCATACAATATCAAGGAAGGCTAAAGATGTATTTTGCCGCTGTATTGGCAAAACTTTATCTTCTCTCCTCTTCGTCTTCCCATTTGAAATTCAATTAGCAAACATCTCAAGGCAGACTCTCCAGATAAATCTCTGGGATGAATTCAGTGCGAGAGTGGGTGAAGTATTTAAGTGGAAATGCAAAAATACTACACCTTCCCTCGAGAAACCCCCTTGATGAGTGTTACGTTAGACAAATTGACCCTGAATCTCTAGATTACATTTTTATACATCGATAAGGTCAAAGATACACTTCAATCAAATTATTCTGGAACACACTCTCGTGTTATGACTTTCTTCATTTCCGCAACATCGATTGCTCATTCCACACACAAGATAAATCCACGTATAAAATATTTATGTGTGTAGAGAGCATCATCCTTGTGGGCCTGGAAAAAAGGGTCCAGTGGCCGTAAAATGCTCTCACTCCAGCACATTGCACATTTTTTCCCACTCTCCCTCCCCAAAGGCATTTCTTTTTTACTCTTCCATCCTGTGCCTTTCCGCCATGTGTGAGCAGTTTATAGATTTTGTGTGTGCAACTGGAAAATCGGAAGCAGCCGATCACATTGTATGTCTCAATTATTGCCGCTACTGCACTTTAGCAAGAAACTCTACACTAATTGACTATGCTTCCCCACCTTCGTCCAACCCCATCAGCGTCAGTCGTGCATACTGAAAAGGGGTGGTATTATCACTCTGGCTTTCAGAGGCATCGACAACAGAGGCGCAGTGGTGTAGGAAGCACAGGATACAATGTTATGTTATTGGCAATATTTCATCAAACTCCAGGGCAAAATTGGAGTGTGCAAAAGTGTTTGCCGACTTGAGGAAAAACCCTGTGACAGCATGAAAAGTTCGGAGTCAGACAGCCGGGGAGAAAAGGCCACTATCCTCAAAACACAATGGAACAGAGAGCTATTTTGGAGCATCTTTTAATCCACCATCACACAAAGAAAGTGGCCAGACTTTGACATTTTCTCCATTAGTGCCTTTTTTCTCTCTTCCCATCTTTTTCTTCGTCACGCCAGAAGAAATTCAGAAGGAAAAACATCGATAAAAAAGAATAGTTGTGATAATAACTAATTCCAAAAATTCTTTCTCTCTCTCCTTATCGCACCAAGTCTAAATGTCTCCATTGTCATCTCATTCACTCCTTCTGTGTGCCAAGCAAAACTACACTCTTTTTCCTATCTGTAAGCAAAATCAGACAGTGTGTGTGTGTGTGTGTAGTGGAAGAAAGTGACTGAACTTACACACATTATGTGCCCTTTTACGATTGTTTGTGCTGTAGAAAAACATCCCAAATCACATTTTAGGCAACTTTTACATCATACTTTCTCAGTATTTTACACTGAGTAATCCAAAATATTTCCGTACGAAGAAAATGCCGTTTGGTAAAAAATCATTATTAAAATGAGAAAGAGAGTCGCCGCGTGCATGCACTGAATACAGATCGTCACACTGCCTCGGATGTTTAGCATTTGGATTGTGATTGTTATGAGTAAGAAAAAAAATATATTCCCGGTTCACCTTTTTTGTCGCCTGTGCATTATGTATCGTTATATGTGGCTGTGCTATGTGACTCGACGAATTCAATGGGATTTTATTCTAATTTGCAGGCACAGTGTAAATAAACGCTTTCGAGGAAGGCACAATAGGGTGTTCCCAAGACATGATAGCACACATATACAGCTGTGCCGAAGGGCAGAGGAATTTTCGTTACCCTCACGGGTGCATGTAGAAGGGATGCTAGCGTGTACTCACCAGTGTGAATCGCTGATTCTCCTTGTCCAGCAAAAATTCCATGCTTTTGTGTGGCCTCTTGGGTTCATCGGAAGGCATTGTGCGATGCTCGCTCGTCAGCACATTGGGATGTGCCAGGCGCTGTGTGCCCAACTCCATGAGACTCCGCGTCTTGCCCGTGATGATTGTCTCGTGTGTGTCGAGATTCGTCTCAATCAGCCCGATTTTGTGCTCACTGATCATCGTGGTGCCGGGACGCTGATGACGGTGATACTGCTCGGCGGTGGCTGCATCGTACCGACGTCTCCCATCGATTTCCCGTGGGGTGGACGACGCCCGGGGTGCATGCGTGCTGTCCCCGTGGCGCTTTGCACAAACGCCAACAACACGTGGGGGTTGCTTGGGCAGCGGCGGCTTCGAGTGCACCACATTGTTGCCCACCGTGTGATAGTAATCGCTCACACCACTTCCGTTGCCCATGCCGTTGCCCCTCTGACTGAGTCGCGGCGAGTGCTGATACTCATCCACCTGGCTCTCGGCGTTGCCCCTCCTCACGATGGGCTCCTTGAGCGGTATATAGATGAAATCCCTGCTCGTCTCCGTCTCAAGCGCGCCAGACTCAGGCTTCTTGCCCTTCCGGCTGGCCTTCGGATCCGCTGCAACTGCGTCAGCGTTTTTATTGTTGTTATTCTTCGCGGAATTCTTCGATTTATTCCTCAGCGAGAAGCGGAAATTCGAGAGGCGCGAGAAGAAGCCACCCTTACGCTTCTTCTTACCCTCCACAGCACCCCAATTATTCACCTCCATCACACTCGGCTTCACACTCTGACGCCCATCGATTTCACTGTGCGTTGTCTCCTCCTTCACGACCATATTGCGACTGACGGTATTGTCCACAGCACTTCCAGCGCTCGTCGGCTCGTCTGCTCTAGGCACGTTATCCATGATTTCACTGTCTCTTTCCGGCAACACACTCACACGATCCACGCCGATCACGTGACGCTGATCGTTCTGCTCGACACTGGGAGAATTGCTGCTGGCCTCATGCGCTGGTGATCTCACTATTTTCGGTTCGTACTGCTCCTCATCGTCAGCGTCCTCTGCATTGTCATCTGGGTCGGACTCTGGGTACTCCTCCTCATCTTCCTCCTCGTCCTCTTCCTCCTCCGGTGACTCATGTCCCGGCTCGTGCTTCCAGCTGATCTCTGAGACGATAGGGTGGAAACTGACCTCCTTAAAGAGCGACCCCCTGGACGTGGTCGTGTTGAGTATCCCCGGCACATTGGGGCTCTTCTCTTTGCCACTTCCCTCGTCCGTCACACTCAGGCGCGATGACAAATTGGGCGTGCTGAGCACCAGACCTCTGTGCTGACTTGTGGTGAAGCTGTACTTGTACGATGGCAATTCATTCTCACTGTCGCACGTCTGAGGAATTGTGCTGAGGCTGTCCGTCAGCGGAAAATTGCACCTCTCGAGGCTGGCGGCGTAGCAAGTCACCAGATTCGTGGGATCACGATCGAAGGTGAGGCTGTCTTTGGACACACTCATTGTCTCCGGCGGGGTGGGCGTGGGAATGGGGTGAGGCGCCTTCCTGCCCGCACGTGGCGGCGGCTGCGGCGGCTTTATGCACAGCACACCCACTGTCATCTCCTCGCCGGGCTCGTAATCCCCCCTCTGGTCGTTCATAATGGACAGATTGCGATCGAAGTTGAACGAGATCTCGTCCATGAGCGTGATCTCCGGGTTCTCAATGAATGGCCGCGGCTGCTGCTGCCGCCGCCTGTAGTCGCTCATGATGCGCGTTCCGTAATGCTGATGATCTGAATAGTCCAAGGCAGTGAGATTATTGCAGCTCGCGGTCACGTTGGCTGGCTTGGGTTGCGCAATCTGTGGAGCTGCGCTCTTGCCAGGTCGCTTCGCAATTCTCAAGTTATTCAAGTCCAGATTCTGATGCGCCACAGAGGCACTATTCACCGAATCACCACTGTAAAAGTCCAGATCGTCGAAGGAATCACTGCTCTCATAGTTATTGAGGCCCTCGGGAAAGCTCGTGACTTTGAGGAAGTCACTGTAGGGATCACGAGGCGCTGCCTTGCAGGAAGTGGCAATTACGTATCGCCCAGCGGATGCTTCTGAATTATTTTCAGTCGCAAAATCACCAGTTACACAAAATACTGCTCTATCTTCGCCATCACTTTGTGAATGGTAAAAAATATTCGGCAGACTGTGTGATGATGTCTTTAGCAGGCTTCTGCTCCTCCTTCCCGTATTTTTAGCATCGGCTCTCTCCGACACCTTCGCCGGCTCCATCGTGCCTATTTTAAGACCACTGTTTACGTACACAGGAGGATCTCTGCACATCAATTCGCTGCACTTGCACACTCCACCGGCGCCGCATTCCTCGCACACGCCGCGAAATGCCACGGGATCAGACACTGGCCGGCGGCCGAACGCCTTTCCGCCAAGCGACAGAGCGCTAATCGGATTACTCGGCGGTGTCTTCTGCCGCAGCTGAATCGAGTGCTCGCAGTAGCCGCTGTCCTCGCTCAGGTTCTCCAGGGAACTCTTTCCCTTCGGGCCCAGCACCTCGTCACCTCTGGCCGAGCAGGAGCACTTCTTGATACTGTCGTCACTCTCATTACTTGTGGCGCCCGTCTCCAGCGACTCCGCCAGATATTGATTGTAGTACGCGAAGTTCCCTGTCACTGTCTTGAATATCTTATCACCCGGACCGAGATTCACCTTATCCGTGTCCAATGTCGTCGCCCCCTTATAAGGTGATGATGACACGCCGCTGCTATATTTACCATCCGTGGACTCGTACGCAAATAGCAGTGGCGAGGAGCTGTACAGCTGACTCTCGCTCTGAAGCTGCTTCTCCAGTGACTCGAATTGGATGAGAGACGATGTTCTACTTAGAGAGCTCTCGCTGTCCGAATTGTAGTCATGGCTGTTCTCCTCTAAGCGAAATCTGTGCGCCAATGAGAAGATCAAGTCAATTAATTATACCTTCACGTGCGAAATATCGAAGGCAATATTCCACTAACCGTCGTTTGTGATATTCTGGCTCATCGAGGAGAGCGTCCAAGCGAATTTTCTGCCCAGTCACGTCTCTGTTGCCGCCTTTCTTCGCCATTCCCTCCGTCAGAACATCACTCCACTCGTGTCGACGGCGCTTTGGCGGGCACAGAAAGTCACGTTCCGATATGCAATCGGCCTCCTGACCGAACGAGTCCAGCTTAATCACGGATCCCGTGTCCGACGAGGAGCTCCAGCTCGTCTCGTACTGCGAAATCGACCACAACTCCTTCGCCTCCTCGTCATCGTCACTCGTCTCCTCCAGAATCGGCTCCAAGATGATCCGCGACTGGCTCTCTGCAAATGCAACACAGCCCAGAATTAGTTCACCAGCACTCAAAACACTCCTAGAAGCCACATCAAGTGGCAAATATACTTGTCATCTGGAGGGCAGAACTAGTGAGATTGATGGAATTTTTCGAGAATCATTTCGCCAAGTCAATTGCGAATGGCCACCATAGCAGAAGCCACAGCAGAATACTAATCTTCTCTCTCCGTAAGTTTTGCGCGCTTACGTTCTTGTCAACTAAATATACATATATAATTTTTAAATGACTCACATATATAGCGCGCTGACAGCGTTTACATAAGGCCACATTTATATTCAATTTAGATTTCTCATATGTATTCTCAGCCTGAACAACGTGCTTTTGTATTAATTTTTCATTTCATGAATTAAATACCAGCGCGATGTGTGTGCACAAGCACGCCATTATGAGTGCAACAAATAGAACTTTTGTTGCCTCTCCAGCGTGCGCTAAATCATCTGCACAAATCTGGCTCTGGCGCAGAAAAAAACAACATCATTTACCTTGTGAATCAAAATTAGCCCATCTGGCTGTCATCATGTCAAACAAGCTGAATTGGTCCATAATGCTGGGCCTCGTTGAGCTATCTCTTATCGCCCAATTTGCGTTGCTTCAACCGCATTAAATGGCCACCACTCTGAAAAGATAAATAGAATTTCATATTAATATTCATCACTGAATATTTCATGTGAATTTATTCGATCTATTTGGTCAAACAATGTCTCCTAATGATTGCCACTCTATTATTAATCTCGCGAAGTGTTGAGTAATTGACCCACAATTGCGCTTACTGAATCAATAAAAGCCTACATAATGTGAGCGATTAAAAAATACACATTATACAATTTTTTTTTGTTTCTGCCGCTCAATGTCACAACAACGCAAGTTGCGCGCCACTCAGGAGAAACCAATTTGAGAGAAGAGATTGTTTAGAGCTGCCGAGACAAATTTAGAATTTATTCGACTTCCAAAAATACACTCAGGAAATGATGTTGGACCTTATATGCTCAAGACTGCCTTCTCTTATGCAACACTTTCAATGGAATTGGAGACAGGCTTGCTGAACAAATAGCGCCCAATTGTGAGCCCAAAGATTACAGTGCGCGACAATCTAAGATGCATGAGCTTAAGAGAATTTTCTCATTAAAAATTAAACTAAATTTCATCGGGAAAATATCGGAAAACCTAGATTATTAATCATATTTGATGTATTTAAACACTATAATTTGCATTAATTCGCCATTAAATGATTATTAAACTGTTTTCTAGATCAAAAGCCGAATTAGACATTAAGCTAATTCCTACTTTCTGGACTTGTACTTGATAAGAAACCAACATCGACAGGTTCTTTTTTCAGAAGCTTGACAAATGTATATAATTAGGCATTTTAATTCAAAACAGATCAATAATGTAACGGTTCTGAAGTGATTTATCCGTGCAGTGCTTCTTAAGTGTTGCATTGAGTTCTGTTTGAAAATTCCTGCATAGAGAAATGCATCCACACCCAGTTAACATACTAAAAACATCAAACACGTTTATTTCATGTGGCGAAAGCCGTGCAAAAAGTTGCCTAATTAATAAGTTTCGGGCGGAGTTTACACATTGTAAGCAAACGACAGGCGTGTTTGTTGGTCTGATTAAAAAACAACAGACCGCATTTGGGCTAAATTTGCCATCAAAACATGCATCATAACTCAAAAATTGGTTTGCGTGGAAATAATTGCAAATATACGCGAACTGCTCCTCAATTTCCTTTCCCATAACTTCCTCCTTCGCTCTCAAAGTTTGGTGCGCTTTTCCTTTTGTGCGGAGTTTCACGTCTTTGCGGTGTATTTTATCTATTTTGGGAATGTTCGTCTCCTGTTTTTGGGGTATTTTTGTCACCAATTTCCAGTCTAATATTTCTCTTTGATTTAAAATGTGTACACAAATGACAGCGGCAAACAAGAAGCGAGCGCTCCAAGGGAAATGTATACGCTTTTTTCTCAGCTCAATCTCCCTCACAGCTGCGCTGCGAATGACATTCCTTTGCTCTGTTGGAGGGAAAAAGTGATCACGAAATTTCCTACTAAATCTCATCTCATTTCCCATCGCGAACGAGATGAGTTTCTTGCATAAATTGTGCGCGATTTCTGACGGGAGAAAAATGTGTATTGGAGGCATTTTGCCTCTCGACAAATTACTCACGCCCATGAAATGCCTCAGAGCAGTACAGTTGCAGCCACAACAATGCTCAAAGTGAGTTTTTTCTCTCCGCACATTAATGCAGCAAAGAGTAATGCAATAGAGCTTTTACATATATTTCCAATCTGTATGTGAGATTGAAGTGCAAATGTGTGAGCCGAAATTGTTTATTTTATGCAAAATGAACTACCACAATTATTTCATGCAACTTTCCATCTCTAAACGCCATTTCACCGTGAAGAAGGCAGCTCTACACCTTGCCATTTGGTTTCAATTTTCAATATAATGAGCTCTGGCTGCATTGTGGCCGCCATCCAATCTCTTTTGGAGTGCGCGCAATTAAATCCACCTTTTGCCAATGCTCAGCATCATTTCACACCATCCAGGACTTAATGTATTCCTGCATGCGGACAATTTACTTAACTCAAAGCACTTTGGCGTCTATTGCACGAAAGAAAAAGAAATTTAATGAAGGTGGGAAGTGCAAAAAAAAATCATCTTCATACTCAATAATTCATATTATTTTTTTTTTGCTTCATGAGCACGAATTTCTCGCCCACAATCGCCACGAACATATGTGCTCCTAATATGCAAAACCCTCCTCAAAATACCTACTCATTTCTGTACTTTTTCGCACCGAAAAGCATAATCTTCATTAGCCATTATTATGGCAACACTTACGGTTGTTTTCTTTTTTTCCAGTCAGAAAATGTGGAGATTGTGCAGCTGTTAAGCGCCCAAATCTTTCTAAGACGTTTAGTTAAACTCCGCGCGACCCTCTTCAGTTCAAATAGACTTCAACCACGAACAATGGATCTTTCCGTTTTCATTTTACATAACGTAGTTGTATTAATAAAATGTGAAGATGCAAAGAAAGTAGGAATTGTGCAAAAAAGCATTTCATATCTTACGGTTGTAATACATATGTTGTACCAGCATTAAGCACTGTAATTGCATATTGATATAGCAATTATTTCGAAATTTATCAAGTAACACTCTTCTTTTTTTCGTTATCGCGATTGGAAAGCATTCTCACCAGTGAAATCGCTACAAATATAGTAAATGAAAATTTTTTCAAATTCTAGTTATTATTAGAGGCATTTTGGTTGCAATTAAAGCATAAATTGGAGTCTATCTGGGAAATCCAATCGGAGGCAGGTTAATAAAACACGGAAATGTGTAATAAAATTGTGGGAGTCGTAAAAAGCAAATCTGATTTTGATGTCCACCGCAATTTACCGCATAATTCGATCAAGACTTATTGATTCTTGGGGTCGATGTTAAAAATAAAACGACTAAAATGAGAAAGTTCCTTTACAGCATGCGCTTTATGTCATGATACAATTTCTCAAATTGATTTATAAATTGCAAAATTACACAAATCGTAACGAATCATGTTGATATTGCGGTTATTTTTCAAATACACACAGTTGTGATGAGATAAATAAACTCACTTTGCACAAGAAAATGCTGAAAATTCTACTCGTGAATTTGAATGGAAATTGTCAAGAATGGTTCATTGTTATTCACGGTCAGAATATGATCTAACTTGAGCTTTGATGCAATTAATCACCTCAGAAAACCACAGAAAATTCTCCTAATTAGTTTAAAATGATAGACTTTAACAGTTGGATTGATGATTAAACGTTTCTGCTGGAAAAACCAAGACATTTCCGATGCAAAATAAAAAGTTTGCACAAACACAATACTTAAGTAAAGAAGACTTAAGTAAAGCTGCTCAAGTGTGGTTTTTAGCCATTTTCTTCTGCCCGCAACTGTATATGTAAATTCATGCGAAAGTTTCCGATAAAAGTTCCTTTCCAAATACAGACGAATTAAACTTCATCCCTCATCACCTTACTTTGACAACTTTCTCATCACCCAATTTTGAAACCATGTTTGAGTTCAAAGTGTTAGACGACAAATTACAGGAGGTTCAATAAAAGTTTTTATGTCACTAGTGACAATCTGTGGATACTTATACACACATAGAAACTTTATATGACTCTTCTACAGCATGAAGTCATTCCAGTCACGTTTTTTTCATCCATGATAAATGCCAAATTTTGTGTACAACTTATGCGGGAAGTCTGTTGTCATGACTTTTCCACTTTGGCGCAGCTCTTGTGATGTCAACCGAGAATTTGATTTACTCTGCTGATTCCACAGTGAGAAGGTAATTTTAGAATTTTACGTGGGTTTCGACGATTGCGTTATGAGTACATGTGCTCAAAAATATCTGAGATGAAGGCGAGAGACGTTGCATGGAATCAATTTTCCAGAAGAGAAATTCTCTTTTCTCCGCCGAGGAAGCGCGGCATAATTGACACAACAATCAGCCATGCATGTCCAAGAGGGGTAGATATGTATCTTCACTCCATCGGCAAGGAATTGTTTTGAGCCGGCCTGATGTTTTCGTGGCTCTGGGAAACGTTCGCCGCACGAAAGCCGCGCCACTCCGATTGTTGTAGACGAGCGACGACAAGAGCGATTTACTTTGAGGAAAAATCAACAGGTTGTATAAGTATCACAGGTGTTTCCACACACTTTTTCCTCCGTTGTCCGTGTAGAATCAATAAAATTCTTCCCCTTCGCCGCCAATTGCTCACAAATGTGCTGTTGCCTTAGTCACACACAGCATATGAATCAACGTGCAATTGTGAGAGGGAGAAAAGAAATGCTGCCACTTTAATATGTGATGCCAAATGAGTGAAACTCTCTGATTCATTCGCGCGCTTCTCAAAAAAAAAAGTTTTTAACTTAGCATATATAAAAATAATGCAAATGCTGTGCTTTTCATTTTGCCCCACGAAAAAAAAGCACACACAGATAAAGACTGGAAAAAACAAACACGCATAATTTGTACATCTGTGCGGAGTTCCATTAAACAATAGACTTGGGAGAATTTTTATTCATGCCTTGGCATCGGAAAGTAGTACAATCTTCTTTTTCATTCAAGAATTCACGGCGGCTTTTCATTTCTCACATCGTGTGTTGCCTCAAATTTGAGTTCAATGCGAATTTATTAGCTTAGTTTTTAATATGTCTTTCTTTCAGCATTTTCTCTCTCTCTAAGCTCTATAATTTCAGCAAAATGGAGATAATGTGACACAATTTATAAGTGATTTGTTGGCACTTTTTTTCCCCGCCGACACCACAAATACAGCACACTTGCTGCTCTTTTTCAATTTTCATCCAAGACAGCGCGAGAGAGAGATCAAAACGCGCTCCATTCGTCAAATATTGGAATTCGCGAAGCGGATCTTTGCGGCTCGCAACATTACCTTTCTAATTTGCATACAAGCTCTCGCATGGCTCAAGACTCAATTAAATACGCTACTGTTCTCAATGGTATTTTCAGACTCACGAATTTCCTTGCTGGACGAACTCCAGAGAGTGAGAGAGCACACACAAGAGCACAGAATTGAGATTGCGTTGCGCCCAAGAAATTTCACATCTTTCCAGTCACATTCCACGGAGATCAAAATGCGCCTCTCTGACTTTTAAGGTGTGTTGTGTCCCATTTAATGCTGTACTTCTTCTGAAATCTCGTTTCACTCTTTCATGAAATCACCATCAAATCTTATTCCGATTCGTTCCTTCACATCTCCACATCACAAAGAAAACTCGAGGCTCTATTTTGAGACACTCTCACCGCGGGTTTTGTTATCCTTCTGGGCGGCGCGGGCATGCAATCACGAGATCACCACACACGAGGGCCGTTCCTTTGTGCCAAAACAGCAATCATTCACAGAAAGTGTTGGGAGTTGGAAATTGAATTAAACCCAAATGTTTTTCAAGACGAAATTCTTACAGCACTGTGAGCACAATTGAAACCACAGTTGAGTGGATGCCAAACTACCGTAAACTGTAAACGTTTCCATCCACAACACTAGCAACGGGCCTTCTTACGATCAGCACCACGAGTAAGAAGAAGATAACACTATAGTGAGAGTCAGAGGCACAATATAACCACACCATGGCAGCCAGGTTCAACCCATACCTCTCTACCTGTTCTCCCTCTGTGCCGAGATTGTGGTGCATGTGTGAGAAAACTACAATGCGAACGGGCGATTCAACTCCCCGCGAACCATGAGCGCGCGACCAGCAGCTCGCAAGTCTTTCGTTCGTTTGGCAGCAGCACCAAGAATTCCCAGCCCGCGAAGCCGCACAGTCCATGGCAGGTAAGGTCAGACATTGGAGGAGAGGGAGCTCTCCGTTTGTTGCTTCCCAACCAACACACGCCTTTTTGATATATTTATAATATGCCAAGAGAGGAAAAGCGACAAGAGAGAGAGAATATATACTTTTTCGTACGCCACCTTTTTTATCGCGCCGTTTTGAGACTCTTCACACCACCTCAACTTGCCGAGAATCCGCGAGGAAATGAAGCGCGAGATGTAACAAATACAGTCCCAATTAAATTTTTAACAGTTACAAAAGAGTCGTGAAAAGCCGAGGTGAATTGCATATGGAATTTCCTCGTTTTCTTTTCCATCGCCCAAGCGCCAAACATCGCGGCAAAAGTGGCTGGACAAATTTCACTTCCAGCTCCAATTAGACTCACACACGACTTCGGGAAAAAACTAATACATAATCTTGCCTGTTGGTTTGTCTCTTGGAAGTGTTATTAAGTGGCGCAATAAAGTTGGGAATTGGGAGGTTTTTTTCTTCTCCTCCTTTGCTCTGCCAAAAATAAACTGTACGTGAGAGTTTCACAACGCAACCACCCAATAAATACCAATTTATATCAAATCTAATATCAATTCATTGCACGAGTTGGACTGTAATTGAGCCGGCGACAGAAACAGACGCGAAACTGCGAGGGCCTCTCATTGAATCGCCGCTTGTACTCACAATCTCGGCTTATCTGATCGACAGATAAGGGACTTTTTACTTGTAAGAAAGTGGCGATTGAATTGTTTTCTCAAATTAAGATTGTGTGGCATTGCATGAAAAGAGAAATTTCAGGGGATTTAATGTAAGCCATGAGCCATCCAGTTGTGGAGCAAGAAGTGATGACAATATTCTAATAATAATAAAAATAGACATCAAGTTTCGTCAGATCGAAAGCGACGACACACATTTAAGTTTGGTAAGACAGCCTTTTAAAATGACATATTAGCAGAGTATTCAGCACGACTGTATGACTTTGGAATGTTTATCTTGGCTCTTTGTTGCTCTGTCACATATCTTCTCCCTTTATTTTTATAGGTTAGTAAAGTAAATATGATAAATCGCGACGTGATCCAGTTGGAGCACGAATTGAGTCTTTACGTGCAATTAGAAATAAAGCAGAATTTTTGCCACTCTTGCGAATATCTTTAAGAGATTCTGAGGAAGCAGAACTCCTTGCGAATCAATAAATGGGCGGAGCTTTCATGTGGGTGTGTTTTCAAAGGACAATTCTGCTAATTTTGGGTGAAAAAGGATAAAAAGAACCAAGAAAGTTCTTTATTTCACATCAAATGTATTCTAGAAATTGATTGAATCACCCCTGAATATAGCAACAAGTCACAGAACAACATTTTCCGTCTGAAATCTGAATAATAACATGAAAAAATTTCCTAAAATTCCACCCATTCTCAGCTTGGCATTCCTCTCCTCTATGTAATCATAATATCTTAATAGTATACTTTTGCGGCATTTGGCTTAATGGTGAAAGGCTTCATTGGATATCTTTTGCGGCGATGGCATTAAAGCAAACATCTCACGGCTGCTTTCCAGTCCGACATCCGCTGGTGAAGCACCTCACACGAAAGACAGGAACACATTTTTGTGCCATTGTCCGGAAGTGCAGTGATGGAAAGTGGCAGATGTGCTGAGTGTGCATTCGAGGGGAAGCAAGGAAACCGCAGAGGATCGCACAAAGTGTGACATTCAGCTCAGCTCGCGATCGAATTGTGCGACTGCAGACTTAGCACACAAAGGCAAACTCTAGGCTCACCTCAATATAATCTAGCTCTGGGCGTTTTTATTTTGCCCCGCAGCCGACACATAATTCAGTTGAGCAACTAGTTTTACAAGTGCTCTAATGACGCCTCTTCTCGACACACTGTCTTTCCTTGTGGATGCGATCGGGCACAGCCGCGAAATGGCCATTGCACGCTGAACATGGGAAGAGAAGCCATTGTGGGGCGATAAACACGAGAGAGGGAAGTGCAGTGTGCACTTATTTGGACTAGGAATCCCTCCAAAGTGCAGCAAGGTCGGAGAGTCATTAGGAGAAGAGCTGGGAATAATAACTCCCTTTGCAGTGTAATTGCGGAATTCACTGCAATTACTTCTCCTCTCGTGTTCCGCCGTTTGCACTGTCATGTCCCAGTGAATTCAGACATTCTCCTTATCGGTATCCCACGATATCATCCAGCGCACACAGTATCAATTTTGCACAGCCAGCAAATCACCCCGAAAGCCATATTCTTATCGCAAACCTCAACGTGTGTGTGGATTGGAAAGAAAATACTCAAGTGCCTTCCTTTGCGACACTGATATATAGTTAAGCATTTTTATTTCACTGCTTCTTAACGTTCTTAACGCTCTTCTAGTGTTTGTAGTAAAATAAATTACTATAAATTATATCTCGCTCTACAGTATAAATTCTATGCATCAGTTTTGAAAATAAAAAAAAATTACATCTTACAGAGCATTTAATGCCAATCCGAAAATATATTAAATATTCTCTTACTTTATATACAAAATAAATTAAATTACAGCATAATTAGGTACTTGCTTTTTCTTGTTCCACGGCCAGAAAGACAATGAGAAATTGCTTTTCGCCGTGTTTGGAAAAATGTAATACGAAATATAAACTAATTAGTCAAATTAATCACAAGAAGGACGCGAAAGTGAGGTGCAATTAAACTTGAATTGAAGTGATAATTGAGAGCTGTCTCATTACAATCCATGTTCTAGCTATTCATAAATTTTATTAGTCTCACAGAGTAAACTTTATGAAATACATATATGATAAGAGATACAATAAGTTTATTATATAAAGTTCTTCTTCTTTTCTGTATATCAATTAAATATCAACTTCAAAATATCACGAAGAGTTTTATATTGTTATCTCGAAATTATGTTTTAAAAAACTTGCCTGAATTAATTGGAAATTCCGCAAATTGCCAAAATGTTTATACAATCACTTAAAGTCAACAAATCGATAGTGTGTAAAGCTTCATGTTCACTCAAAAATTTCAACAATTCTCAATTGCTTAAGTGCATTTTACTTGAATAGGGGAAAATTTATTGGATTACATTAAATTCTGATTGTCTCTAGTCTTCACAAAATTTCTCAATTCACATATATTTTACCTTTTTTCTGCTTTAACAATATACTTTGATAATTAACCTGTTTTCTTGAAACAACATGGTTTTTTAATCTTTTAATATGTTTTAGTTACTTATAATTGGTGTGTTCTTATTCACTTTATGTGTTCACATTGAGCAAAATGATATTAAAGTTTGCGTTTTTCAGTGAGCAATTCAATTAAATTTGATAGGAAATCCCTCAAGGCAGTTACGAAATATTGGTTGTAGCCAAAATTGGGTTTTTCATCAATTGACATTTTGGGATGTTGTTACAATTTCTTTTTTTTCTAACAGACATGAACTGCCCAAGAAGCCCAAAGAGATAAATATTGTACAACATGCGTGCACGAAAGTGTGCACAGCTGTCTCTTTATATGTACAATCCGTCTTAAATTCATCTGTGAAATTACATGGTAAAGGTGCGTTGGAAGAGGTGCACTTTATACAGTCTATATAGTAAAGTTTACATCATCAAAAAGTTTTGTGGTGCTTTAGCATCAGGCGGGTGCTCTTCTCCTACACACTCTGCAATCGTCTGCGATGTGAATCCAGACGAGGACTCGCGGATCAGGCGTAGCTCTGCGATCCCGTGCTTTCGGGGCAATGATGATGGAAGTGCTCGCCACTCGTGCCGCGGTCGATCCAGTGCTTCAGCTTGTCCCGCAGCTCCTCCAGACTCTTGGACTTCGCCTTGTTAATCCGCTTGTATTTGACATCTTTGGGGCGTGTAATTGACCTATGATTCAGCATGACTCTATTGTAATTGACTACGGGCGATGGTTTGCCGGCCGTTGCGCCGGTGTTGCAGTTATTGTTGAAATTATCCACATTCGCATGAATTGACTCTGCATTATTCTCATCATCGGCACCGATAATCTTCTCAGAGCGACTCTTGAACTTATCCCGCTTCTCCGACACATTGTTGGTCGGTGCCTGATTCGGCTCCGAGTCCTCCTCGACGCTGTACACAGTCTCCAAAATGTCGGGCCTCTTCAAGTAGCAGTTGCTGCGGCGGCCAGATGAATATTTCAAATTTGTCTCAATGGCATCCGATATCGATCGCACCACTGTCACGTCCGAAGGATACGGCTTTCGCTTCATGATAATCGAGCTGTTGCAGTCTGAATCAATGTCATCCAGCACAACGGCCGAATCCGAGTCGTTGAGCGAATCCAAGTTCATATAGCATGCATCTGGAATATCCAGACCATGCTCGCTCAGCTGAGAGCACAGCGAATCTATAAATTTCTGCTGACGATGAATTGTCTGCTCCCGTTGACATAGTAGATTTGATATTTGTTTCTGCTTCTTTATTAACCGTGACTCCAGCAAGATTAATTGACTCGTTAGGATGTTGATCTGATCATTGCGTGCCTTCTTGCTTCTGCAATTCACCTCCACCTGTAACAGAGAAGCCAACAAAAGTTCAGCTGTGTTATTGAGAAGATTCGGCATACATATATATTTCGCATTATCAATTCTTAATCATCCAAAGCTTTCCACCTCCAAGCATGAGGATAAATTAATGAACAATAGAGACTACGGCTACACAGCATTGCTCCAAACATGCCAAGTGTAAATAACCACGACGGCGAACCACCCTCTCGCACATCCCATCGAATGGCACGGCCATGGGCGTAGCCGCAAGACACCGGAGCCCCTTTAAAGTCACTCCAATTCTCTTGAAATTCTCTAGAAAATCACGTAAAACTGCAGACTTTGCTGACAAGCTAAAATAAGTCATTCAAGACAGTCTTGAGAGTATCATTAGTGTCCCATACGACAATCCCACATTGTTACAGGACAATATGAGTTATCCTATTGCATTATGGACAAAGGTTAGTACATTTTATAGCCTCAGAAGCGAGGTTAGACGGTGATTTAGCATTTCACGATACTGTTCGCGATTTTACCCAAATTCGCTACGCCCTTGTCTGCTCTTTATGGCGATTTTCATATTTTATTAGTTCATCTCTCCTCTCTTAGACATTACATGGAGCAATACTGTACACTTTGCATGCAATGGCAAAATGAAGAAATATACACAAAATGAAATTTACCTGTGTAAAGAACCAAAATTGTGCTTGCCAACAATTAATGTTTTACTCTTGTCACTGTTTTTTTTGCATGGGTGGAAGCCAAAGCGAAAAGCTGTTAGTATTATAGCATTTGCTGGGCTGTGTGAATATATACCAAAAAAAATAATCCACTTCACCGACACACATTTTGCCTTAATTTCATTTTCCAAGCAAATATAAATTCCATTAAAAGCATTTAGGTAACACACCCAAAAATAGAGACACAGAGAGAGAGAGAGAAACAAAGCACAATAATTTCCTAAGCCACAAAACAAGAAACTTGTGCCAAAAAGGAAGATTTTCTCAGACCAAAATTAATCCGACTGTACTTAACTGTTTGTAACCATTTAATGCTTACACAAAAGCATATGTTTTTTTTCTTCCAGGCATTCTGACTGGAAGAGCACTCAAGCGCAATTTGCATTTTCATCTTCTTCTAAACATTAATAAATGCGATTAGCAAATTAGGGTCATAATTTGATAATTCCCTGACGTCAATTTCAAAGCGTAATCTCAACGCCATTTCTCTCTTATCTGCTTCTTTCACACACACACACGGTTGAACTCGCTCCGGAGATGCTCTTGTAATTAATCCTTTCTACTTTCCATCAGAATTCCCGAGATTGCACTTCCTTTAAGTGGCACATGGTGTAGTGAGAATGTGGCAGAAGCGGATTTTAACATCCTGCTTTAGAAGTTATCCAGCACAGAGTCAATTTTTTCCCGCCATCCAGCATTGCCCAGAGAGAGAAAGAGGAAAGCGACAGTGTGCATAGACAGCAAGGGAGAACAGCAAGGAGTGAAAAAATACGCTCATGCAGAATATTTATGATAGAATGCATGCAATTTTGCAGACAATCCGGTTCAACGTTAAAACATTAAGCAGCAGTATGGCTGCGTAATGGATATGGTTAGAGGATTTTTCCCACTCTGTGCCGCACAACAGCGAAAGAATGGTTTTACGGATATTAAATTCACTTTTGATGTATTATGTGTTCGAGGGGGGAAATGAAAATAAAAATCTATGTGAAACATATTGCCTCACACACGAGACATTTTACCCAGATTAGCGTTACACCACCGCACATAACATACCTCATAAGTGTAAGCTTTCTTCCACGCCAAAATCTGTTCAGCCTGCAGACGACATTTAGAACGAAGCTCGTTTATGATCAAATTCGCTGTTGCGAGATCTTGCGGTTCCTGCAGTGGCGTTTCGAGTGCAGAGAGAGAGAGAGAAACATTAGTTTGGAGATGGATTGCAGTATTGCTCACGCGAGCGTTGGCACAGCGAGTTTGCGCTGCTCATAATCCCATGATAATAACTTACCATTTGAGTAAATTTTAGGCCTTTGGTATGAAATTCACATAAAAGTGCTGCTCCATGCAGAACACAATCTAGTCATGCTCACCCTCGAGCTTGCTGGACAATTTTTCTGCTCATTGCCATCGGCAACATTTGAACTTTCAATGCGTGCTCAAGCCTCGAGTGTATCTGAAATGATATTAACGAGTTCACAGATTACTATTGATTCTGCTTATTAGAGAAAAAGACTCGAGAATTATCAGTGCGATTATGGTACATTATAAAAAATTGTACTAAATTTTATCGTCTTAACGAACTGATCCTAAATGCGATCTTGTTTTTATGGCCCATCGAATGCAACGTAACAGAAAAAAATAAATATCCAATTCCGCTTCTTCTTTTACAAGTTACTAATATTGATAAGAAAAAGCAGTTGCAGGAAAATTCTCTCAAATTTCCCTAGAGTATATGTATAAGAATGTAAAAATTTATGTATTTTTAAGAAATAAAGAATTATGATTTAATTTTACAGTTCACTCGATCTTTGAAGCACTCTTCTAAGTGGTTTGCATTGGCAATTTGCAATGTCATTAAAGTTCACGGCGAGACTTCTAATCTGGCGCTTCCTCAGTCGCTGCTCATCAGATTAGATAATACCTCTACACATAAATCATACGTCACACCGTGCGAAACATTATGTGCTACATAGCAGATACCAAAGATACCGCGAAATACTCGTCCAATTATTTTTATTATACCCCTCAACACGCTGTACATGAGCAGAAAAACAGTGCAGTACATGCTTCCACGTATATGCTCTCTTTTTATATCGCATTTTCCAGCCCAGCGTAGTAAATTGTGATATTGTGAAAACAGAAGGATCACGGCCATTTATATATTAAAAAAAAAACCACATTAATGCATATTTCAGTATACTTTCCACGGAAATTCTTGATTTTGCATAGGAAATACTTGCATTGCAAATTCTACTGGTTGCAACAATAATTTTGAGAAACTAACGCACTGCGCTTATGTTTCAGCAGGGAACAAAAGAGAACCTTTCCTCACAAAGAAGTGGCATGGAAATTCATTTAAGAACTCCTCTTGTTGCCTGAGATATGAAAAGCCCTCCTCATATTCCACCCTTCGCATATTATATAATATATTGTTTACACGAAGACGAACTTTTGAAAACTCAATTAACTCTCTTCCCATCGCAGCGATGATTAGAGTTTCAGTTTCATATGGTGAAGCACTAAAATTTCCACCAGAAGATTTAAAGCAAGATACACACTTTAGTTCGAATAAATCGACTAAATTATGTCCTGTGCAATTTCCAGCAAAAGTTTCGCTTCTGATTCTCAGGTTCTGAACATCGGCAGTCCCGAAGAAATTAATCCAAAACGTACAAAATCTATTGTTTATGTGTTTCATGCAATCTGAGCTCAAAATCAAGATCGACTGATAAAAGTCTAGAATCTGATTGCTTTCTTTTTACATAAAGCATCTTGATTTTAGCACAGTATATTGGCTTAATTGCTCTGACTAAAGCCGGATGCTTTCTCTGTGCGAATGACGCAATTTGGGTGTTAAAAAGAAAATTAGTTAATAGCACTTGAAAAACGCTATTGTCTTGTATCCATAGCTTGTTTTACAATATTCCTATGCAATCCACAGCAAAAGTACACCACTCACGATTAATCTGCTTCTTCACAGAGTCTTATTCAATACCAATCGACATGTATAAATTTTTACACACCTCCAACCATTAGCAATTACGTGAGAATAATTTTGCCCACTTGGTTATTATCAGCATCGAATTAGGGGCGATATAGAATGAATTATGGCAGGCGAAAGACCGTATTCTTCTTTATGCGACGCCAAAGTCTTGCGCGAATATTTACGATTGTAGAAAAAGAATTATTGTCGGACATAAAGCCACACATTGGACTAATAATAATAATGCTGCTCCTCTTATGCTAGAACTTAGCACATTGATTTCACACTTTGCCTTTTATTGCTCGCCTGTGAATCGCTTATTTCCATTCTTATATGCCTTTTGGAATCAAAATTAATACCATGACTGCCACACAGACATTGACCACAAGCATTCACATCTCACATGATTTATCACCTCCTTTTCATCTATCATATTTGGAAAATCCTCTCAAAATCCATGAGAGACGTATAAATAAATTTCGAAATGCCGCGCGATCTCGTATTTATGGATTGCCATGAGAGCATAAATTTGTATCTCACTCCAATTGTTAATAATCTACCTTATGTAGTTGTACACCGTCAACATGTGATATTCACAATAAATAATAAAAAAATAATAATAATAATACAATTGCATGTGCATATGTATGTGTGGCTGATGAAAATAATACCCTATTTCACTTTTATTTGTGCACGAAGCGAACGGGAACGTATTCATCATCATCATTACCAAGTATTATTGGAAAAATGAATAATAATAGCATTCTACTCAATATTCAGCGACTTTTTCACTCAATCTCTCACATTGTGTTGGAATTGTAGCGGGTCAATATCTCAGATGCATCAAGCGCTCTGTGCACCACATATGATAATTCAATTAAGCGCCGTTCCCAGCGAGACTTTCTTCACACGCGCAGGGGAAATATGGGTGAAACTTTTCCCGTATAATCACAGCCAAAGTGCACTGAAGGAGAGCGCGACTTTGTGTCCAGAGGACACCAATTTGCAAAAGTTTTCTCCTCCTCGAAAATCCTTTGCACAGAAAGATAAAACGTGACTCAAATTTCAAACTGTCCCACAAACTCTCGCTTCTCCCGAAGTGAAATACAAAATTTATATTCACAAAGTGATATTTAATCCGAAAGTTTTGGCCCAAAGTATCAATTTGCGTCGCTAAATACAGAGCAAATTTCTGCCATAGCGCACTTCTCAAATTTTTCTTTCTATACACCAAAACCAATAAAGGCAAACAGAAGTGGCATATATATAAAAAATGTTGCAAAGTTTTCGGTGTAGAAAATGGCCCAAAGTGGTGAATTAAATTAAGAGCATTGCCACACACACCACACTGACATTATTATGATGTTATAAAATGATTTTGAAACTCCCAACACGTAAAGACTTTTACATTAATTCTCGCTTTCTTCGCGCGCGCTTTTCTTTCTCCATATTCATTGCTGTTTTTCGTGGAAAATTTCTCAATATCGACAAGATGCACATCAATCACACTGTGTGAACTATAAATGACATTTTTCACACAACATCGTGACTTTGGCGCGATGTCTCAAGTTGAGTTGCTTGCAAAATATCTTCTACACCAGCAAAATCTGACTGGCAAGGAAACTCGTTGAGATATGCTAAGGATTTTTGAATGCCTAAGGAAGAGTGAAGATTCTCCTGATTTCGGCACCTTCTCCAAAATCGCTGCATTAAAGATACCCAATAAATCCATCCATTGCGGCTCAAGCCAACGCCACGCTGTGGCTCTCAAGTGCTTTTCACAATCTGGCGTATGTAAAGTTTTCCCACAAAATACATCAACTCTCGGGTTAATGCTTCACCGAGAGAGAGACACCTTAAAAGCTTGCAGCGAGAAACAGCTATTTCATGTTTGAATAAATATTGATCCATCGGGAATCAAAGATTGAACTGTGTGTTGTAAATGGAAGAACAATTTTATAACTTCAAGAAGAGTTAAATTCTATTCTAATTTCACCACAATGGATTTCCTCTTCAACGGTTCTGTGCCATCTTTAGCCGCTGAAGGCTGAAGAAAAAGGCCAACTAGAGGCTCTCCTAATCAAAACGTAACAATGACTAATGCCCATTTTTGCCCTCAAGCGCAAATGCGATTCAATTTCGGCATGTATTGTTCGGATTTATAAATTTCTAACTTTGTACATTAAGGCAAACTTATTGCTTTTCATTTGCCTGCCCAAATTGTAGCGCGTATAAACTAAGCTGCTCAAGTTAATTCAATATAATTCCTTCGCGGAAAAAAAACACACAGTCGAGAGTGAGAAACACAACATAAACTTCCAAAAAGCACATCACTCTCTATTTGCATGAAACGCGCGATGGCTTGTTAAAAATCCTCCACCGCACACGAGTGTATACACATTTTTCATTAAAACTTATTATAAATTGCTATTGAAATGGAAGTTTTCGTCTTGGGAAAGAGAAGAAAAAAAAACATACGTGGGAGTGCACATGTAACTAACTAACTAACTGGTGAATTGGATAAAAGAGCTTCAACTGAAACCGCATCGGCTAGAAAACGAAACGAGTTGCTCAAAAATTACAATAAAAAGCATAAGAATTGTTGAATAAAACACATTAGAGACGCACTATAGCCGCTCTTTTTCACTTCTAAAATGTGAAATGAAAGTAAAAACCAGTTATACTTTTTCGTGTGTTGAGATAACAAATCAACAAAAATATATATATAAACTTTACACGTGTGCTCAACATTTTCAATTCCTTGATAATGAACAATTAAACATACACACTCTGTGCTCACCAGACTTTACAACATGTCGCCGGGCTGATACAGAAAATAATCCACTAAACTGTGTGCGATTTTCTTTGTTTACTTGACTCTTCCACCAATACTTGCCATTATGTATTTCCGCCAATGCTCTTGCGAGTCCCCATTTTATTTTGTCTATACGGCCACAGTGCAATGGAAGTACAAAGATTTTAATTACATAAAGGCAGAGTGGAAAGAAAGAAATAAAGTAAATTACGTGTACGAATCGTGATTGTTCATTTTTGGTATCGATTGAAAAATTTAAACGAGTCTTTCAACATTTTATATGTCTTGAACAGAAAATTCTCTCCACTCTCAATGCTCCGGAGTTTATATCTAAAAGCCAAATACACTCCAAACTACACCTTCTCAGCACCTTTTCCGCCGTCTCTCTGCCTTCTTTCCACAGCTCACATGCAAACATTTCATTTAATGCCGTCTGGCCGTGTAATGAGGTGACCAAAATTGGACAAAATATCGCACCAGCCGCACAATTTATCTCATATGCCATCCCAAATAGTAAATTAATTAGTTATTGATACCTAATTAAAATTTATTGGCATACATGACTTCTCTATGGAGGGAAAATTGCCAATGAGAAGAGAATTAATTAATATGGATGCCAAACCAGGCAGAAATTGAAGTTTGTACTTGTAACCGAGCGCTTATAGCACAAAGTCGACCATCAATTTCCCATGGCAAAAAGCATCCCAAAACCGTGCTTTCTGCAGTGGCAATTAAACGGGGCAAGAAATTATGAGAAACACCATCCCAAACCAATGGGCTTGCCAATCAAAATAGATCGGCCACAAAGGAAATTAAATTCGCCTCGCAGTGATTTGAACAAAGGAGATTCAATTCATTCTATCGATTCACCGCGCGCACTTCTCCATATCTCGGGCCCAAACGAGCTTGGGAACATGATAAAACTCTCCTCATTTATGCATAGAGCTCTCCTCTCAATTGCATTTAGTGGAAAATGGAATGGTATAATAAAGAGGAGGAAGCCCTTCTTCAAATATCAACACTATCTATTCTTCCCATTTCATGCTCATTGTACCTTCGAAACCGCCGTACTTTGGCGCAGAGAAAGAGAGTCATTTGGAGTGCAGAGCAAAAATTATCTCCATCAATAAATCAAACCTAATGCCATTTTCAGGTCTACCATCCTTCTCTACGTGCTCCTCTAATGGTGGCTCATATCTCAATTTTTCCACGATGCCCATCCATGGTACAAAGAGCCCCAGAGATGTGCGTAGAAGAGGCGCACACACTCGGCATCTCTTTAATGTGACGCTCCAGCATTGGAAGAGCCGATGAATTAAGATAGAGTCGGCAAAACGGTGTGTAGGTGACACCTTCTTTTGGTAAATATATGATGTCGTAACGCCGCTAAATTGTGCAAGTTTCATCTAATTATATTGCACGTCAATCTTAAATCATGTCCCTGGTTTTTTCCATTGAGCAACAACATTGCCTTTCATAGTTATGTTCTCACAGTGACAAAATTTCTGATTTTATCGAACATTTTATGATAGATTTTGCACATTAAAAGCGCGTTCACTGCTTCACGGCACACAACTAATGACTTTGTGGCTTTTCATCAACACCCCCCGAAGCAATTGGAAGCAAACATCCCTTAAGTGTGCGATGAGAGGAAATTCAATCAATCAAGTGAATTGAATTGAAACAAGCATTGAACACACATCTATCCAATGCACACAATTAATTAAATCCCTTTGAGGGAGTTTAACCGTGAATCGTTGGCAAGACGAACGCAAAATGCTCCCCATTTTGGCTTCGATCAAACAAGTGTTGGCGTATTGTTGTATATTCGTTATCACTTCTCTTTTGATGCTAAATATAGAAAAAAAGCCCTGCGCTTAAATTTGCTTAACAGATTTGTGAACAGAGATTATTTTGCCCACTGACTCTTGTCATCGCCCAAAAAAGCCGATGATGTGCATAATAAACATAAATGTTTATTAGCTTTTGTCAAAAAGTCAAAGTCTGCAACCCTGAAGAGAGTCTTTCAGTGGGGCATCAGATAAAATTGAACACGCTCAGCAGTAGAAACATTTCTCAATATTTCTCTATTCATTTTCTTGATCACTTCTTGAATTTTCCTGAAAATACGATTTCAGCAGTGAAACACGGGAATGTTGAAAAAAACGCTTGGCAAAGCGGATGCTTCTGTGCATATTAATTTTATTTCCTTCTTGTAATTCAATACTTTAAAATCATTCCCTCTAATCAGCATTTTATTGCGGAGGATATGATAAAAATGGCAAAGATGCTGACATGACAGGTAATTTTAGATAATGCGACTCTTTTTCCGAGAAGGAATGCATAATGATTAAGCAATAAATTCTTTTTTTTTAATTTGGACATTTTGCCAATCTCTCCAACGAAACTTAATTGACAATTCTGCGCTCTAGCATATATTAATACATTAAGGCTAAATACGGTAGAATTTTCGTTGACCTCAAAAGAAATGGCAACAACAGAGTGTGTGGCTTGAGTGTGTGAGAAAATCTAGTCGACAAAGAATGGGCTTTTAGCAAAAATATTCGACTTCACTTGCAGTAAGAATCGCAGAATCCATGCATGGCGAAGTGGATGTTTTAATAAATGATTCATATCTCTCGGCTGAGGCTCGGGAGCTCTGTGCAAATGCAGCTTGTCGCTTATAATCATGGAAATTTGTCACATGAGCACAAAAGCCAGGGCAACTCCGGGAAGTCCCCAGATTAGGATATTCTTTGTCAAATGCCTGAATACAGTTGGACGGCATTATTATGCAGCCATTGTGCGCGCACCGAGATGCCCTGGCATCGACTACAAGGCGTAGCATTGTCTTCCCTCCGACACTCTTCTGACTGTTGTCTCCTTTTGTGCAATTGCAAACCATAATGTGGTGCATATTGTGCACAATGTTGCTTAGTCTAGTCGCCACATCGCAAGACAAGCATCGCGGGTGGAGGAAAGTCGCCACCCCCGCGTTTGTCCTCCTCCAGCACACGGCCAGCGACTGCAGCCGTGCTCTTGTGATTTGCGAGCACTCCGCGGTGGCCGCGCTGCACTTTATCCGCCATAGACCAATGCTCACACTCTCGCCGAGCCAAATGGCACTCTATGTACAATGAAATCACAGTTTTCCTCCATACACTCATGCACTCCCAGCGCACGTAAACTGGTTTTCTTGCAATATATATACACATCGTCGCGCGCGGCCAAGAAATGAGACTCTTTTTTCGGGCTTCCTCCTCTGTAAATACCATCGAGAGGGCAATAGAAGAAAAGTTTACTTTAGACGATATGTGAGGAAATACATACAGCGTGTATATTTTCATATTTATAAGCCTGTGGCGCCAATAAATTTTGTGTGGATGTAATTATTCTTGTGGTTAGATAATGGATTGAATATTTCTGCACACAAGAACTTGGGCGAAACGTGTCTTATATTGTGATCCAACTTTGCATAGCTCCGGACTGCGGCAAAGAGAGTAACATTTTACTATATGTTTTCACTCTTGCCCACCCTCACAAAGCTCTCTGTGGCTTTTGTCCGGGCTTTGGCCAACAATCAATGGACACACACACACATCGCACTGAACACTGCAGAATTCAACCACGGCAGAGCATTCTCCCTTGTTGTGAAAATATCAACCGAGAGCTGAAGATTTATCCATTGCGAAAATGCGTGCAAGTGAAGGAATTACATGACATTTTCCGCCCAGCGAAAATTATTCATTTCCTATATTTGCTTATCCAGCGGCTATTTGCTAAACTTTCATTTGCAAAACCATGGCAAAAGGTTATTACATCTCTCTGATACTTCGTTTAGTATTCAAGGCAGAGACTTTTTTATCATTCACAAGTCTAATCAAAGATATTTCAGACACATCTCAAGTGTCTTTTGACCAAATTTGATGATCTCAAGGACAAGTGAAAGGCCTGACAAACTACATTCTATCTACATTTGCAGATGTGGTCGATAGGAAAATACAGTGGCGACAAGAAGAAATGCACCGCCCACTGAAAACCACATATATTCATTGTCATTGGAACTCATAGTGAAGTTTTCATGAAATTGCTAATTCTCAAATGATAATAAATCGCTTTAATTTCCATCCGATATTTCTACAAAACAATTTCTATTATAACCTAAAAATATCACTAAGACTCCGTTTGGAAGCTTTCCAGATCACAAAATGTCCGGAAAGTTTGCAAAATCAGCATTTTCTAAGCCTAGATCAATATTTTTGAGGTTATGTTGGATCTCAACACAATTTGCAGTGTTTCTTGGCATCAAAGGTTCAGAAAAACAATATTTGTTGGATGTAAATGCTTAATCTTGCCAACGACTAGAAATCTTGAAGCATTGATGTGCTAAAATGGGAATTAATTACTAAATCTTTCCTTTATTCGCTACATAGCCTTGAAAAGGATTAATGTGATTATTAATGCGTCAAAATCAAAAGAAATCCAAACTATTGGGATGATTTCACTAAGCTGTACACCACTTCTGGCCATATTATCTCCCCCTTGCTTAAAAGCTCAAACTTTACAAATATCCTTCTAACTTTTCGATATAACTTTGAGATGACATTTGAAGCCCGAATTAATCCTTCTGATCTGAACACACAAAACTGACTGGAAAACAATCAAATCCATCAGTTTGTTGAAGTGCTCAGCAAGAATTAATCACAGTGTGTAGCAATCTTTATGGCCACAACTGTAGCCGCAGAGTGCTTTAATCCTCTCCGCTGTAATCCTACTTATCTGCAAACCTCTTTTGCGTGTAAATAAGGCATGGAATTTTCAATGTTCAACAAGTCTATAAGCTTGTCTTTTTTTGGTCAGAGTTTCCATGCCAAAAATCGACTCGCGTCCTTGTGCATGAGTCGCGAGTGCAACAAATGGAGTCTTCACGCAGAATCTCACAAAAGGAGGTTGCATTGGAAATTGTCCGGGGGAAATTCTTGAGGCCATAGAAAAACCCATTCACTGCAGTCGAGCTCTGGTGACCTTGCGAGCCTTCTGCGGACATTAATTTTCACTTTTTCCGCCCTTATGCAATCCAGGGGACTTGCGCCGCCCTGGCGATCAGCTGCACCTGGACAGGTGATCAGCTCTAGTGTGAATCTAACGCGCGGCGGCCGCGGGGAGAGGCGCAGAAAGCTAACAGTAAAGAAATATTCAGCAGTTATCATCTGTGCTGTCTGTTATGTAAATTTCTTGCGCGCCTCTGCCAACGGCGGGAAAGAGCGCGATATTTGCCTCGAAAAACAGCAGACGAAAAATTCGGTCGACATTTACCTGTTGTAACTGTATCAAAGAGTCCGGAGGAAATTACTTATTCCGCACGTCTGCAGTCGCTGCTTAACTGTACAGTGCGCGAGCGATTCCTGCGAATTTCACTGCACACTCTCTGCCACCAATTGCATTCAAATAGCACACACTGGAGACATTCTTTATCACTGTTCTCTTGCCTATTTTGCGCGAGTCACCTGGTCACACTCCGAGTGTCTGCAGATCCGCGTCCGTGCCGTGAGAGAGCCACCAAGCAAATGCTCATCGCCGCCAGTCTCTCTCGGCGAGAGAGCCGCGCGCCGAAGAAGGGGCTGCGCCACGGCACAACGGAGCCACATCGATTAATCGACGGAAAACGGCGCGAAACGAACCCATTCTCGCTGGAACTGCCCAGATTGCTGCAATTGCGGGGGAGAATGCAATTCTCTGGACTGATTTGCACCCCCACACTAATGGGCTTTCAGTCCCTCGAGGGTGTAAGGCGATAATGTCTTCTCTACCCACACGTTGATGCAGAAATTATTGACAAAATTGCTCTGCAGAAGGACTTCAAGTGAAGCTCCATTGGAAACTACAGAACTTTTGTTCTTTTCTCCACATTTTCCTTCAACTTTCTCACATATACTTCCTGACACTGAAGGACAGTCGCTAAATGTGTTATCCGACTTTTATTGCCTCCTTGAAGGATGGAATTGGAAAACTCTGAAACACTTTCCATTCCCAATTCATTAAAGTCATTGCAAACGTTCACATGAAATTTATTTCGTTGCATGAGAAATGTACAGAAAAATACAGTTTCTATCAATAAATTAAGAGGGGCGCAGGCACGAGTATATTTTAAATATGATCGTGGATGTGAAATAAATACAAAATAAGGTAGAAAAGTCACAATGCAGTTAATTTATGCAGGGCGCGGCGAGTCAAGTGATATTTAAACTGTTAGATTTTGATATGTTGGTCTTCAAGGCACTGCTCATCAATCTTCACTCACCGCCCCGCGGATTTCAGCTATTATCATTACTATATAGTTCCTGTCTTTTCGTGTGTGTTTAAACGCTATAAAAAGTACTTATCGTCCTAAATTGTATACATTAGATATCAACACAAGTGCACTTCGCTTCCTGCCTTCTTCGCCAGGCCGCCGCTCACGATGGCCTGCTTGGCGATGGGATTGCGCATGTAGTAGCGATCCGTGGGACTCTGAATGATGGACACGGCCGTTTCCGTCTCGCTGGAGTCGGACGTCTCTTTGATGACGTCCGCCTGATTGAACTTCCCATACTCCGCGTCCAGATTGTACCAATCGAACTCCGCCTGAATGGGAATGCGCTCTTCGAAGATCTTCGCGCTGAACGGGATCTCCACCACACTCTGATGAACTTGCTGATTGGGACTCTTATTGTTAACATTGTTGTTTGGCTCTTTCGCTGTCGCGCTGCTTTGGATGTTCATCACCGTCTTCGTCACGTAGTTGTCTTTGTTGATGAACCGTCCCATGGAGCCCGCATCGGCGCGCTTGGGCACCAGAATCGCCGCCACATTCGGCAACTTGGGAATGCTCTCGAAGTCATCGCAGTCCGACTTGCTCTTCTCCGACACGCTGGCTATCGAGCAGTAGTCCGGCTCCACGGCCAGCTGCTTCACCGGCGTGCTCACCTTGATCAGCACCTTGTTGGGCTTCATCACCTTCCGGAACTTCATGAGATTCGCCGGCTTCGGCGGCAGTGCCGGCGGCGTCTTCGCCGGCTCCACGGTCTTCACGATACTCCTCGCCGGCGCCTGAAAGGACTTCCTGTCCATGTCCACATACAGACTGGACTCCTTCTCCACCTCCGAGCCGATGAACTCGTACTCATTCTCCGTCGCTTGCGCCTCCTCCCGGCCGTTCAGCCGCTCCTCCTCCTCCTTCTCGCACTGGGCATGATTGCTGGGCACCGCCACAAGGCAGTTCTGCGTGGAGAACTGCACCCGCCGCGGCTTCACCTCGTCATAACTCCGCGTGGACTCGAGATTGCCCTCAATGGACTGCTGCAGAAGTATCTGGAAAAGAGGTGAACACACATTTCCATCATTTTCCCATTGTACAACACCCTAACACGGCAATTACACCATTCCCGAGCCACACATTGCTGCTAAACACAGAGATTATTCAATTCATGGTGCATCGCAACGCAATGAAATCCACTCGACGCGCGCGTTTCAGTTGAGTTGCACCAATTTGAGCCGAACATGTGCCAATATTTTCCGCACTTTACACGCGATTGAAGTTGAATTCATATTTTTGTATCAAAATACATAAAAACAAGAGAGAAGACAATGTAAACAGCAAATACAGGGAATGTTCACATATTGCCAACACTTCGCGCTGTTAAACTTTTTGTCAAATAAACACACAAACAGAAAAGCCAAATGCGGTGGAGTGTTTTAAAAATATTATTGGCACAAGAGTGAAATTAAGAATTTAATGAGCAAATATCGTGGCACAAACATTCACGACACTCTCACAACGTCATAGATAAAGACTATGTGGGAAAAACAGGTGCAATTTTATCAAAAAGTATATAATTGCTTAGCAAACTTTCTCAATCAAATGTAATAAAAATTTAAGAATGGGTGAAATAAAATGATTTTCTTCAAATCTGAACCTTCAAAAATGATTCCAAAGTAGATTCTGACCTTGGAAAGAACATGTTGATTTCTGTATATTTAGCAAGGACACATTTGGGCAAAAAAGGACTTTTCGCCAAGACACAAAGAGAGCTTTTCTGTCGACAAAGCATATAATAATTACCTGATTAACACACTCGAGGACGGGATTAACACTGCGATCGTACAGATTCGTCGACAGGCACTCGTTGTCCTCAATATCACTGCTCGAGTACCAATCGTCCGTGACCTCCGGCTGCTCCACAGCCGCGGGAATCTCCTCGCAATTCGCCAGCGGTTTCACAGTGCGGATCTTCGCGATGGGCGGCTTGGGCTTCTCCGGCCGCAGCCTCTGCATCCTGTCGTCGCTCTCGCCACTGACGTAGATGCAATTGGTCGTCTGCGGCGCCTCATTCTCGTTGTTGATCGTTGTTATCGTTACACGATGATTGATGTTCTCAATCTTAAAGTCTTCCTGTTGCCTCTCCGTTTGTGTCTCGACGTCGCGCGATCTGTCCGATGACAGCGAACGCGAGCACTTGGAGCAGAGTCTCCTGGCGATCTTGTAGTTCTCAATTTCATTCAGTTGGTAACTTATCTGTTCATCCTTCTCGGACAACTTCTGCTTGATGCGCTTCTGCTCGCGCCTCAGCTTCGCCTCCACGCTGAGCAGTGCCGTAATGATCTCCGTCAATTGCACATTCCTGTAATTCTTCTCGATGCACAGCTCCTCGTCCAGGATGCGCAGATGATTGGAGAAGCTGGCAAAGAGGGACTCGTACTTGTGACTCGTCTCCTCGTCGGGACTCGTCTTCCTCTCCTCATCCTCCGAGGGTTCCGACTTGGATGACGGCGGAGTTTCCGTGTAAAACGTCGCCGTGGCGTAAGTCGTGTGATCTTTCGTCATTCTGCGCGCTGCCGAGAAGAGAAAAAGAACAGCAATTTTAGGCAAATTAGCTTGACGGATTGATTGAAAAGTGTGAAACAAGACAAGTCCGTTCATTCCATGAATGATCTCTGCGCGCCTCTCTTTTTCCCTCTCTCGCGCTCGCCGCGCACAAATTTGAAATACATCGCCGAAAATTCAAAACTTCATGCTGTTTACGATTTCAAAAGAAAGTTACACACAAAAATCAACTTTAATTGACTACAATGGGAAGATTTGCATGTTTACAGCCCAGAATCGAGGTCACAACTCAAACGTAATTGTGGCCACTTTGCCTTCAACCATTTTCCAAACACTCCTGCGCAAAAATCCCCCCCGTTTATTCATCAAACACGCTCATGCAACACACAACTTCTTTTTCGTCCATCCGCAATCTCAGACTGTTAGCGCCGCGCGCAATTGTAGAACAAAGTATAACCAGGCCATTCACTATCAACACCGATCCGCAAACACTCTGAGAAATATCACCTTCGCGATGGTCGCGAGGGAAAAAACTAGAAAAATTCCTCTGCACTCCTCATTAAGGGTATTTATGGGGATCAGTTGGAATGCCACAAACTCCCCGCGAACCCAGCAAATGTCCATGTTTTATTTCCACGAAGGCGAAGAGAGCGCGACTTATCTAGTCAACCAAGATACGTTTCTTGTTCTTGTTACTGAATTGAAAAGGCAGACCACCGAATATGATGGAAGATTACATGGCAAAAAGAAGAAGCGAATGCCCAACAGAGTGAGAGAGAGACCGTCTTCTCATCTCTTGCCCGCATTCCAGAGCTCTGGCGCGCGCGTAAAACATAAAATACAACATTACTCCTGTCGCGCGGGATCCGCAGAGTGCAAAAGAGACGCAAGACATCCACATAATGTGCGGAGAAGAGGAAATACATATGTGCACAAGAGCACAGGTAAACAATGTTGATCGTTTCACATTCTTCTCAAATATCAACTATCATTTTATTACACACAAAATTGCATCCAATTGTTACTAGAGATATTCTTCATCTTCCACCGCGCTTTGCCCTCAACTGCGAAGCACACCAAACCGAATAGGAGAAGTCACTGAATCTTAATTGAATGCCGCTGTATTTTTGTCGCTCCATCGCTGATCATTGCGAAAGAATTCATAAATTGACTGATAAAAAGGCTCTTTTTTGAGAGTGTTTCGTCGATATCTCGAACACATTATCAGTAGCTTGACATCTGGACGCGTTGGCAATATTCCAGGAAATCTTTCTCTGGAATCACGCGAAAATAATTAGAGAAATTCACGGTGTTTCGCTGTGAAATGACAAATGTCCACAGAGCATTATTGGGAACCTCGCTAATTCGCATTCTCGCAAGACTACTTAAGACTCTCGTGCGGAATTATCACGACTGATGTGATGTCATTGATCTTATGATGTCATGCATGAGCAAATATTCAAAATTAGCACAGATTACAAATCTGCAAACCAGTGTCGACTCTATTGAGAGCATTATGTGACATTCAAATTAAGTCACCGCGTCATAAATAATGCATCAGCTTAGCACAACAATCTGTTAAACCATTCAACGATTGATTTCATAGAAAAGCTGCCGCTAATTCGGAATTCCTGAACACAATTCGCGACAAAACTGAAATAAAGGTGTCTACTTTCTCAGGCTAAAGCTAAAACAAATTTATAAGATGTTTTCATGTGTTTTCTTTGCATCATATTAAGTTAAATTCCTTTCTTTTGAGTCAAGATTTCACGAAACATAACTTGAAATATTTCAATTGAGACAATTGAGGCCCTTGATTTAAATGCTCTTAATTTAAATGTCTTTTTTGTGAACTTTAACTCATGATGATCAAATTAATGTTAAAACAATTCAATTTAGACAAAAAAAACAAAGACGCAAAGAATGAGCAAATATTCTCGAAAAAGCTGCTTCTCTTCATGCGTCTAATGATCTCCTTCGCGTCTCCCAAAATCGGCCCTTCATATCCGTGAACGCATTTTTGGATCACGCAAAGATCATCTTTTGAAGGTGAAGACGAGACTCCGTCCCTTCTCTTTCAGGAATGCCATCGCATTATTTTCATTTCTCCTCTCTTCTCTCTCTCTTTCGCGCCGCGCTATTTCGCTCTCTCTCTCTCCAGCGCGCGGCCAAATTGTAGGCCAGCGAGCCGAGATGCTGGGCAAAAAATCACCCATCCAAATTGAAATATTATGAAATAGAGGAATTGTTTCGAAATTGCGGCTCGAGGAGGTGAAAAAAGCGTTGTGTTCTTGCCTCTCTTGCGGTTTGGTGCACATCGCCCCGTCTCGCTCTCGCCTCAATGGCCTCTCTCGCGAGGAGCTGTTTATAACTTTCTTTTATTTTACCATCGCGCTCTGCATAATTGAGTGGATGTTTGTGATTTGGCGTTTCTGTGTGAGTGGCACACAAGATGGGCTTTTTACGCGGAGAGTGTGCACTTAATTTCAGTGGCATTTTATTGATTTTTTTGCGCTGCCATTGATGGTCGCCCTCAAGAGCGCCACGGAATTGCTCGGCTCCACTGTGCGCGCCAATTGCCACAAAACACCCACAATCGTGTGGCAAATGGTTAAGAGTCAAATGCGGGCCACAAAAAACTCACCTTTTACGAAAAATGATATTGGGAATAAAGCTCTCCGTGTCGATTGTATGTTAATTGTACGTCTTTTCTCCGCGACCGCACTGGCAAAAATCGATTAGCACCTTTGATTCTGCGAATTCATACCTATTCTCACATCTCACGCCACTCTGTCACGACAGCTTGAGTGCTGCTGCACGGCACTTGGGGCACTTTTCACGCGCTTTTCACTGCATTTTCTGGCCAGAGCCACCACGACGACGTGTATAACTCCATGAAATGCTACACTGTAAATAAGCGGGACGGGCTTTCTGGCTGCCCTCGCAACTGACGTTTCTTCGTTTTCCCTCTTTCGCTGCCTTCGCTGCTGTGCGTCAGGTGAGAAAGCAATGTTCTCTTCACTCTCTTTTCCGCAAACGACCGCCAAAATGCACATTCAAATGCATTTCCCGCGTGCCTGGCCACCGGAAAATCCCTCCGCGCCCACTTGCGGACCCGAAAAGCCCCAATGAGTCACAGAATGTGGCCGGAGAGCGTGAAATGCGTGACATTTGGTTGGAAATTCCCTCGAATTTTTCCCCTCTCGCGCCAAAATTGCCGCGAGGGAGCAGCACAGGCGCGCCACATTTGCTTCGTTCTCTCGCTCTTTGACCATTTTCATTTCATTTTTCTTGTGTGTACGGGACGCCATGTTCATAGAAAGAAGCGAGACAAAAAATTATTTATAAGTGCAAAATTTGTGCGAATTCCGCGGAAAAGGTATGGTAGAAGGTGACCAGGGGCCCTGGCTAGTGTCCGTGGGCATGCTGGGGGGCTGTGCGTGTGGTGCAAGGTGATTTTCAGCGGGCGTCCCACTGCCGACGCTCCTGTTGTTCACTCTGAAAGAACAGTGCAATGGCCGCTGCCACTTTCCTGTATAAATTCTACCTCCTCTTCTCCATGGCGTCATCCTTGTCTTTCGTGCATTTCGCCTCGGAGAATGATATGTTTTTGCCCAGCGAAGAAAAGCTATTTCCTACGCTTTCATACCAAAGTTTGGCGTGCATTTTCTGTTCTTTTTCCTTCTCTCGCGTCTGTCACATCGGCCTTTGGCGTGTGTGCAGCCCCCAGAAAATGCGCCCGGACACGCGTGCCCGCCAACTGGGCGACTGCACCCGACGGTGTGCACTCCGTGGCGGCCGAAATGGCCCGGATATTGGCACACGGACACTCTGTGCGGAGAGTCGCACGCCCCAAAGCGCAGCAAATTGAGTAGGTGGACTCACGCTCTCTCTCCCTCTCTTTCTCTCTCCCGGAATAGAGAGCTGAAATCTTCCTGGCCGCCTCCAAGTTGCCTGGGTTATGGAGGATCTGACCAAGACCATCATGTTCACGACAAACACCATCCAGAACACCACGCCGACCACCATCCAATACCAGGCGGCGGATCCCAACAAGCAGCCCAAGATTGAGGGCCAGAAAACCACGCAGCAGCAAGAATACCCAACATTTTGCTACACCAATGTAAATATGATTCAGAAATTAACGCCTACATCTCAGGTATTCAATGCTAATTCCTCTATGCGATCGATCGAGTGCCGCGAGGCCGCTGAACGCGCCCCACTGACTCCGCATCTCTTGCAGGCGCACGCCAGCACCGTGAATCTGGCCCAGCTGTCGGACGACAACAAGGCCTGCTACATCGCCCAGCCCTTCGGCTACAACTACGCCCTCGTGAACCAGTTCGCGCAGAATGGCATCACGGGAATCACGGTGGACGGACGCCAGCTGGTGGTCAACAAGCCGATAACGGTGAGAACTCTCGGAGAGCCGCTGAACGCTCGCGCTGTCCCGAATGTCTCTGTTATTGATTTATTCATGAGCCGAATATTGTGTGCTGCAAGCCAATGCAGAGCCTCATTATACATATTAGAAATCAATCGGAATATTCCGCTGATTATGCCTCGGTGTGCTTTTGCAATTCTAGCAATTTCCTCAATTTAAATAATTACGTCGTCAAGTTGATTAAGCGAAGAATACGAGCATACTTTCTGCTCACTTCAACAGCGATTTTGATAAGCCACAGAGTCTTCTCATCCAGGGGATTTAATCAAATATCAATTACAAACGAGAAGAGTGGCTTCGTGCGGTTTAAAGGCCAGTTTCTGCTGCTGTATTTCATGAGGTGTAAAAGAATGCAAGAATGGTGAAAAGAAACGGAGTTTCGAAACAATTAGCGACTATAGGAGTTCAGATTGATGAGGTTTATTGCTTAATTATGGTAAAAATATTACCGATTCACTTATAAATGCAGGATAACTCAATCAAATAGAAACAGTTTAAACACACAGTCAATTTCAATGTAGAATTTGGATGATTTATTAGCGTTCTTATAGGAAATTTTAAGCAAATGAACACTTTTTTAGATTATCTCGAGGACTTTCACTGCCAATTTGATTCAAGTTAATATAAACATCAAGTAAACATGTTTCTTTGGATTACAAAAGCGTATTCAGATTATAAAAACTCCTACAAGTGTTTGTCAAGGATATCATAATTTAGTCTAGACTGATTCTTGCTCTTCTTCTCAAAAGCAGAACACGGTATCGAATATCAGCTTCAAGTGCGATGTATGCGGCGTGATGTTTGCTCATTTGACGCATCTAAATCAGCACAAGAGGATCCACAGTCAGGACGGCACGGACAACACCAATGATGCGATAACAGTCGTTGCTCAGGCCCAGAATCTGGTGCAGGCGCAGAATCTGGTGACGGAGAGTGGACAGACGCTGGGCCAGATCCAGATTGTGGCCACGGAGGCGCTGGAGCCGGCGACATCGCAGGCCATTCAGCACGTGAATGTGTCGTCGGCCGGCGAGGTGACCATCGCGAAGCCCATCACGGTGGACAAGGGACAGAAGTGCATCACTTGCGGCAGCACGATCATCCAGAATCCGAAGAGGAAAGGACCGAAGTTGATCCGCTGTGAGAATTGCATCAACAATGACAATCCTGCACACATTGTGCCGAGACGTGAGTGTTTGCCGGCTGAGGCGGAGTGAGATTTCAATGCTGATTGTCTTTCTCTTGCGCGTCGCAGCGACCCAGATCTTCGTGGCGCCCGATGGGGACGTGAAGTTCGAGATGACGGACATTTCCACGTCGCAAGCGGAAGCGATGGAATCTCTCGGTGGCCAGACGGTGATCCCTGTCGCCACGACGTCCAGCGTGCAGGCGCAGCAGCACATCCAGCAGCAGGCGTCGGCGGTGCAGGGACAGCAGCACATCCAGCAGCAGTCGCAGCCGAAGCACGCGGCCGGGCATCATCCGGTGAAGAAGCGCAACACGGCCGCCGTGACAAAGTGCCACAAGTGCAACGGCTCGGGTTTGATCTACATTGGCGGGCAGAAGCGACAGCAGCAGCAAGAGTGAGTACACTTGATGCCAATCGATTGCAGTTTACAAAAAGAGATATTTACGTTTACAGAGTGTCTCATCACGGGTGTCCCATAAATTCGCAAAGGTACTACAGCTGTGTCTCATGGAATGAGTCTCTTTTCTCTGTTTATCCTCTTGACATGCCAGACGATTTAATAGTGTAGAGTCGAGATTTGCATATATATGTTTCCTTTAACTGTATTCCTTGGTAGATTTATATTCACATAACAATTTCACCAATTAGACACTAACTAATTCCAATTTGGGCACACTGAGATTTGACTTGTTTGCCCAGTTGAACGGACATCCGAATGGAGACACGCTGTGAGGCGATCCTAAAATCACTATCACATATATATAGTATTGAATTTGCGCAGTTTTATTCTTCCTATTCACTAATCCAGTAACATATTGGGTTTCACTCTGTGCTGACACTGATTTCTCTTTCCTGGAACTCTTGCAGGAATGAAAAGCCCTTCCACTGCAACATTTGCGGCGGCACGTTCTCGCGGTACTCCAGCCTGTGGTCGCACAGAAAGCTGCACAGCGGCGAGAAGAACTACAAGTGCACCGTGTGCGGCCTGGCGTTCGCCAAGGCGGTGTACTTGAAGAATCACTCGCGGATACACACGGGCGAGAAGCCGTACAGATGCAACACGTGCGGCATGCAGTTCTCGCAGTCGCCCCACCTCAAGAATCACGAACGCACGCACAGCGGGGAAAAGCCATATGTCTGCGAAGTGTGCGACAAGGGATTCGCCAGACACGCCACGCTGTGGAACCACCGGAGGATTCACACGGGCGAGAAGCCGTACAAGTGTGACATCTGCGGGTCTGCCTTCAGTCAGGCGGCGCACTTGAAGAATCACGCCAAGGTATTGGATTGCTCCGCATGTTGCGGAATTGCTTCATATCGGCGTTTGAATCGAAAAATTGCTTCGAAATTTACCAAATTCTACTCAAGCACCTTCGAAACATTCATTAAAACGCTGATATTGCTCTAAATTAATTATTTTATGAATGTTCCCGTTGATTTTATTGGTATTTATTTGAATTTTTGACTGAGATATGGCTGAATTTATACTTTAACTGAAAATATTACTTTCCAAAGTTGATTTTTAATATTCTTCAGGTATATTTTATCCAAATAGTTCTGAAAACTGTGCTTTTCATACTTTACATGAACAATTTTTCATAGTTTTCGATTCATTCGTCGATATTCAAACACTCAAAAACTGCAATTTATCAAAATATCCTTAATTAATATCAGGAATTAATCATTATCTAAGATTAGGAAGTCACAAATGTGTTTTCGTCTTCAATTGCAGGTTCATTCGGGGGAGAAGCCGTTCAAGTGCGATATCTGTTCAGCGGCGTTCGCGGATAGATTTGCTCTCAAGAGACATCGCAACATTCACGAGAAATACGGTGAGTTGAGTTGATTTTGATTCCTGTCAGAGACGCTAAAACCATTCTGCATTTGCAGGTCAAACGGCTCCGCGACAGCCGGCGAATTCGGGTCAGAATTCGCAGCAGAATGCGTCTCTGCAGCCAATCCAGAAGGAAGAAATGCCAGAAATGGATGACGACGATGGAAAGATCCACAATGAGGTGATCATCTCTGGATTGTAAGTCACAAAAAAAGGCAGGGAGAAAAGACCATGAAGAGCAGTGGCGGAAGAAGAAATACCATTTAGCGTACGGATGATTATTCTTGCTGGGCACGAGAAGAAGTGAAGAAGAGAATGAGCAAAGGAACTTGTCTTGGAGAAGGAAAAGTAGTTTAAGGTTAAGCTGATTAAGATGAAGGAAAAAAAACACATTTTAGCGTTGTAATGAAGAAAAGTAAAAGAGGATTAATTGTATGTAGGTAAACATTAACATTAGAAAGTTGAATGATATATTCTGTATATATAGTTAAAAACACACTTACTGTAAGATGTTTAATTTCTGGAATTGCAAGTGGAAAATTAAGAATGTTTCGTGATAAGGACGATATCAGAGGGAAACATTTTATTTTGACGATACCATTATAACAATTATATCAAACTGTAATGAAAGTAAAGAAGAAATTCTCTAAAACTAAATGATAGAAAAAGTAAAAGAAGAAAATGAAGAAAATATTGAATTAGAATTTACGCAGTTTAATGCAAATTAAGATGAAAGTCCACAAGTTATGAAGCAGTCAATATTCGTGAGAAGAGAATCAGAACCCAAAAGTTTATTGAACAAGATAAAACACATAAAAGATATAAAAATCTTCAAAATATATTTATTTATTCTTAGCGTAAAACAAACAATTTTCTGTTCATACTGGAGAAGTGAACTGACCAAGTTTTTCTTTTTCATATTCTTTTTTCCTTCTATATTTTGAGTTCTTTACTGTGGATGAATTTGCTTTAGAATTGTACTTTTTTTTTGAAATTGTAATATTCATCTTTAATTTTTAGGTGTATAAGAAAATTTATTTCTCTCATATTTTTTTGTTGATAAAAATTTTATCTTATAGAGATTTTGGAGGAAAAATCAAAGAGAAATATTTTGTGCATCTTCTCCAGTCAAGAAGCTTTTTATTACAAAGAAAAATTACTATGAAAAGGATGAATGCAACTTACATTATTACTCTGTACTAAATGAAGAATAAATAAAAATCATGAAGTGACAAATCAAAGCTATTTTGGAGGATAATTTGCGAGGATATTTATTGTGTTTTGAAATTGAACAGAATAAACTTGAATTGATTTTATTCGATTCGCTTTGCTCTTCTTCCCAACTCATGCGCCATCTGATGTGTGGAGACGTATTTACAATCTCACGCAGTCGATTGTTTACATATCCGGAGCTGCCCTGCCTTGGAGGAACTTCATATTCACGCGGTGAATGTAACACTTAACACAGATATGTTTTACTCGCTTAACTCCTACCAAATTGCACGAATGCGCCACGAATTTAATGCGATAAAACCTCATGTGAAAGAAGACTCGAATTTGAATAAAATAAACTGTTTATTTCTGAAGAATTCAGATGATTTCTGCCGGTGCTGCAAACCCCTCGGCTTTTCATCAGCTGTCTTTTAAGGTTCGAATCACGTAAACAAACCGCAAATGAGAGGAGCGTTCAAATTCGTTTTCTCGAGGCTTTTCTCCAGCAAAACCACTGCCCATCAGGCTGATCTGATGGCCAGGAGTTTGCCGAAGAAGAAGCCTCTGCCGGGAGTGAAAGACATTGTGCTGGTGGCGTCCGGAAAGGGAGGAGTTGGCAAGTCCACAACAGCCGTCAATCTCGCGGTGTCTCTGGCGCGCGCTGGCCAGAAAGTGGGGCTTCTGGATGCAGATCTCTTCGGGCCGTCCATTCCCCTGATGATGAATCTCACAGAGACGCCACTTGTGGATGATGACAATAGAATAATCCCTCCTGTGAACTACGACGTCAAGTGTCTCTCACTCGGGCTGCTCACGGAGATGAAGCCAGCCATTTGGCGGGGTCCTCTGGTCATGTCCGCCACGGAGCGTCTGCTCAAGGGCACAGTGTGGAGTCCTCTGGACGTGCTGGTTGTGGACACGCCGCCAGGAACGGGAGATATTCACCTGTCTCTGATGCAGAACGTCCCAATCAGCGGCGTGCTTCTGGTCAGCACTCCTCAGTTGGCCGCCCTCAGAGTGACCCAGCGAGGAGCTGAGATGTTCCGGATACTGCAAGTGCCCATCCTGGGCCTCGTGGAGAACATGAGCGCCGTGAAATGTGGAAATTGTGGCAATGAAATTGACATTTTCGGTCGGGAAACGGATAAAATCGCCCGAGAAATGGACGTTGAGGTGCTCGAGAGAATACAAATTGACCAAGAAGTCATGCTGGGCAGTGATTCCGGTGTTCCCGTGACTGTAAAGCATCCTCAATCGGAGTACACAAAGTGCTTCCAGAGATTAGCAAACAATGTAAGGCTGAAGATTGAACAAAAACGAGAAAAGTATTTATTTGCTCTTCTTCTTGTGTCGATAGTAAGGCTTTTCCTTAGCCACGATTTCCTTGTACTTCCGCTTGATCCTCCTCTGGAAGTCGGCATCCTTGAGCAGATCATCGACGAGGCTGCGGTTCTTGTTCTTCTTCACGTGCTTCTCCTGATGATAGTCGAGCGGAGAGTCCACATATCTGCCGACTTGGAAGTACTTGGGCAGAACTTTGAGGTCGTTCTTCTTGTAGAAGTGCTTGGGATCGAGAACTGAGCGCATCTGCAGGATCTTCAGGTCATTCTTAATCTCGTCCGTCATCTCAGTGGCCGGCATGTTGAACCATTCGCTTCCCTTCTGCTTGTCTCGCAGTTCCTGAAAGAAAGAACACCCGATTAATCAGTGTTTCTACGACAGAAGATTAGAAAATCTCTCCAGATCGATCAGATTACTAAAGAAGACCTCATTTCTCAGAGGACCCTCGAATGCCCAAGCAGTATCATTGAGAGTGTGAATGTTCTTCCTCGTCCGGCAATTCGCTTCTGTTCTTGTCCGGGAAGGACGAGGAAGGTTTTCTGTCCGGCCGCCTTTACAGCGCGACTCTTGGGAATAACGAGCCGGGCTAAGATTCCAACCGATGATACTGGCTTGGGAATGAGTCGAGAGAGGATCCAAGCGATTGGATGTCAAATATCTCATCATTTCTGTTCAGCGGGAGCTCACAAAGTATTATTAAGTCAATCACCTTGTTCAGCTTCTTCCTCTGCAACATTGAAGGCTTCCGGACGCTTCCCTTGGCCACTCCTTCCATCTCCTTGTTCACATCAATCTTCAGCAAGTCCCGTGACTTAGTGTCCACGGGCTTTTTTGAGCACAGCTCACTCTGGATCCCCATGAAGGCACAAAAGTCATCCAAATCGTCCCGGGGCTCTTTCTTCCCCTGCTTTTGTGCCGGAACATCGGCAGAGAAGTATTTCCCTGCAACACAGACACACTCAAATCTCATTCCTCTATCCACAGAGTGAGGAACTTACCTGTGAGTCCCAGGGACTCCTTACTGATGCTCGAGGAAAGCTTTGGAGGCACTTTCCACGCGTCCATGTGTTTATTTGTGGCTGCCAGACTGACAAGCGTGATCTCTTTGGCTACTTGCGCGCCACCAGTGGCGAAATCAGAGCCGCCAAGTTGTCGGCCTGCAAATATTGACACCCTGTGTGTCAGTTTTACTCGTGAACTTGTCGCCAGAAGTTGTATGATTTTCCTTCGCGTGTATTTTCCACCCTCAATTTCAGTTGTTCTGCTGCAATCCTCCAAAATCTGTGAAATGCCTCGTGTACAGTAACTCTCTCACTCACTACTCAACTCACCGTTTCACCTGTGCGAGTGCATCTGAGGCCAGCGCGACGGCAAGGCGAAAGAGGTGAGTGCAGACGTGGAAAAATGTCTGGAATCTGAGTCGCGTTTTCTCCAGACAACTCTTCTCTTTCTCTCTCTCGCTCTCTCCTGCCCCAAAAGTGGCAAGTGTGCATGATTAATTTCGCCGTTCGCGAGCCGTGTGGCCCCCGGAGGCGCACGGATTCGCGCGGTGCGTGGGCGATGGCCGCGAGATGCGGGTTCACACCCTCGCGCGAAGGGTGAAGGTTCCGGCCGGGCGCCCACGCGAGGTGCCCGATTGCATAACTGGAGCCGCGGGGCGAACCTGGGGGGCTCCTCGGCGGAAATCAGGCCGCGGAGAGTTATTGGAACAAAACCGCGCGATGATTAGACTTTCCTTTCAAATGCCACATTTGTTCAGCACAATCAGCGATTTGTAACTGTAAAGTGGAGAGATTTCTGTGACTGCCTCAAGAGACTTCTTGCACAAATTTCACGTCTCCGGAGCGAATGGATTTCGCAGGAGGATGATTGCCGGTGTGCTCGAGTTATCCAGCTTTCACTCGTTGAGGGCGAAAACCAGGTTTTATTGCTCTAGTGTCAACTTGAAGACTTTGTCGCGATTCCTTGGGATTTTCGGTACTTTGCTCAGTATTTGCAGTTTGTCAGGACTTTAGAGTAAGTCTAGTTTTTACGATGAGAAAGTCTGATTAATTCTGTTAAAAATACTGAAGATCCATTAATTTAAAAAGTTCTTTTGCAATTTGTTTAAAAACTATTGCAGGGTCGAGAATCTTTTTTTTTTCACCTTTTGCATTCGCTGTGTAAATAAAGAGGTGGAAAATCCATGGGGAAATTTGTGTGTGAAGAAATTTTATTTCCGGTTGGCGGAGTTAAGAATTAGACGTGCATGAGCGAGAGTAATTAAGTTGAGTGAGAAAGAGAGGTGATGAAAAAAAATGAACAACACACCGCGAAGAGACTTTCTTTCCCAACACTAGCAAAATGCCGATAAAAACTCCCTGGCAATCATCATAGGTCAAGTTTCATTGGGTTTCATTTTTCACGCTCGCCGAGGAAAGATTATTAGTTGTGCATTTTCATCTACTTTGCGGGCTCGAAATCGGCTCGAAATGGCATTACAAGTTGGACTAATTGGGTGTTCAATTAGTGCATTTGGGATTACCTCATTTGGGAGTCAAAATAGTGGCTCTTTTTTGCGTGCGTGTGTGTGAAATTATGTTGAGCAACAAGAGACCGATGAAAGGGACAGTAAACGCATGACGCTATGCTTTCGATTAATATGAATTTTACATGAAAAGAGAGAGAATTATGCAACGTTAGATTAATCTCGGTGTTATTATTATTGCTTGTCATCCTGCAATTTGCTGGTCTGAGAGAGTCGAAAAGTGTCTTGGGCAAAAAGTAAACCATTTGGTCAGTACAATGAACTGAAAAAATCATTATCATACTCACACGTATTGCTCCAGTTTACCTCTGGCTTTAACGGAATATTCGCTACTTGGCTTTGGTAACACCGCGCGTGAATACTAAATATGTTTATCGTGCATCAAATGCACAATTCGCGTCTTAATAGGTTGTGTGCATCACTTGCTTAAAGATTGATGATCAACGGTTCTCAGAAGGCATTTAATGCAGAGGAGTTCCCGAAACGACTCGAGGAAATTGCCTCAGTGATAAGCACGATATCAAAATCATTAAACTATAAATATTTACTGCACTCTTACGTATGTCTCGATCTTTTGGACACATTGCATTACTTTACTTCACATTCTCTGTGATTAATTGAAGTTGACATTGTCGCTGAACGGAGTGACAAAGTGGAGAAAATTATTGAATTTCAATTCGTAGTTAATGAACGGGAATAGATATCGACGTGTGTGGTTTTCGCCAAGGCTAAAACTTGACAATTTCACTTGAGTAGAAAACGTCTTGAAGCCCTTTTAGTTTAAATACGTTCAGAATTTGTCTTTCAAGATCATATTGGACTTCTTGGAAAGCTCTTACGCCATTTTACGGCTTCTCTAAACAACAGAAGTTTGAGAAATCATGTTTAAAAGCGCAAATTTAGATAGCAGATCAAACAGTTTCCCTAAAATTACAGCTCTTCGCGCTGTTTCTGCTCCTAATCGAGAATCCATTGGGAAGAGTCTCCACAGAAGCTGCGCAGAGCGAATTCTTATCAGTATTTTTGTTTTTATCTTGCAGGATGGAGAAGGTGGTAAATAATTCCAGTGTCACGTCAAGCAATAACACACAGGCGAGCCTGAGTCGCAGCAACAGTCGCACGAGTTCCAACTCGGAGCTGGAGAAGGAGCTGATTGAGCTGGAGATTGGCGATGAGGGCGCGGGAAATGCAAAGGTGGCGGCCAAGGAGATCTTGGCGACGAAGAAGCGCATCTCGAGCAGTCGCACGCCCACGCGCAAGGCGAAGAGGGTGCGATTCTACAGGAATGGCGATCGCTTCTACCAGGGAATCGTGATTCCCGTGTCCAACGATCGCTATCGATCGTTTGAGAGCTTAGCTGAGGATCTCACGAGGCTACTAGAGGATATTGTGAAGGTACCTGGCGCTGTGAGGAATATTTTTACGTTAGACGGAAAGAAGGTGGCGAGCCTGGATGATCTCGAGGATGGCAAGAGTTACGTGTGTTCGTGCAATACGGAGAATTTCAAGAAAATTGACTACAATTCGCAGCCAAACAATAAAAATAACAATCGTCTCTCGAGGTAAGCGCATTCACTCAAATTTTCCTCCCCTTCGCTTATGCTTTACGGACTATCCACCATAGAACGCAATTATGTTGTGAATTGAGGCAGAAATTATTGCTGAATATTCTCCCAACCTGTGTTTGTGGTTTTTCCATATGAATTTCAAACTTCCCCCCTCACTTTGTGCCCGAAACACTTTGGCGAAATTGCAAGTTTGAATATGTAGTTCAAGGTGTTGGAAAGTGTATTATTGTTGTTCTCTTATCGTGACTGAAATTTCCTGTTAACCTCATCCAATCGACGTCACACAATGTGAAAAAAAACAATCTGGCCACAGGAAAAATTGGTGGTTTATTCGATTCATTTGAGAGAAAATTACATAAGAGAATTTTTGACAAGACGAACAGTGAAAATAATTCCAAGCTCGTTATACTTCTTTTTTTTATGCTTTGCCAGAATAACATCAGCCGAAACATGAAATGTGTGTTTGTGTGGGTGGCAAAGCACAAAAAATCTCATTTGCATTTCAATAACAATAAAACCGTTACATGTACATATGTACATATGTCCATATTGAGTTTCCTGTAATCCTCATGTTGTGACTGTTTCAATTAAGCTTAGAGATGGCGAACATTGAGTGAGAAATACAAATGATTTTGTGATTCTTTCCACCAAAAATTTCTGAATTGATAATTCACAAATCATTCGCATATTAATATTTTTCTTGATTCTCATTGCTAAAGCAGATCTCTGACTTGACGAGAATAGCAAATATTATTTCATGTGTTGAGAATGTTTCTTTTAATTGTAAATGTTGGCGAATAAAAGTTTGTGAACAACAGGCGGAAAAGACATGGTTTATTGGATTATATTTCTGAAGAAGTGTTGAAGAATAAGAAAATCAGAGAAATTTTCATGTTATTTCACGGGTTTTGAGTGACACAAATGAGCGATTTTTAATCATTTTTCTGCACTTTGTCAGTCAATTTCTATCTAAAAATTGCTAATAGATAATTAGAGCGCATAAAAGATATGTCATTTGAGAAGTCAAATGCTTTAGCAATGTGAGCAAAATTGCTCCTAATTCGCTTAGCATTTCCCAGTGAACGAGTAAAATAGCCAATCTGCATGATTGAGTTGTAAACAAGCCTTTCAGGAAGACCTTAATGTATTTATTTTCTCGCGCTCTTGTGAAAAACAAATAAAATATACCGATAGATTAACTGGATTCCGTGTGATTTATCTGATTGATGACTCATAGTTTCACTGGTTTCGAGATATTGGACTTTCTTTTATCGGATATATAGAGAAAAAAAAGTGTAACTAAATTAGGTGTTGGAAAAAGAGCATCGATTGGTTTTATAACACACTTTTTTTTCCTCATCGTCACTGAATAATATCAATTCATTTTATTGTGCGCCACAAACATTGAATGGTGATATTTGTTAATGGTTCAAATGATTTCCAACTAAATGGTGGGGTTTTTTCTCTAACTCAGTTCATTGCAAAGAGAAAAAAACAGTGTTAGGTAATTAGTCGTAAATAACTCTGGTGGTATTTCAATGTCAGACTTCGTGCGGCTGTTTTGATGCAATTTGCGAGGGAGGAAGTGTGGACATGGGTGAAGTTTGGCGAAGGGTTAAGTGCAAGTTATTTTTCCAAGCCATCGATTGTGGACTAAAAATAGAGTAATTTTCGCTTTTAACTTTCTTTATTTCCTCTTCTAGAGTCTATCGGCCGAATTCGCCGCTGAAGAATGGCTCAAATGGAGTAACAGTGGTGAAATTTGATGAGCGTGACCGGGTCGTATTTCCTCGGATAGTGACGATAATACGGAATGGTGTGAAACCGCGAAAGGTATTAAACATGAATTGCGCCCCTTTTTCCTAATGGGTCAAGTTGTGTGCTTTTGCTGTGTATATGAAGAGAGTTTGGCCTAATAATAGCGCCAACTGTGCGTGCATCGATGGCTAATGGGCTTGCTTTGGTGCACTTTGCAGATACTCCGCTTGCTCCTCAATAAACGTAACAGTCCAACGTATGAGCACGTGCTCACGGCGATCACGCAATGTGTCAACCTTGACACGGGATGCGTCCGGAAGGTCTTTACGCTGGCCGGCTCGCCTGTTCTCACACTGGCGGACTTCTTCTCGCACGAGGACGTGTTCTTTGCCTATGGCAATGAGCGGGTGGGCAATGATGACTTCGATTTGGAGCTGGAGGAGAGCAAGACGATCAGGCAGACGCGGAAGACGTTGCGAAATGGCGTCGCCAAGGGTGGACCAAAGCCAAAAATGCCTGTCAAGAGCCACAATGAGACGTACGATTGCCTGGAGGAGAACTATGCCAACACAGGAACGGACATTCTGCCTCTGGACATACAGAATCGATACACTATGGGACCAATTATTGGTGATGGCAATTTTGCCGTTGTGCTGAAGATCAAAGAGAAGCAGAGCGGCCAGGAATTTGCCCTGAAGATCATTGACAAGTCAAAGTGTCAGGGAAAAGTGAGTGTTTTTTTTTAGTGTGTCTCAAGTTTCACTCGATCAATTTATTGTCTATTTCTTTCGCAGGAACACTACATTGATGCTGAAATCAGAGTGATGAAGAAGCTGAGCCATCCACACATAATGGCACTGTATATGGATATCGATACACCGAAGAATACGTATTTGGTGCTGGAACTCGTTGAAGGTGAAGATTGCATAGCCATTGTTGTTCATGTGTTTTGGAGAGCGCAATTTATGCAATATGGCAATTGTTTCTTCCTCCCATTCAGGTGGTGATTTATTTGATGCAATTACTCAAGTTACCCGATTCTCTGAAGATCAATCGAGAATTATGATAAAGCACTTGGCTGCGGCGATGGCGTATCTTCACTCCCTCGGCATTGTTCATCGTGACATTAAGCCGGAAAATTTGCTCGTAAGTCAAATTTTACAATTCAATTAATAATAATCGCTAATCCTCTTAAGAGATTTTGAACAAAATGTGCGGTCTTCCATAATGCTTAAGGGGCTTGGATAATGCCTAAAGTCAATAGAGGTCAATGGTGACAATGATATCAGTGCGATCTAGAAGTGGAGAGAGATTAAAGGTTCTCAATGGGTTTTCCTTATACTTCAATAACTGATCTTGACCTACAAGTTATTTATAGTATTTGCGACTTTTGCAGAATGTTCTGAGAGTTGGCGATTTTATGTGTGAAGAAAACCTATTTTTAGGTGAATTTCAAAGTGTAGGAAAATGCATCAATTACTTGACGGGATGTTCAGGGTAATTTAGCGTTTGTTTGCATTCCTATTTAGATAATTTACTTCACTATTATTGCCATTGAAATACAAGTAAATGAACTCATAAATACAATTGAAGATTTGCTCAGAAGTGATTGAATATCATTGCTAAACGACTGTGGTTTTTTCAGGTGAAGCTGGACGGCAATGGCATGGTGATGGAGCTGAAATTGGGAGATTTCGGACTGGCGTGCGAAGTGAATGAACCTCTTCTGGCTGTTTGTGGCACTCCAACTTATGTGGCGCCTGAAATTCTCATGGAAACAGGCTATGGACTGAAGGTGAGGCTTTTCTCTGCTCTCTGATCGAGATATTTGCCAGTGATGATTGATTGTCGACTCGTTTGCAGATTGACGTCTGGGCGGCTGGAATCATTCTCTACATTCTGCTGTGTGGCTTTCCACCGTTTGTCGCGCCGGACAATCAACAAGAGCCGCTCTTTGACGCCATTCTGTCCGGCGTGTATGACTTTCCGGAGCCCTATTGGAATGACATTGGCGAGGGTGTGCGCGATCTCATTGCCAACATGCTTCAATCGGATCCCGAGCTGAGATTCTCCAGTGAAGACATCTTGGATCACTATTGGGTGCTGAATATTGATGAGGAGAGATGAGGCGAGCGTGCTGAAGTGCAGTAGAATTGTCTCAGTTCAGTTTTCTTCCTTTTCCTGCATTTGCGTGTGTGGTGGGAAATGCAGGGATTCTATGTATGCACTATGAAGATGATTGTAGATAAAGTAATATACATAAATGATGCTGAGATATGAAGGCGAGGACTGTAAATGGCGATGAGAAGAGGCACAAATTGTAGCAATTCCTTAATTAGGTAAAATGCGCGCAATCACGAGGAATCGTGATGGCGAAAAGGTGTGTGTAAAAGGCAAAGTGCATGATTGTGAATGAGTATTTTTCCTATAATATGAAAGAAAATCCCATAATATATACATTTAAAGAAGATGAAAATGAAAATCTGTAGCTCTTTGAGGAAAAATGTATTTGATTAGAAATTCTATAGCTATGCATTTATATTATGAGTATGTATTTATCCTATATACAACCAACACTACATAAGTATTATGAAACCTATTGAGTACACTATGATATATTTTTGCCTAATAATCGATATAATAATATTTGAGAAAAACCAAACAATTTAGGAATTCAGTGTAAAATTTGTGAAATATTCAATTATATTTTTCATGCAAAGACCCCATTATTTGTAATACCTTTTGCTACCTTTTCTTTTGGCTCTTGACTTATTCATACAAATTTACAACTTGGAGAAGAAATGGAGAAATTTCCTTCTTATGTTTCGGCAATGCAAATTTATGATGGAACAATAAATGATAATTTATATATTTGATATATTTACAAAAGAGAGATGAAAAAAAATTGCCTGCAAATTTGGATGGGGTGGAAATTTGTTTATAAACATATTTTACATTTTAGATTTTAGAGCGGTAGGAATTGTAGCAATGTACATTTTGTAATTGATTTTTTGTAGTGTGAAGAGAAAGGATGTGAAGAGAAAAGAGAATTCCAAGCTTTTTGGCATAAGAATTGAGAGTAAATTTATCACACAATCTTCCTTATGCCTGAGATCAATTTATCAAGTAAAAAAAACATTCAATGAAAGAGAGAAAGAAAACCAATCATTGACTTCCAAATAATTCTTTAGAAGACGGAGAAAGTGGTGCGTGAGTTTATCAACGAAAGGGTGAAGATTTCTTGTAAAATTGCATAATTTATTTTTCTGAAAAATAGTTAATATTTGTTAATTTATTCCTTTTTTTTATTGCATTCTCAAGTGAAAATGATTGCGATGAGCATTGATTTGGAGGAGTTTGTGTATAAATAAATTATAGCATTACAATAAAGACGCTTTTATTTGCAATTTCGTAGAAAAATTCGCCTTTGAATTTTGCCACTCAAATCAACAGGTTTTCCGTCACTCAAGCGCTCTTTCGTTGAGTTTTCCTGGGCTTCTGTTTGCCGAACGCCAGGCGATTGTCGGAGAAACCCAAACAGCGGTTCTGCCCGCGATGACTCACGCTGTGGCGCTTTTGGAATGTTTCTCTCTCACGGTGAGCGTCATTCGATTCACAGAATTGTGTTCCACCTTCCGAGAAAGAGATCGCACACGTTTTCCAGCAGCGTCAATGTGATTTTTTCCGTCCAACGGAATTCTCCTTGTCTCGCGAAACTCACGAGTATTTCACTGAAAATTATCAGGTGTTAAACAAAAATTGCCTCTTTTGATAAATCACTTGATGAAGAGAATTGCTTTTTTTGAATGAAAAATACCCACAAATTTGCATAACTTTGAGACTTTTTTTGCCTTACAATTCATGATTTCAAGGTATTTCTTGACTCAATGTATTTCACAGCGCGTCTTTATTTTTTACTTATTCCATAATTGCACTTTTTCTACCAACATATTCAAGGAATTCAAGGAAGAAGTGTTAGTTTTTCTACTCTTCGCAACGATCTTTGTCACACTTGCTTTTGTTCAATCACAAGATTGATTGACGATTTTCTAATGCGAGAAGCGCCGTGAAATTTGTCTCTATTTTTCACTCCACCTGAAATTCAAGTGCTCAATTTAAAATTGTTTAATAGGTTAATTGAAATCTTGATTATCTTCTTATAATTTTCAAGTTTATTAACAAATTATGCTAAAAGTGTCATTTGTTCAAAAATTCTCTTTTGCTTTGGCATTTTCATACTGAATTTCGATGGTTTGAGGGAAAGCTCATTGCATTTAGCAGCGGAATTCACTCACATAATCCAGACATTAATAACTACAAATTGCACGATATCCATTGACAAAAGCTCTTCCGTTCAATGCAAATTGCTCTGCGAGAGACTCGCGAAGCCATGGCGTGACTCATGATTGTACATTTGTGTTGAATTAAACGATTTCTGCGAATTTTATTTCTATTTTCTCCCACCAATCTTGAATACATAATATTTTTGTCACAAACATTCCATGTTTCTTTCTTTTCTTCGCCACTCACGTGTTGCCTGTGAGTCTTTCGCGATCAACTTCCGCTTTGGCAGATCGCAAGATCTTGATCAACAGCATCGCGCTGAGATCTGAGAAAACATGAGTGACTCACGAGCCCCATTGATGGGCGGGAAAATTGAATGTGAAGTAAAGCTGTGAAATTGCACATTAGTTTCCGTTTTCTCGAGTGTTCTTGGTTCGGGGCGATAAGATAACTCAAGGAGAAACGCGATAAAATGCCGTTCGTCGTTTCACCAGCCAGTTCGCATGATTAGATATGATGTCTCGGTGCCGGACATCTTATCAACGGTGGCTTATCAGTGACAAAAACTACGCATGCAACAGAATTATGACTTCTTTCCGCCCTTCACAGAAAAATGCCAGAAAAACACCGAAGAAAGGCGCGATGATCAATGGACAAATGTTTGGGGGGAATTGTAGAGTTTCTAGAGTGCACGACAGAGCAATAAATAAAATGCTATACACTTAAAATATTTTCAATATATGACAATGGTGTCAAGGCTCCTTCTTGGCTGCCACTTTGCGACAGAGTCAGAGCAATGCGAACACACGAGCGATGATAAAGTCAATGGAAATGATTTGTGTATTGCCATTAACTTCATTTGCTCTCGCGCTGAGTTCAAACATTCATCGGGAGATTCTCAAAAAGATAGAGAAATTCTGAATTTGACCGAATCCCGATCGAAGGAGAGCAAGAGATTTATTTTTAAAATCTAACGGAGAAGAAATTCAAGGATGCACGCGCACTTTGAGAAGCTCTGCAGTTGGGAAAAGCCATCTGTTTTGTAGATCCTCTTGCCGAATTGGCCACAGTTGTTTAGCTTCGCGAGTCAAGAGAACATCATCTGTTCTATTTTGTCATCAAAAATTGCCTCTGGTCTCAAAAGTATTCTCAAGTATCACTGAGCAAATAGTGAAGCTCCTCGGCGCACAACTTCTTGAGATGCTCGCGAAAGTAAACAAGAAAAGAGGCAAGAAAGTGTGTTTATGATGAAGCGCTTAATTTTCTGTAATTGTTTCTGACATGTTAAGAATGTTTCACCCGTCGAATGTGAACAATTGCCAAATATTTCGACTCTCTGCAAATTGAACAGCTGCACCTGATATGAGAAATTTCCCAAAACTCACTCGCGTTCAGGCCGGAAATTCCAATTTTTTCCTCTTACGCGACTGCAAAAAAAATCACTCCGGTTCGACAAACTTGCTGTGTTTTATCACAGAAGCGTGGGGAGCAGAAGTTGGTAAATAATCACGTAAGAGAGCGAAAAGTGGGTACATTTCCAAGAAATGCGCCTGTGTGACTCATCCTCATGCACTTCATGAGCGCTTGCTCGTGAATAAGATAATAAAATAAATTCATAAATGCAGGTTAATATTTTCGGGTCAATTGAATTCACTCTATTCCACCCATTAACTCGATTAGCCTGCCATCTTTTTGGGGCCCCCACGTCGGCGATGCGACGCCCGATTGTACTATCAGATCCATTCTTCGTCCCGGTCGCGGCAATTAAATTGTTGTTGACCATCAGAACATGTGAGAAGATGTGACTTCTTCTCCTTGTGACGCTGAAATCTATAAATACCAGTGGTTTTTTTCTCTCTCTCTCTCTCCCCCTCTATACACTTTGTCAGAAATATTTGATTTGCCAGCCAGCATTTACGTACATTATGTGTTTCACGAGAAAAATCAACAGCGAACATTAGAATTCGTTAAATGTGTACAAGTTATGCAAATACCTTCTGACTTTTGCATCGTCGCTTTGTCAGATAATCTCAAGATGAGATGTTTTGCTTTGTGCGCGGAGCCAAAACAATTCTCACTTGCTTAGATTCATCTTGAAATGTGTTTTTCACGTAATTTTCTCATTTATTCTTGCGATACTAACAAATTAAATTTGTGTTTTCTGTCGAAAATTCAGATCAAGAAAGAAACAGGAAATAAAAAGCATGGAAAGGCAAGAGAATATTCATAAAATCAAAACAAACAAGCTTAATTTCAAATAAGGATGTTATCTCACTAGGTTTACTACGAGTTAACTGAGCACATTGATCTGAGCACAGATTTTTAAAGTCGTATTTCCACTTAATTGTAGGGGTAAAATTGCTCAAATTGAAAAGCCATGACTTAATTTACAATGAAGAGCTCACTATAATAGGCTTTAATGCCTTAAAAGAGCACAAAAGCTTCCATTAGTTGCTCAAAATTGGCAGTTTTCATGCACAAACTGTCAGTAAATTAGCAGTTTTTATTGTTTTGACTTCTCCTCCTCTTCCTGCTGCTTCTGCACAGTTTGCCGCAGAAGAATCTCTTGTTTCCCAAATACGACAGCATGCTAAACTGAGCAAATTGAGCCACAACCTCATTGTAGTGTGATAACGCCCTAACATCTTGCAAAACGGCTCACGTTCAAGGGTTAACCACGTTCTGCGCCATGAAGAATTCTTTGCAGTGCCTAAGGAATTGGAATAGTCATGTTTACTCTTCGATACATGGCAGGTAACAAAAAGTAGAATTGAGAAATGCGATACTAAAGTGGAAAAGGGTGTGGAATTTTAAATTTTTGAGGCACGCACACATCGATTGTCTTGTGACAATATTGTAGCATTTCAGCAACCTCGGTCTCTTGTGCCGCGCGTACGCGGATGGATGGCTTATATAACAATGCAATAAAACTATTCCCTCATCAAAAAGAAATCTACCTTGACCTGAAGTGGCGATTGTGGACGAAAATGCTCAGTCAGCGTCCCGCCGAATTTCGATTTGATCGCCCGCCTAATGCGCGAAAAGTGAGCACCGCGTGACAGAATATAAAAATGCTGAGGAAAAATAATAAACCGAAGTTTGCCAATTGACACACAATGCGGTCTTTATCTCTGTTCCTGAATGCCTTGTTTTGCAATTGAAAACCACAAACTAATGCGGCTCTCGTTGGGGTTTAGACAAGAGCTAAAGTGTGTGTGCAAGTTGGAAAAAAAATGTTATTCAGCTCAGAAAGGCTCGAAAAAAGTGAATCGAGAGTGGAAATTGAATGGGAACAAGAGTCGCACTGTGACTCTGGACACGTGCTCGACTCTCTCATGTGCACAGGCTTTTGTGCACTGCGCCAGATGATACCAGTTTCCCGCGCGAAGGTGAGGAAAACAGCGAAAAAATTCCACAAAGGTGAATTATTGCAATTGATCGTGCGCAGATTGCAACTGACGCTGAATCCGGAGGAAAGCGAGCATCGTTGACGCTGAAAAGCGCACATTTGGGACAAAGATGGACCTGTGCCAAGATGGTTTTTTTGTCCTATTTTCACGCCATGTGGGTTTTTCCTCGAATTCACCCAAATTGTTGTCCTTCTTTTTGCCGGGAAAACAGCACTTAAGCACTTGAGGCGCCACGCGATCCAATTTGCGAGAAACCGGAATTGCAATGCTTGACACACAAAAACCCCATCACGTGAAAATGTGTTAGGAAAATCATATACAAATTAAGATACAAGGAGAGTCAGTTGAGATCTCGATAATCAGTGGAGTTTTGCGAATTATCTTCTGCTTTGTTTACAATGGAATGGAAGAAATGTGTTTGTGGTTGTTTTGCTTCACATGAGGAAGATAAGGTTTTTAGCACCTTGTATTTTGCATATTTTAATGTCAAGAGAAAGGATTTCGGTTGAAATAAACCTTTTACGACTATGTGAAATATTGAAAAAATAATAAATAACAATGTGGATTTTTGCGCTCTCATTTAATTACAAGGCGACTTTAATTGAATTCTAAAGTGCCTCCCCTAAATTGTAATGAAATGAATAAAATCGCATACAAAGTCAGTGTTAATTTGCAATTATCTTGCTATGCAATAATCGCATTGTTAATTATTCCTCCCAATAATTCTGACGACGCTCAGCGCGACGGTGGCTTTGATGAGGAGCAATAAAGTGTGCGCATTGTAAATAGAACACTTGTGAATTCTCTGTCTCACTCCGGAAAAGACACAATTGGACTCTCACTGCCTTTTCTCCGCTTAATGGACATTCTGATAGTGCCAAAGTCCTTTTGTGTGGGCGCACCAACTCTAATCGCGCGATATATTCCTCATTCCACTCCAAGAGACGCGCGAGTTGCAGCGTCCTCGTCCAAGTGAAACTGACTGTTTGGCAAGAGCATTTCGGCCAGTGAGTGATTTCGTTTAGTGCCATGACAACATATTCCGCCAATGAGAGCGCCGCAAAATGACGCCATGAGCTATTTTTGTGCTACACCTGAACCTCGTGGCGTCGCCAATTTCGCCACAAATCATGCACACTTCTGTCCTCACAGGTGTTTATGCGGCACAGCATAGAGCAGCATAAGTGGGTTTGGCAGGATTAATTGTGTCCGCGTCACGCGTAAGCTGAGGTCTCACTGTGCTTATGAGTCATGACTTAAGGGGCCCGAACGAGTATTTTTCGTTCATTCGTGTGAAAACCTTCGTGCAGTAAAGAGCTCAGGAACTTACATTTACTTCGATTGTGCTTAGGAGAGAAGATATTTGCTTCTTGTGGTATTTTGATAATATTTTACGCCAGGAGAGGAACTGTGAAGCATCTTCGCCATATAGTTTTGGATGTGTCAATTTGTTAAATTATCGTCTTAAGCTCCGAAAGTGTGTGTGTGGGGCTTTTTTTCTTGTGGATAGAGAGGAAAGAGCGCGCTTGACACGCCAAATACGCAAAACAAGTAACCAAGGATTTTTGCCGTTTTTCCAACCACGTATAAGTAATAAACGAAGTGACCTTACAAGCTTACATGAGATTATGGTGGATTTAATTAGGAAAAGAGTGTGTCGACGGCAATAAGTGTGGCTGAGAAGCATTGCGAAGCGCAGTGAAATAGTGTTGCAATTACGTGATATTGTGTGGCTGTCAGTGTGACGTCTGCACCATCGCGCCTCCCCCGAGTCTGTGCTATATACATAAGTAGTTTGCGAGCGCAAAGCCATCTGCAATTGGCTGGCGGGGCAGAGAGACTGAGTGAGAACACCTGTAACTATGAAAATGCGAGACAATCCCAACAACATGGAGTCATTCTACGAGGAAAATGCCCAGTTCACCACGACTCCGGCCACAACGACGGGCGGCAGTCTGAAGCGGCCGTTCACGCTGGACCTGAACGGGAGCAAGGATCAGCCGAAGCGGCAGCGCTTCAACCAGTCTGTGAATACCACATCTGTGATCAGCAGTCCAGATCTGCAAATGCTCAAGATGGCCTCGCCAGAACTGGAGAAATTCATTATGAGCAATAACACACTCCAAACGCCCACACCCAGCTTGGTATTCCCGCAAAAGGTACCTTGAAGACCACCAAAAGCCATGCTTTATGGCGCTCGCCGCTCAATTTCACTATATAACTCCCATTGTCATCTTCCGCAGGTCACCTTGGAGCAGGCCATGTATGCCAAAGGTTTCGAGGAGGCCCTCATATCGCTCCACAACAGCGACAAGACCCAAAATCTCACCGTAACCAATACAACCGCCGCCACAACGACGACCAACAACAATAACATCATTAGCAGTAACAACAACACGATAAATTCCTCATCCCTGGCCATGAGCGGCGGAACCGTAGTTACCTACACGAATATGGGTGAGTGAGCAGGGGCGCCACGAGTCCATTTGCCGCGCGCGTCCTTGTGTGTGTCGTCTCTGTGCGCTTTTCGGCCACGCCGGACTCATAATCCCCTCGGCAAGACAATCCATTTCCATTAGGCCACTCGGGGCGGGAGAGAGAGAGAGACGCATGAGAATGAAATTCTGACCCACGACGACGGAAGTGCCACCTTTTTGGTCTCTGGAATGCCATAGAAAAATCGCTGTAATGCTCAAAAACTAATTTATGCCCTGCTATAAAGACGGTAATTACCTAATGGTGCAATTGCAGAGATAAAAGGTCGTCTCCAAGTGGGCAATCAGTGAGAAATACCTGAGCGCGCGTGTGTGTGGCGTAATGAATTGGCAAGAATTTCTACCTGAGCGGGGAAAAAAATCGCCAGGAGAGTCTCTCTCTCTGTGCCAAGTGTATTCCCCCGACAACGGGCGGGTATATTTTATCTGGCGAGGAAATAATATGCCAATTGGAAAGTCCCTCTTGCAACAAAGCGACCACATATTGAGTGACACGACAAACATTATAATGCAAAATGTGTGTGGGTCGCGTAAAAATGGCCCTCTTTTTTCTGGACATTTTCATATATTATCCACGCACATGTATTCGATCGGCACAACACGCGAAAACAGCAGAATGGAGGGAGAAGGAGAGAGAGAATGAGTGAAAAGACAGCAAAAAGAGGCAACCCCAGTGCTAATTTAAATTTTAATTTACGCCATACTCTTTTTTCCCCAAATAAATGTGTATATTTCTTCCAATACACGCGCGCACGTCGGGTATTTTGCATATTGAAGGTATATTTCTTGGATTTTTGTCTTTCTTCACATGCTAAATACACATATTTGTTGAGTAAATTTTGAATTTTCTGTGTATAGAGGAAATTGAGTTACCATGAAAAGGCTTAATTGTGCCCAATGTCATTGAGGTGTATTTTGGTTGGAGAAGAGAGAAGAAAGAGAGAAAAAAAATTCCAGTGTCCAGAAATTGAGTAGATATTTATGAAGTAGAGTTTTTGGCAAATATCACTTTGAAGACATACACTTTGGGAGGTTTGCTTCTCCTGCCACTGAATTGAATAAGTGCCAAAAATGTCACACAATATCGAGAAATATCTTCCTATGCAAATCCAATGGGCATGATGTGCTTATTTCTGCCCGATTCGAAGGACGTTCTCATTTTAGATTTCTGGAAATAAGTTTTGCCTGCGCTTTGTTTATAGTTAAAGCAAAGTTCTTGCGCTGAAAATGTCTTTCTCTCACTTTGAATCAAGCTTTTTTAGAGTTACAATATCAATATACGTCAATGAGATATCAGACAATTGCGCTCATTGTACTTTTGATAAGAAGCGCGCTGTCTTTCCTTTGTTTATCAGCCAATTGACAAGTTTCGTGATGAAGTCGCGGAGTTACCGTCTGCGGATCATCGATCTTGCCCAAAGGAAAGTTTTGTAAAACAGCATTTTTCCGTCTCAAAATGCTCACTTCTCTGCTGTTTATTGGAGAAAAATTCCACAGTATACACAATATTTCTTCAAATACACACAATAAATGCTCTCGAGACGCTCAAGACCCAGTTGAGAAGGCACAAAGTTCTCTGCGTGTGACAACAGAAATGCGATAATCAGCTGTAAAGCGATTGCTGATCTTGTGTTATTTGAATTTCCTTACTGATAAACACCAGCACACGTTGAAAATATGTGTGCTAAGAAATCCAGACGGAGATGAATAGTGAAAAAATTGTGTACACAACTTCTATTCTTGCAATGCAGAGGTCATTCGGTTCATTAACATTCGCATTCTGGCCATTCCTTAGCCGGAGCGACGCACAAAAAGACGATCTTGTCGTTTAAATTTTATGCCCCTTTGTCTCCACTCGCCACTAATCCGCTTAATTGCTCCCTTTGCAGATGATCCCATGATCGTGCCCATCAAGGATGAACCGCAGACCGTGCCGAACTCGCCCACGCTCAGTCCGATCGACATGGAGTCGCAGGAGAGGATAAAGCTGGAGCGGAAGCGCCAGAGGAACCGAGTGGCGGCGTCCAAGTGCCGGAAGCGGAAGCTGGAGAGGATATCGAAGCTGGAGGACAAGGTGAAGTGTCTGAAGGGGGAGAACTCCGAGCTCACGGGCGTGGTGTACAATCTGAAGGAGCACGTGATGCAGCTGAAGCAGCAGGTCATGGAGCACATGAACGCCGGCTGCCAGATCCAAATCCAGCAATTCTAAGATGGCCTCCCTGTCTAATTCGTAGATCCTAAGTGTAATTTCTAGCATAACTGTTGCTTTAATTATTGAATAATTTTCATAGGTGACAAATTAACATGATTTACGAATACTTTTTTTTCCATGTTAAGTGATTTTTCTACCATTAATTTTAGTTATTTATTTACACAGTGTAAATTTTGTAAGGAATTTTAAGTGGCATTCCTGATAATCAGGACAAGTTTAATTTGTAGTCCGGATACCCAATTGTAGTGCACACACGAGTAGTCTCTTCAATATTTGACAATTCTTTCTTAAATATTAGATTTAAATGTTATCTCATTTTATTGTGCTACCGTTTGTCGACGTTCTTCTGTGCGCGCGTGGAGATAAATTTCTAGTCTCGCTAGAACATTTCAATCAAAAGAGAGAATAAATGTGAATTTTGCGTAAGTTTTTAAGCGGAACAAAGATGCCATTACATAATTGTTGCTAAGTGCTTTTGTAAGTTTTGTCGCGTAAGTTGTCTTTTTTATAATATTACAATATTTGAAGAGATAAAAAATATTTGAAAGACCCTTGAGATAATAAAGTAAGAAAGAGAAAAATTATATTTATACAGAAATATATACAGATGAGAATATTAAAAAGTAAGAGAATAAAAGATTAAAAAATTACGCGCGTTTTTCTCTTGATCGCCAGCCGTGATGCAAAAAAATACATAGAAAAGGAACTCGGAAAACATAGAAAATTGAGCAACTCTGATCCAAACAATCCAAGATGGCCATGCGAAAACTTCCTAGGAACGGATGGAAAATTCTGAGATCTTATCTTACCACTTTATTTCTCAACTAATAAAATAAGTAACACTCTTTTAAAACACATTTAATACATTTTCGGCTGTGAATTCTGCACCTCCAAATTGAATTTCAGCTCTTTTAGCCACATTCTGTGCATCACTTCTTCAATTTTTACCATTTTTTACTGACAACTTGATCTATTTATGAACTGGATTCTATGCGAATATTTACAGGAATGTCCTTTGAAGCAAAGAAATCATTTTAGGGGATAATTTACAGTTATGATGTACACAGAAATTGAAATAATAGAAACTTTTGCCCTTTTCTGGGGGAGAATCCATTAGTTCGCAGTTGAGCGACTGTTTGCGTAGAATTGCTGTCCGGAAACCACCAGAGTGAGGACATAGATGCAGGCGGCGATCCAGCAATTGTACGCGTTCTGTTGGAGAAGAGAAAATCGTGGTAATTTGGGGGGAATTGAGCGCTATTTGGGGCGCTGCTTACCTGACTGTACGCCTGATCCGCCGCCGCGTAGAACTCCATGGGGCCGGGATAGTGCTCCTCCAGAGGCAGATCCTCAATCAGGGCCACGCTGTGGATGTAGTAGAAGACGCCCATAAGGACCTGGAAGGGTGGAAAAAGGATTACAATACAACTAATTCCACTAATTCGTGTTGGCAAATGTGATGGCAATGTGCGAAGGACACACATGAAAAGTCTCCATTGCTACTCACCAGCTGGATTATTCCCCATACTGAGATGATCAGTCCACAGAGGGAGAGTTTGGGTCCACAGATCGGCATCTCGGTTGCACTCTTTTTTGGGAAATTGCACGGAAATGTGACTGCAAAACTGCGAAATCTCCACTTGAAAAATTTCACGAGAGTGTCAGGTGAGTGAGAATCATGTGACAACCTTTCAGTGCTCAGCAGCGCCACCGCGCGGAGAAAAACCCATTCGAGCGGTGTGAAGTGCGCAGCGGAGCAGCGAGAAAAAGAGGGGAGGGAGAAGAAACACCTTGGCCGTCAAGGCGACGTCAAACAATTGCACACGGGAATTTTCGCGAAAGTCGTAAAGTCCGCAAAATACCTCACAAAATGACTCTCAAGTCGCTCCTGTGGTCAGTTTTAGTATCTATCTTAGCTGTAGTTAGTGCACAATATGAGCCCGTGGACTACATGAAGCGGGAACACTCGCTGGTGAAGCCGTATGGTGAGTTGAGGGCGGCAGAAGCGGCTTGTTGAATGGCATTAACACGCGCAATTTCAGGTGCGGGCATGAATGTGCCCTACTGGGACTACATGGGCCACACCATGGTCACGAACAACTACGTGCGCCTCACGCCGGACAGCCAGTCCAAGTCCGGGAGTCTGTGGAACCAAGTGGTGAGTCACAAAGCCCGCGTGGAGGCCTTTGTGCGCGGCTAATCGCCTCTTTTTTCGCCTCCCCAGCCATGCATGACGAAGAACTGGGAGATGCAGGTGTCCTTCAAGGTGCACGGCCACGGGAAGGACCTCTTCGGCGACGGCATGGCCTTCTGGTACGCCCGCGACCGCATGAGCGGAGGCCCCGTGTTCGGCAGCAAAGACTACTTCAGCGGCCTGGTCATCATCCTGGACACGTACAGCAACCACAACGGGCCGCACAATGTAAATATTTAGTACTTCTCCTTATCAATTCGTGACGAACTTTTTATGTGATTCACTGGCTGCGAAGATTTCATGCTCACTCTCGAAGACCTTTAATTAATAGCTATTTGTTTGTTTAACACACAATGCGAGAAAAGCGACACGTTCAAGGTCTGCGTTTCGCACAAGTTCATGCAAAGTTCAAGATTTCCTTAGCTTAAGCCAAAGACTCGCCAAAGGAAAATACACCGAGAGTCTTATCGTTTGCAACTTCCTTTGTCAATTATCATATCGAAGAGTTCAACGATTTTCTTAGACACTTTTACCTTTGTGTTAAACAATCTCAACATGTTCTCAAGACTTTAGAGGCATTAAGTTATCTGGTATTGACGCTAAAAAATATCAAAATCCGCCCAGAAACATTTAGAATTTAACGTGATGATAAAAAACCAAAAGACAAAAAGATTGAGCGGAGAAATGATTAATTGTTAAATAAGAAATAATACATAAAATAAGTTCCTAAATAGAATGAGACCAAAAATAGCTCGTTTATTATGTCTAATCATCAGGTAAATTTGAGTAAATTTTACTCATGTTTTTGGGCACAATTAAAATTAAACGATTATATTAAGATTCTCTTCATTGGCTGTTCATTAAGTTATTCTTTGAGATTACAACTGAAAATACTTAATTCTCATATTATTTATCACATTATTTTTCCCCATTTTTAGGCCACCAGAAACCAGATTTTGAACAAATATTTAATACACTTATCTTTAACGTGTATAAATTGAAATTCTTAGCTCTGAAATGCAGAAGAAAATTATCACTGAAGTTCATTCACATGGATCATTTACCGTCTCTTGGAGATTAATTGCAATTTATATCCGAAGAATGTATAAGAAGTGACAAAAGTAATATTCTTTTGCTCCGCCCTCTTGATTGCTCCGCCCACAAAGTAATCGAATTCATTGGATAGATTTAGGAGGCTATTTTCAACCTCTGTTCTTGATATAAAAAATTAATCGTCGATACGCAATTCTGTAGTATTTCCTTTATCAAAATCACGAGCGATTAATTCTTGAGAGATTACATGTTCTTGATAAAGAATTGCCAACGAGACAAGACATGTGGCTTTTCCAGCGCACGGATTGTGCGCGCGCGTGTGTGTTTCAACATTTCTGGCTTGGTCAATTTTAAAAATGTGTGCATATAGAATCATGTTATCGTGCTTCAACATAGTTAACTTTTAGTTACTTTGATAAAGCACTCTTTCTCCTTCGTTATTGCCATGCTACCGAACGGAGAGAGATATTCTGGATGGGGAGACAAAGTCCAAGATGACACAGCTTTTTTTCCTCCTTATCTGGCCAACAAAATTCTCAATTGCAAAATAAATTCATTGACAAAAACTGATAAGAAAGGGAGAGAGCGAGAGAGTGTGTGATCATGTGGCCCGAAAAACGGTTCCATTCACCTTTTTTTACAGATTTTTCACATGGCAATTTTGCCTGCTTTGTGTCTTTCAGCACCAGCATCCGTACTTGAGTGCAATGGTGAACAACGGCAGTCTTCACTATGATCACGATCGCGATGGCACGCACACTCAATTGGCGGGCTGCGAGACGAAATTCCGCAATGTGGATTATGAGACTATCATAAGTATTCGCTATGAGAATGATGTGCTCACAGGTTCGTCGGATTCTGGGCTGAGGAGAGGCGCTTTTGGCTCATCTTGCGCATGACTTTGATCTCTCTTTTCGCAGTGCTGACGGACATCGAGGGCAAGAAGGAGTGGAAGGAGTGTTTCTCAGTGAAGGGCATCCTTTTGCCGACAGGATACTACTTCGGTCTCTCCGCCACGACTGGAGATCTGTCTGACAACCATGACATCATCTCGCTGCGCTTCTACGAGTTGGACATCGTGGCGGATCCTCAAGCCAATCTCCAGAGGACGCAAATCATCCCGCAAGCGCTCACTTTCGAGCCGCCGCGAGAGCGCAGCGAGGATAAGAAGCCCAGCGGAATGTCCAATGTGAAAATCTTCTTCCTCATCCTCCTGGGCATGATTGTGGCCGTGGCACTGGCCATTGGCGGCATTATGTTCTATCAGAAGCACAAGGAGAACGCCAAGAAGAGATTCTACTGAAGCGTGATCCAACTCAGCGGTAAGGAAAGCCACAATTATCACACTCTATCATCGAAAATGACTGCATTGAGAGCGAAAGGGAGGATATTTAAGAAGTTTTATTGTGACTAAAGGGTGAAAAGGAGGGCTTGATCGGGTGTGTGAAGGAGTAATGATTGACTTTACCAAAATTAATTTATATTTGATGGAAAAAGATGAGCGCTTGTAGCTTTAAGAGGATCACGATAGGATAAAACAATTCTATAAATACTTCACAGTGACTTTACACCCTGAACCAAGTGTATAATTCTTCATCCCTTTATCTTTAAGTTTATGTTTAATTTTTTTGTGTGAACTTTCATTCCATGGACCAAAAAGAAAAGAAGAAAAAGAAAACAAACTATGTATGCGAATGAAAGAAAAGCCGTTGTTCAGTGAAGGAAGAAAAACATTAATGTGCCTCGAGACTAAAATTTAAATCTCAGATCATCTTAATTTCCCCGTGCATGGAATATTCGATAAGGAAATGCGAGAATCATAGCCCTAGACCAACGAGACAAGGATGTGAGAAACTCAAATGGTAGCTTTTGTAAAGATCACTCATATAGTCATTGAAACTTCCTGTAGAATAATGTGACTTTCTTTTGAAAATCCACACCCTCTTAGTGTTTAGGCAAACCCTGACTTTGTTTCCAGGTGAAGGTCTTCGCGCGAGACCAGAGTTTAGCGAAATAAAGATTTTATGTACTATTATTACGTCGACAGTTTTCTTTTTGAACCTCAGATGGGAAAAAGCTCTTCCAAGGTGGCGTTCAAGAGTCTAGCAAATCCCTTATTGACGCTCCAATTTTCCAATTTGATCCAATTTGAAATGGGAAAAACAAGTGATAATAAGTGACTCGAGTGGGAACGAAGAGGTCCTTCTGCGACAAACAGGAGGAGAAGGCAAAAACTGTGATCGCATTTGCTGTTAATTGATAAATATCAGTTTGGTTTCTGCTTTAGAACTTGTTCATAACGCCATGGAAGCATTCTTGGTGCGGAAGAGGTTAAAGTGAATTCCCAAAATTGCCATTTGAAAGTCGCCTTTAGGCGTTCGCAGAACAACGGAGCAGTTAGGCTTTGGTGGGTGGTTGATGGCATATTGAATACGGTATTCTTGCTGACTGCCAATTAGTGAATGAGGAATAGAGGCCAATGAAGTCATTTGTATCAGTGAAAGTGTTCGGTCGACTCTTTTGCTATCTCTAAATTTCAAGGCTTTGATTGCAAAAGAATTGATTGTGAGACTAAACGACAAACACAGAATTAGATTGATCACAGCAATTAGAATTCTAGAGGGAAATCTAGTCTGATTTTCTCTCCTTCTCTCTCTCTCTCTCGGTTTGATGGTGAAAAGCATCTCGAGATTTACAGACACACAGCGTGGCATCTCTTGTATTGATTTCTTTCTAAGAAACTCATGTTCCAAGCAAATTAGTTGTTCTTCAAGTGATATAACATTCTCGATGCTCCGCTGATCTCAATTCCGGAATACGGCTGGCTAATGAACATAAATATACTAGGTTGGCAATAATTATACTTTCACAGAGAGAATTGCATTAAAAAGTTTTCTGTTTGTTCACAATTTATACACACACTTTTTTTGCTGCGCGATAAATTTATGCAGCATACCAGAAATCCTTTCAATTTTAAATATTACGATTAGTCGGAATTTTTGTTCGTGAATTTAAATTGATTCAATTAGCGGGAAATTATCTACTCCAGCGCAGCTGCGTTTTACCTTCGGAAAGTCTGCCTTTTCCGCAAATGCCACACAAATTTTGGCCGCGATGATGGAAGAGAGAAGAGATGAAAGAAAAAATTACAATGCAACAAATTTATTATAAAAATTACATGTAATTTACAAAATATGTCATTTTTTCAATCATCTAACAATAGTTAACAATAATTTTCGCTTAAATTTTATTATAATATAATCATTCCTTCAAGTACGAAAGGAGTTGGAATAGAAAAAAAATTATTTTACACAATTTTCCTACAATTTTTTCATTTATGTAAATCGTTTTCGTGATTTTTTTCTTCTCATCATTGTTTTTTTCTCTTTATATTTTAATTAGAAAAAAATATACAAAATATAATTGGGAATATAAAAGTTTATTATATTGGTAAATTTTTCCGAAGTGTTTTTTTTTTACTTTCTCAAGTTGCCCAAAAAATTACGAAACAAAAATTAAGAGATATAAAATAAAATAAGCGATTAGAGTCAAATTTTTAAAAAAAACGAAAGAAAAATTTAATGGTTAATTTAGAGGGAAAATTTGCCTAAATAAGAATTTATCCAAAAATTACTTGAGCGCTTTTCGCGCGCCTTTTCTTCATCATCCCAAAAATAGAGTAGATGCTTTTCATTTAAGTACCGAAACTAAGGTTGTCAATAAATTAAACTAAATAATAGTTAAATTGTATAGAGAATAATTTGAGAATAAGTTAAAAAGAATTCTAAATTAATAGCTAATTTTATGCTTGCTGCTTTCACTAATTTGTTTCTCAGACTCAGCGAGAGTCTTTCTTCGGAAGTTTACGATCAATCAATTACGGCTAAGTTTCGGGGAGAGGAAATGCGAATTGCCTTCCAGTTGGGGCTGCGCTTGGTGCACAAAATAAAGGATCATCGAGTTCCGGAAGGGACATTTTTTGTGTGTTCTTTTACATCAATCTATTTACATTACAACAACTCTTTGGTGGTGTCTGCAATTAAAGAGAAAACAACTTGAACAAATAATAACGAGTGAATCATTTATACAACACACACGCACACGAAAAGTGGTGGAAAAATAAAGGGAGATCGAGATGAGAAACATTTAAGTGATGAAACATATTCACAAAAGTCGAATCCTCTATCTTAGTGTTGGGCATGAAGCGCGCGATTGAGGGTGATTAAGTTAAGACTCGTGGTACTTTGCAGCCTCAACTGGACAGGACAATTCCGTCTAAACGCTACACCTTCATCATGGGGTCATTGGGTTCACGTGGGGACGCGGGATCGTACGATATAAGTCTAGAATTGGTCTAGAGAGGGAATTTATAGTTAAATACGTAATCTTATTTCATGCCATTTCTTCTCTTGCTCCGTATAAAATAATAAGAAAATAATATAATGTGTCGTAATTAGCGAAATGCGAAATGTCAGGCGATCAGGGACTTGAGGAGAGCTGTGCGCGGGCCGGGAAAAGCGTGCGCCGGACGCAGGCCGTGTCACCACTTTCAGCTGCTCTGCCGCGTGAAGTTGAGCTTCCCGGAGAGCGCGCTGTTCTCGTTCTGTCGCAAGTGTGACTCGAGGATGGAATGCTTGAGCTTGGCCGTGGCCGCGATGGCCGCCGCCGCGGCGCCCGTGGGTGAGTCCGCATAGTAGACCTCCTCCTCCTGCTGTGCTTGGCTGTTGTCGTTGTCCGCGTCCGGTTCCGTCTTCACGCCGCGCTCCTCGCGCTCCTCCACCAGATCGTCCTCCGTCAGTGGCAGTGCCTTGTAGTTCTTGTTGCTGTCTTCGGCCAGGCGGTTGCGCTTCGCGTCCATCTTGCTGTCGCCGCTGATCACCTCCATGGGCGTGGCCATCTTGCGCTTCGAGAAGTACTTCTGGTGCTTCTGGTTGTCCAACATGGTCTTGCTCGTGCTGTGGATTTGGTACTTGGGCGCCGCGTTGGGCAGCGGCGGCGGCTGGTAGAGGCGCGACTGCGCCAGGGCCGGCGAGAGGCTGCTGGGCGGAGTGGATCTGGCCATGTTGGGGCTCTTGCCCGTGCTCGTGGGCACTCTGTGATATGTGTCGGCCATGGAGAGGTTTGTGACGCCGGGATACGCGGGGTGCTTGAACTGCTTGGAATTGCTGTTGGTGGAGTTCGCACTGTTGGTCGTGTGCTTGCTCTGCTCCTCCTGGTCGGTCGTGCTCTCGCTGTGCAGGCCCTTGATCTGCATCGCCTCGGCCACCTGAGGAACAGACATCTGTTTTAGGGACTTGAAACATGCACGGTCGCGCAGTCACGGCAAAAAGTCTCTCAAGAACGAGACGATAAATCTAAAGAACCCCTTATCAAGCACTCGGTTATCAATGCAAGAAGCCCTCGTCCGAGAGCGCGATACGCGCGGCGCAAAGTCCGGCCTTACCTTGAGGAAGTTGGGCAGGTCCTCGTACTTGACATTCACCTGGCCGCTGTACATGAAGTCCAGCAGGCCCGCCATGTGATTGCTGTGGACGTCCGTCATGAAGAGGATGGGGTGCGTGGACGGGTGCTCGAGGAAGATCTTCTGGAAGTAGGGACTACACACGGACAGGACGAGCTTGTGTGCCTTGAAGATCTTGCCGCCCGCAGCAATGGTCACGTCCACCATCTGGCCGTCCTTCTGCAGACTGTGGAAGCCCCGGCACATGTTGCCGTAGAAGTTGTTCCACGACAGCAAGTACTGGTCGATGTTGTGGTGCTCCGCCTGCTGCAGCAGCTCCTGCGCCGACACGTCCTTCTGCTGCATAGCCTCCGAGTACTTGGACTCCATCAGCTCGTCGTAGTCGCGGATGCCGATGCCGTTGTTGTACGAGTTGCTGACGGGCGCTGAGGTCGTGGACGGAGCGGCCAGGCCGGCTGTGCTGGGCTTCGTGGAGTCGCTGTCGTCATGTGAGCTCACGGACTTTGAGTCTTGCATCATCTCAGCCGCCTCGGCGTTCTCGCGCGCCTCGCGCGACGCCTGCTGCGCCGCCGCCGTGGCCGCCGCGATGGCGTTGGACATGACGATGCTGTCCTCGAATGTGCAGTCGTCCAGGTTGTCGGCGCCGAAGGTCTTGGTGCTGGAGAAGAGGCGCAGCGTCGGATCGTTCACCTGGTCGCTGAAGTACACGTCCATCATGTTGAAGAAGGGCCAGTCGCGCCTCTTGGGCTCCTCCGACAGCTTTATCGCCTTGTATTCTTGCAGCAGATTGTTCCACTTCTTGATGATCTTCGCCAGTGGCAGTGGAACATTGAGTTCGCGCTCCACGACACTTGAAGACGCGCGCGAGGAGAGAGAGAGAAAAAGAGACGAGATTTATGTGTGTGGCTAAAAGAAATCTTCTTTTGGCTATAATTTGAGAGAAGAAGGCAAAAAGAGAGACGCGGAGGCATAGATTTCGTGCCTCCTCTCCAAATGATGATGATACTCACGCCCAAGCGTATTTGGCTGCATTTCGTTTGCCCGTGAAGAGTGGTGAAAGTTCTGCCCTCAACCGTATCAAGGTTTTTACTTTTTCCGCCTCCCCTGCAAAAGTGTAATAATCCAAACAATTACTTATTAGTCTCTTTTCTCCATCGACTCATTTACGTGTCAGCACAGCCAAGAGAGATAAAGGAGAATAGATTAGATAGAGGGGCGGCGAGAGACACCAAAAGTTCTGCGCGCCTTTCGCGCTGAGAACACTTCCTCGCGGGCCACGGAGAGCGGGCCCAAGAAAGGGCACAGTGACCCCATTTGGCGGGATTTGGGTCAAGGTAAAAGTCGTGTCTATCTCGTGCGATAGCTTCTTTCCCCAAATCTACCATCGGCCTCGCCGCATTCTCACCACAAGCGCAAGAATGCAAAATCATAATGAAAGAAAATATACCCATTGTACTCCCATTTAGAGCCTCCAACTGTGACTCACTTTAGTGATGATGTGAATATATCGAAGAGAATTCGTATTCTCACACAGAGAATTGAGGAGAAAGTTTCCTCCACAGAATTCTCCATTTGCCGTTTTTGCATTTTTCACATTATATATGATTATTTCTATTTTTCAATTATCCAAATCAGAAATAAGTGACTGAAGATTGCAACTATGCCATTTGCCTGGGATATTGTGGCATTTCACCTGTGTATCGATCACACCTCAAACACTTGCGCGATCAATTACAAACACACTCGCTTTGGAGCATTGTGAAATGCTTACAGATTTGAGGGAGAGAAAAAAAACTTGAAAAACTAACTGATATTCTTTGTACAGTGAAACCTCGCCAAGCACTTTCACGCTCTTCATTTCCACCAATTCTAAGTTGGTCAGATCATCCGGAGAGGAAAGAAAGTCCATTCAGCGCAGACTATTCTCGACAAATGCCAATGTAATACGGTGAATATCTGCAAAAGTGACACGAAGATGTGAAAATATTGAATGATAAGGTTCAGAAGTGAGTATTTTGATGCCGCTCAAATCTTTATAGGAAAGATATGATAAATGAGGAAGAAATTGCGATGATCGCAGATTACCTAAAAATGATGTTTCATAACTTCAATCACAGCATGTCACAAAATACGAAAGTACGTTTAATCTCAAGATATTCATCTCTCTTATAGGTGATAAGTTTAAATTTCTTAGAGCGTAAATGTAGTCTGACATTAACATTTAAAAAAGCTCTTATCGCACTATAGTTTCAATGTCGATAAGTTCTTCTTAATACCGATACTTATCGATACGGATTTCGTTCAATTTCCTTTGTTCAGCCCAATTTGGGGGGAAAATAGTTGAAATCGACAATCTAAAGACTTATTAGTCTATAAAAGCCCTATTTTTCCACTAAAATTGCGTTCAACAAAGGAAATTGCAGCCAGTTTGTATCGATAATTGTCGATAAGTTCAAAAACTTACCGACATTTCTACGTAGTATGATAATTCCCTTAAGATGAATAAGTAATTCTTTACTATTATTACATAATTGTTTAATCAAGAACAGTTTGATCACCTGCGATTCTCCCATTAGTTCTAATTGGTCTACTTTCTGTGACTGCCAAGCGTTGAGTTGCTGGCGTATTTTTAGTCCTCAAAGGGCAAATGAGCTAAACACTGCCCTAGAAAACCCTCTTACCCTCTCACGATCATGCTTTTCGAGTGACTTGCAGCAATAATAACTGGGGATGTTGCTCAAATTTTGGGCAATGCGACGAAAGTGAAATCAGCAAGAAAAGAATGTTTGCCATAATCGAGGTCCTACTGTACTGTCGCCTCTCGGTGGACATGAAAAAGCGCTTTAAAAGAGAGAGCTAATCAAAATAAACAGGAATCAATGCAAAACCTTTCTCCGAAAAAAAGATTGACAATTGCAGTTGAGAGTGAAAAGAGGCGAATGATTTTGGAGTTTATCGGCCCAATTTTTGGCGAGCGATGTTGTGAAATGAAGAGTATTTGCGAAGAAATCTATGGACGACAAGATTGTTGTCGTGTCATGAGAAGTCGGGGACTGATTGCACAGGCGAGTCGGATGGACTTGCGTGATGGTCTTGTCTGGGTTCCAAATTCTAAATAGGCAAGCAAACACCTCAACAGGGCGTCACTGTGCAAATGAGTTTTTGGGTCAAGCATTCGAACGAAATGATCCACAAAATTCTCATCTGAGCCAGAGAGACAGAGAAAAGAGCATCATGACTTTGGCATATAGAGAAAACATATGTTGAAGAGGAGAGATAAAATATGCGTTATGTGTATGGTGTCTGTGGGGAGGGGAATTTTCTACATTGGGAGACACATTCTGGTAGAGAAAATGCGTATGTTTACAATGTAAAATAATTTCACATGACTGCCGATTCGCTGTGTGCAACAATCCGAAGGGAAAAGCTGAAGAAAGAAGGCATCGTGAAAACTTGGTAAGTGTGAATTTAGATCAGAACCCGGAGACACGATGGCAACAACAATAAATAAAGAGATATGAAATTGTGTGCGTGCGAAGCGCCAGTCGCGAGTGGAAGTGAGATGGACGGAGAAGAAGTAAGGAAGAGGCGCACAGATGAAGAAGTCTTTCACACAAAAGAAGCAGAAGAGGAAGATGAGTAAAAATCTCGACTCTTTATTTGCATTTGGTCGCGCGGCCGCGAAATGTGGGACAGTAACATTCTGACGGACTTCTCACCATTGGCGAGAGGAGAGGTAAGATTTCTATCAGATGCCCCAAAATGTTTGACATAGATTTCCGAGACCACGGAACTTGATCGGACTCGCTAAATATGCATAATTTGGTGATGTTCCGTCGCCCATCGACTTTTGGGAAAACTGGTCACAACACGTGGACGTAGGGTGAGAGTCAGAGTTGGTCATTAGTGGCCCAATTAGGGCGCGCACAGGTAAAATTCTCTCTGGCCATTGAGAATTTTCTCTTCGACTCACGAAGAGACCCATTAATATCCGGGAGCCTCGTGTCACCGACGCTGCTCTCTCCTGACCAATTTTGGGTGAAATTCAAGCCAAAGTGAGAAGAATTCTTCTTGCCGATTTTTTCACCTCTTTCTTTCACTCTTCTCAGATGTTTCTTCTTCATTGTAAGTCACTTTTTTTTATCTTCCTCCATCTCGCTCTCGCCTCTTTCTTCTCGCCATCCCACAAAACTTCAATCTCCTCAGCCACTCTGTGTCTGGCCTCTGAGACTCTCTTTGCTTGGGTGTTCATCAGTTGCCCTACTTTTTGCCATTCAACAGTCGCGGACGTACTTTACAATACTAACTCCCATTGTATATCAATATATGTATAAAATATACCATTTAATGGCGAAGTGTGTTCGATTAAATTGTAAAAATATGGTAAAAGCTTTTTTCTCTTCCTCCTCCTCTGGCTTCTCTGCTCGGCCACTTTTGTTTTGGGGAGAAAAACAAGAGAGTCACCAGCGCAAAAGACGCGGGAATCTCTTGTGCGGCTGAGGAAGAGATCAAAATATCGGTGGCCAAATGGTTTGATTTTCACACGCACACACGCGCACCTCTTCACTTCCTCCAAACTTTCTTCCACGCCAGCGTCGCTTGATTCTTGCTCATCCTCAAAGGGGGAGAGAATTCGGGACCCTCGTCCTTTTCCAGCGCCCTTCCTCGGTCGCTGCGCAAGCTCGTCGCGCTTCCGAGCGGATTTTCACTCAGGTGCCAAACTTTGAATATATTCTCGATTTGCATACTTAAGTGGCCACAATCTCGTTTCCCAAGGCTGTTCTGAGCGATTTCCGTTCTGATGTTAACACGAGATTCACCAAGATTGATCGCACTGAATCAGAAGTTTACACTTTTATAGCGCGCTATGAGGAAAAAGCATCTTGTAAGCTGGGTGATTTGCATTCCTAGCTCAATTAGGTGATCTAATTGTGGTGTTTAACTGATAATTCAAACGAAAGTTTTCAAATGTTGTTTTAGCTGAGATTTCAGAAATCAATTTAAAGAGAATTTCAGCAATTCTATCAGTCGATAAGAAAAAAATAAAGGTAGATTTCTAAATGCTAAACTTGGTCCTTATTCACGCACGAAATTGTGATTTTAGAATACCTCAAAACCGACTTCAGCAAAGCCTGTGTGAGAAATCTTGACATCAGGACATTCAGGACACCAAGATCTGATCCTTGGCGTCCTTCGCAAATCGGGACGAACCTGCGTTGCGACCCAGCAAAATGATTTGGTAGCTTTTTCTTCTTGCATTATTACATCTTTGGCTCTTTCTTCGACTCTTTTTGCCTGTGCACCAACACAGTTGCAGCGCGAGAGGCATTCTCACTTCTTTATAGTATTTTGCGCCCATAATATGAAAAATATATATGTACATATCATCAATACATGGTGAGGACGGAGAAAAGATTTCTTCTTCTGTGCGAAGCAAAATAAATTGGCTCGTTTTGTTGAATGGCGGGCGAGAGGCGAGGACCAGAGCAGCAGATGAAGATAACACACGAGTGAAATTGCGCTCAGGCTAAGATAGAAATTACAAACAGACCAGCAACAAGTAGAAATGTAAAGAATGCCTTACATAGTAGTTGCACACAGTCAAAAGACAAGTCTCTCTCTTGAAAATCTCTCTCATTTCATGAAGATTGGCTGTGGCCAATGGTAGGAGAGGAAAAAAGAAAGAAGTGAGAAGCGGGACAAGATTTTCTGTTGATTATCTTCTTTTTCTTCTGTGTTTTCTTGCGATGAGCACAGAAATCATAACCCAATAATGTTAATAATAGTGGAGTAAAGCGCCAATTGAGATGTCCTACAACACACGCGCGCCTCTCGAGGGGCAAGAAGCCACTCCGCTGCTCTCGCTCTGGCATCCCCGATCCGCCCCCTCCTCGATTGGGGATGCTGGAACACGGGAAGAGCCCCGGAATTTCTCCCAGACATGCTCCGAGGCAGCTCGCGCGTCTTCTCCCTCCCATTGAGGCCCACTCGTCTATCTCTCAACTGCTCGGTAACTTCTTCACTGGAATATTTAATGAAGAGAAATTTTCTATCCTTAATCGCGCTTTTTTCGCTCTTCTGCCGCACTCTTCTTGCCCAATGGCATGGGAAAGAGTCGCGCGCTCGCGAGCTGAAAAGAAATTCATTGAAGAATCTTCAATGAAATTTCTTGAAGGCCCCGCACCATAGAAATTTCTTCTCTGCGACTTTTCCTCCATGCCAATTTCTATATACATGAGTTTCCAATTGACACGCGCATGAGACACACAAACCACACCACATAAATTGGAAATGAAAGAAAATGCAAAATAGTTACATCTCTTCGAAAAAAGACATCTCTTTTTTTCCACTCGGTGTGTGTTTGCTTTGCGACCGATCAAGAAATAGAGAGACATATTAAAAGAAAAGCAGAGCCGAACAGTTGACCATCTTTTCTCTATTTCTGTCGTGTTTGTCGCTCCCCCCCACCCAATGGCACGGCTCTGCCAGTGTGTGCGGACAGAGCGGAATGTGTGGCAACTAGAAATGGGCAAACAGCGCAGAACATCATCGATAAATAGAAAGAAATTAATACATATTTTAATATTATTTTGTCGTCGAAGAAACTTTCACCTGCTGCCTATTTTCTAGTACAGGAGGAACTGTGCCAGCGATATCTTGGCATCGCGCTCATGCACACACTCAGCGGGTCCGCTTTTTCTTATGCTTCTTCTTCTCAATCACAAACCTTCTTTCTCTCTTTTCGCGCGCCCAGAGTTGCAGAAGAAACTTTTCTTCAAATCCACGATACAAAGAAAGCATCTCTCCAGGAGTAGCTGAGCTGTTCTCCCGCGTGCGAGCGCGCATTTTCTCGCGATGGCCCCATAAATCCCAGAGAGTTCACTCAACATTTCGTCCATTGATGAATTTTTTTCCCCGTCCCGATATTGGGAGTGATGAAAAAATGTACGGAATCGTGAGTTTGGAGCAAAATTGTCCAACTAGATAAGAAGTTCACACACTTGATTATCACATGAAAAAAGCTGATAATGTGTGGTGTGTGTGGATGGTCAGAAGGTTCTCAAAAGTATAGAGGACACGTGCGACTGTCTCGCTCTGGCGCTCGCCTCCCCTCGCACTCTCTCCCTCGCGCCAGAGAGAGAGTTCTACTTTGCCCGCAGAGTCAAAAGTAACACACAATGTGGAGCAGGCAAGATCCCCAGTAACACAGATATTCTATCTGGATGAGAAGCGCCCAATCATACTTACAGCAGTATCGTATCGATTGACAATTCGGCTGTGGCATTTTTCCTTTGATCCGAGAAAACTGTGCTATATCCAGTGTGATATCACGTTTTTATATCGTCCAACACAAGAGCAAATTAGGTGCGAAAAAAAGATGGATTTTCCCGAAGAAAATGCGCGAAATGAAAATGCGAGACGCGCGCAAGAGATGTGTAGAGGCAGAGATTGGTAATTATTGGATTAATTAGAAAAAAGAAATGTATTTTATATCCACACTTGTTGAGCAAATAAACTAAAATAATATACACAGTGTGTAGAAATTTTTTTACAGTTATCTCTATCTCTCTCACTCGGCCGCCAAGAGAAATTGTTCTAAATAACACTTTGAGCACACTTTCTAAGAATGAGGTTAGAATCGCGCACACATTGTCTCTCTTCCCCCGAAAAAAATGAGCTCGAGTTCGCCAATGTCGGGATGTCTCGATTAGGGAGTTGCACACTGAGAACGCGTCACTGAAATACTGGACTGGCTGGAATATTCCAATTGCCGTGCATGATTATTTTCACTTGTTATTGGCTCTCTTCACAAATCTATAGAATAATATTAATACTCTTCACAGCTGCTAATGTCAACCCAAAAAAGTTCGTCCGCACTCAGCAACATCACACACTACATTGAAATTTCTCAAATCTTCGCACACACAACTTCCCCGTCTTCTTTTCTCTTCCATTGAAATTCCCCAGCTCAGAGCATGGCACTCGTGGTATTTTGCCATATGAGTGAGTGGCATGGGTGGGAAGGAGAGAGAATGCGAGTGAAAGAGAAACTCACCTCGACGGAGATTCTCCGCGCGCGCGACAGTCGTCGCATCTCTCACTCTCTCGCTGGGCCCGATCTCCTTCCGCAGCGCGCTCTCCCAATCCCTTTCTTCCCGAAGACGCGCGCCCGCGGGCCACATTCTCTCTCCCGCCGATTGCGTCACAGGGGAAAGGATCGTCGCGCTCTCTCTCGCGCGCGCTCTCTCAGCATCCCGATGCTCCCCATCTCGCATTTGCAATTCAATCCGCACGAGGAGTCGCCCCGTCTCGCTCGCGCGCGGTGAAAACTCTCGAGGTGTTCGCGGGAAGGCCTCTTTCGAGAACATCATCACTATCGCGCGCGCTATATTTGAGCCAGGGCGCGAAAGAGAGAGAGACAATATGTGTAATGTGGGAAATGATAAGCAAAAGTGCCTAAAGTGCAGAATACCCACAAAAGAGTGAAATTTTCTCCACTGTACGTACATATATCCCACACACCCCACCCAAGCAAGAGTAAATATTCTTCTCTCGTCACTATCGAATTTCGAGAGATCCAGTTTCACCATTTTCATTTGTGGAATTACTACCAATGCATTGCCTCTTCTGCCTCTTCTCGTCTCTCTATTTTTCCTCCAATTTCGGCCACACGAAAAATACTTTTGTGATTATGTGCCCCATGTGTGTTAGAAAATGCACTGGGTGAACCATCACTTTTGGACCCTCGAAGCACACTTTGGCCTGCCAATCGTCGCCGAGCGTTCACAGATACTGCAAGGCATTTCGAAAGACAACATCCTGCCATTCCTGACATTCATTGCAATCCTTAGAAGAGCAATTACCGGAGACTTACCCTGAATCGCCACTCGGTAATGTGTTGGAAAGTACTCGAATTTATGAATGAGACCTGAGATTTAAACCCTCATTTGCCGAGATGGCAGTAGCTAGACTTATTATTGCAAATATTCCAAGTGTAGAATTTAGAAATTATTATTACTTGTTGCAAAGAACAGGTAGACCATGGAAGCCTATTGTACCCAACCCAAGTGAGGTGCCAGAAGCTTCCAGGCCAATTGCCGGTTCGCTAAATTTAGTGCTGCATGTCGCAGAAGAAGGACACTCGTAAGTGTCCAAGAACTTCAGCTTCTGCTCCACCAACCATACTAATTCTAACGTCCACCTTTATATACAGGGGCAAAGCGTGAAAGACAATTTCAGTGAAGCGTATATTTCATCTGGAACATTCCAGGCTTAATTTTTCGCACTCAAGCATGCTGACACTGAGTCACAACCGCCCTAAAAAGTTAGAAATGGTTAAACTTCTAATGCTTCTAAGAATTGTTTTAATCTAAGATTACAGAAACCCCTTTCTAGAGGTCTACAAAACTTCTAATATGACATCTCTCTATCTTGAATCCCTTGAATGGAATTTTTCACTTTTTGAAGCCCCGCCTCTTCATATGCTCCTCCCACTTTAGGGATTGAGTTGCTTATGTTTATTGTAATTTATGTAGTTATTCAAATCCTACTCACACAGCCAACACTATTAATCTTCAGGTAGACAATGAAGGAATCCCAGCCCGCAGAAGCGAATGTGACCTACAGAGGGTTGCCTTCTGAGGGATTTCAATAGGAGAACGCACACACATATTCGGCCCAAAATCTGTGTGATTTCGGATGAGATCTCCTTGTGTTCTGACAATAAATGCATTACCTGAAAAATATATTGGATGAGCAGCTGTTGGGATGTAGAATTGAGAATTTTGATGAATAGAAGCAGGATGGAAGAGACCCAGAGTGCTGATAAAATTACATTCTCTCCTCCTTTTTTTTGTCCCATCTCCTTTTCATCAAGAGAAACTTTGTCTGCATTTTTGGTGGTAGATTTTTTCCTTCGTGAATTCTCTATTCCCGACAAAATCCTGTGAGTATAAATAATAAGTGTATAGAGAAAGAATGGGCGAATGGCTGAAAAATCTTCCCGACGCAGTATTATTTCCTTTTTCTCAGCATTTCATATTACATAAATACAGATGTTGTCTCACACAAATGTGCGCCTTTTACCCCTCGAGAATGGATTCTTTGTCTCTCCCGGATTGATGGCTGATGGAGTCTAAAGTCTAGACGAGGTTTCATTATTGCTAATCGATTTTCTGTAAACAAGCCCCGAAACCAATACATTCGTAGAACTTTCTTGCCAAACTTTCCCAAAAATTCCTCCTCTAATGACATTCCCGCACTGATAATTGCAATGCGAAACTTAATCGATAAATTGCACTCATGACTCCTCGTTTGCTTCTAGACTTGCCATCAACTTACTTCCGCCTCTCTGGCTTCTGTGGCGCGAAGAGTATTTGCCAAAAAGGTTTACCTTTGATGAAATGGCTCGTGAATAGAATTCACTAATTGATAAAAAGGACGTTTTTGCCGCCCAGTTAATGGCTCAAAGGGCTAAATAATAGGCGACATTTCACAATTAATTTACTTCAATTCCCGATGCTTTATCCTTGTCCTTCGACATCATCAGCAACGTCAGCAACACCCTGTCCTCAACCAGACGATATTTCTCATTCATTACAGGGGATGTTGCTCACGAGCGCTGCTTCTCCTCACTTTTGCCTGTATTTTGGCAACATTTAATTAAGTAAAAGCGATGGAATAGTGTGTCTAAGATAAGCTCTGCTGCTTTATGACTGTTTGTCTGTCGAAACTTTCACACCGAAGAGGCTTTCTTGCAACAATTCTCATAAGGGCAATTTCTCCGTCCCTCCTTTCTTTCCCCATTAATATTTTGCAAGAAAGTTTTTCACCCTCATTTTCATATTTGCAGAAAATTACATTATATTTCTCACACAACCTTTCGCTCTACTGTGCGACGAACTGTTGGCAATCAGTCAAAGGGAAAAGTTCGCGTAGAGAGATGGTGAGCCACAAGAAAAAAGTCTGTAATTATTATAATTTTTCATCAGCAAACTTCTCTGGGCGGTTAAGCATCCAAGGTTACACTTGGCAGTATCTTTGGTCTGATGAGGAAATCCATTCGATTAAACTTCATCGCGCGAATTCCTTCGCGGGAAAAAGCAATTTTCATTATGCGATGATGATTTATTTCACCCAATTTTCACCACATCCTAACTCAATTGAATACCGTTTTTGGGAAAGGAGAACAGCGGAACCAAAGGGCGAAGGACAAATCCACCTGTGCTCTCGGGAAGATTTAAAGTGCTTTTCTCCAAAATCATCATCACATAAATCCAAAGTGAGTGGAATTGAATATCAGACACTTTCCCAAGAATCTTCGCATTCTCAAAATTGAAATTCAACTCCTTTCCCTGTGAATTGCTGCTAAGGAATAGATATAGCAATGATTCTGTAAATAATAGGCGAAGAAGACATATGCACATGAACTTCTGACGGTTATGAAAGTCTCACTAACAAGGTTGTGCTCCGAAAGCACGGAAAGTTTGGCTAAATGTTTCAACAGGATTTTCTATGTTGCGCTTCACGTGTTAGTTCGTGTCTTTGCCATCTAACCACCTCTCGCTTCAGTGCCGGAAAAGCGGGTGTGACTCGACAGGGTTGTTCCACCCTTTTTGTCCGTTCACTGGCTTTACACGCTGCTGGATTTCACTTACTGCAACATAAGAACTTTGAGGATTATCTCGTTATTTGCATTTCACTTCGAAGCCGCAAATTCAATCTGTGTAAATTGCATTAATTTAATTTTATTCCCCACAAATTGTGTTTCTGACGAGCGTCTTTAATCGTCTGAAGGCCTTGTAGATTTTAATGCTGCCTCATTTGTATGAAGAATATTGTGCGGTTTTGTCCTCTCATTGTAAATTGTAAATTTTATAAGGGTAGTTTTCAGGCACTTTGTCATCCCGTGCCATTAGCAGAAAACTGTTTTATAAATTGCGACGGAGAAACATTCATTTACATTTCCTCATGACTGAAGATTGAGATTCTAAATGTTCACAAATATGATACAATTGGAATAAATTTGGAGCTGTGAAGTGAATTCAGAGTGCTTCGAAGCATTTCGCACAAGGTAGAGAATGACAGATCACAAATTTATGACACAAGAGGAAGTCGAAATGCACAAATGTGCTGTAAATATTCATATGAAGTCCTCCAGAGATGAGAAATTGCATATAGGATATTAAATATTTTGCATGATATGATTCACTTCAATTTGACGATGCTTCATAATATTTGTATGTCAATATAAATTGCCATTAATGCTAAGTAGTCATCTGCCTAACAATGAATCACAGTAAAAATGATGTTTTGACCATTAAGAAGACGAAATGAAATGAGCAAATGATGATAGGATAATTGTGAGTTTCTCTTCAATTTCATTGGAAAATGTTTATTTATTTGCAATGGAAAATAGACGAGGAAGAAACCTCCACTGATGCTATGCAAAAGCAGAATTTATGCGGAATAATTGGTGGAAAAAGAAACGTCTCCGAGAGCTTCAGCAGAAAATCAATGCTGTGAAATTTAAGACGATGGAATAGCAATTAATTTAAAAGGAACAAATGCCCAATTCATCTTGCTCTTACAACTCCAAAGATAAATTGAGCAAGTTTGCATAGAATCCAAGGGTGGATTTGGCTGAATAGTGGAATGGAAGAACCCATTGGCGAGGCTGTTAGGCGATGATACGCCTTATTGAGGAAAATCCCTCGCCAGTCACCAGGCGCCTCCACTGCGAGTGAAATTATATTTTTTTTTAGCCACGGGAAAAATCAAACGGCGCGACTGAAAATCAATACTCCTTGTCCGCCACTTTCAATAAAAGGCAAGCAATTTTTTTTCTCCCACGGAATCACGTAAACAAATCAATCACTTAAGTCTCCCATTCACACGCCCATATTTTGTGAGTGTCAAAAGTTTTACCTGAAAATTGATTCATTTCTCAAGCAA